GCATTGTTCCATTAAATTTCTTTCTTTTTGATTCAATATAATAATTTATTATACATTACTTAAGGATAAATGTATAATATTTGTTTTTTTAAATAATAAATTAGAAATACATACATACATACCATACAGTACATACATACAGTACATGCATACATACATACATACATACATACATACATACATACATTCCATACACCGTATATATAGACGTTATTAAACCAATCATTCCCTGTAATTACGGACTATATGTTAGCATTTTGTGTCCGTCTGTAATTATCTCTCTTCCTCATTCACTCTCACTCCCTCACTCCCACAGGAATCGTCTGCCTCATCATCGTCGCCCCTTCCATCACACACTCCACACACTCCACACACTCTTCACACTCTTCACACTCCACACACTCCACACACTCCTCCTCTATGGACACAGGAAACACGCACCAAAGCAGCGACCACCACCACTGCCACACAAGGACGCGGCGGCTGGTGGAGATGGAGGGGATGGAGGAGGGCACTGTTGGAGAGGTGGAGGAGGATGAGGGCACTGTTGGAGAGGTGGAGGAGGATGAGGGCACTGTTGGAGAGGTGGAGGAGGAGGAGGGAACTATTGGAGAGGTGGAGGAGGAGGAGGGCACTGTTGGAGAGGTGGAGGAGGTGTGTGAGCCTGGGTGGTGGCAGTGTTGGGGGGGCTCTCAATGTGTGCCTCTGAATGCCACCTGTAGCGGCGTGCCCCAGTGTGCTGATGGTTCCGACGAGTTACAAGAGATGTGTGGTGAGTTGCCCTCTAATAATAATAATAATAATAATAATAATAATAATAATAATAATAATAATAATAATGGTAAATGATATTGATAATTTCCTGGCATTTATTTACCCTTAATGCTGCCAACATAGATAAATATAAGTTAAAACAAAAAACCTAACATAAATTAACCTTAACCTAAACTAACCCAAATCCTAACCTAGCCTAATCTTAACCTCACTTGACCTGACCTCACTACTATACATGCATAACTCTGAAAAACAAGTTGACAGATAATGCCCAAATTGTCCAGGGAATTTTGGTCGGGAACTACACAGCTAATCTACACCTCCCGCCTCCAGGTTGTCTCCCAGGCGAGTACAGCTGCCCGGACCAGTGTATTGATCAACTCAAGAGGTGTGACACCCAGCCTTTGGAGTGAGAGGACAGGTTGGATGTGGACGCGTATAGAGAGGCTATGTGGTCTGGGAGGCTATCCTTAGTCTGGGGCCTTCATGCTGGTCTGAGAGGTGTAATATCTCTAGAGGGGCTATGTGGTCTGGAGGGGGCTATGTGTGGTCCTGGGAGGGCCTGGTCTGAGGAGGGCTGCTGTGTCTGAGGGCTATGTGGTGTGAGAGGGGAGCTATGTGCTGGTGGGAGGGGGCTATGTTGGTGTCAGGGAGGGCTATATGAATGCAGGAGAATCTCTTGGTCTGGGGGGCTGTGGTCTAGGAGGTGGTTATGTGGTCTGGAGGGGCTATGTGGTTGTGGGAGGCTATGGTGTGGGGAGGGGGCTATGTGGTCTAGGAGGGGGCTATGTGGTCTAGGAGGGGGCTATGTGGTCTAGGAGGGGGCTATGTGGTCTAGAAGGGAGCTGCGTGATTAATATGGGAGTATCATGGCTTACAGTCTGTACCATAACTATGTAGCATCATCACTCTTGAATCATATAAGACCAATTATTGTACCATATCTATAGAATCATGCCATCATTAATGTACCAGTATAATAGTAGTACCATTAAACGTACCTTATTTCAAATGGAAGAGACTAAAGTACCAATTATTGCACCATAATACCATTGTAATAATACTGAAATGCCATTATAATGTATTAATATCATCAATTTCTGGCCAGAGTCATACACTTGCGCCGATACGCATTACAAGTGTGATAATGGGTTCTGTGTGCCCAGGGATGTGCTGTGTGATTTTGACGATGACTGCGGTGACAGTTCCGACGAGCATTATTGTCGTGAGTATCGTTTCTGTCTGTGTCTCTTTCTGTCTGTCTGTCTGTCTGTCTAAATAAAGTAATACATTAATACTGCTTCTGTGCTTATACCACCATACACACATACATACAGTACACTCTTCCAGCATCACACACATACAACACACACACACACACACACACACACACCTTTCTTTACAATGTATTTTTCTTATTACAATGTTTTTCGTTTACTCTTTCTTCAATGTGATTTAAAATGCGTTACTCTACCCACTGGTCTCGTCTCAACAGTGTACAGGAAGTGTTACGAAGAGGAGTTTACGTGTGGCAACGGAGAGTGTGTGTTCCCAGGCTTCGTGTGTGACGGTGAACCTAAATGTAGTGATGGTAGCGACGAGACACATTGCCAACCAGGTAAGTGGAGTGGGTACCAGAGGGTGCCAAGTGATTGTGCCAGTGTATGCAAGGTGCCAGATCAAGTGGGTACCAAATTATGCAATAGTGCCAAGTTACAGGTGAGATTTTTACCTACTTCTCGTTAATTTTTCTTTTATGTTTTTGTTTATGGAAACTTAAAAGAGCAAATAATTATCACTGACACCTTTGTTAAATCATTATAAAGTGAGCAGAAATATTTTTGATGACCCTCTGATTAAAGGTCAAAGGTTAGGTTAGCTTAGCTTCTGTTACTAGGGCAAAATGCTATGAGGTGAAGTTAGGTCATAAATTATGTTAGGTTATATTAAGTTACACAAGTTTACATTAATTTAGGTTAGGTTGCTATGATGCTAGGTTAATAGGCTGTTAAAGTTAGGTCATAGATTATGTTAAATTAAATTAAGTCGGAAACAAGAATGAAAACCTGAAACACTTTAAACATGTAACTGAATCGTGGTTGATAAAGTCCGTAGAGTTTCTTAGGTTCAGTGAATGATCCGCACACACACACACACACACACGCACACACGCACGCACGCACGCACACACACACACACACACACACACACACACACACACACACACACATACACACACACTGACCATCTCTTTTTGACAGAGGACTTTGCAGTGTGTAAATCAGGGCGGCTGGTACACAGACATTTCTGGTGTGACGGCTCGGCAGACTGTGCTGACAACCACGCTGACGAACTCCACTGTAAGTATTGTGACTGCTGATAACCTCACTGACGAACTGACATTCTCGCTGACGAACTTGGCGACGTTCGTGACAAACTCTGATTGTATTTTATGAAATATGAATTCTTTATATCGTAATCTCTCTCTCTCTCTCTCTCTCTCTCTCTCTCTCTCTCTCTCTCTCTCTCTCTCTCTCTCTCTCTCTAGCGGAAGTTATACTCCTCTCTCTGTCTCTCTCTGTGTACTCGGCAGGTGGGGAGTGTAGAGAAGACCAGTTTCTCTGCCCCAATGGCCGTTGTATACTGCAGGGGAATGTGTGTGACGCCCAATGTGACTGTCTCGATTGTGCTGACGAGCGTAACTGCAGTCGCTTTTATACCACGAGGTCTGGTGAGTTCATGATAGAGCCACCCCATGACCTGACCTGACCTGACCTAACCTAACATACTGATGGTTTAATTAGTCAGTGTTTAGCCAGGCCATCAGATATATGGGACCAACATGTCTCTTCAGTACAGTAAAAACTCTCTCAATAACGGAGTTGTTAATGAAGTAATGAATACAGTAAACACTCTCAATTGCGGATATTATCTATAACGGAATCCTCTCAATAATGGACAGGGATCTCAGGAATTAGTCTGGTATTGGGAGGGTTTTTTGTAGGTGCAGTTATACAGAGTTTTTTAAGCGATCCAAAACTAATCTATGAAGGAGTCGAGGGATTAAGAGAGAAGGTTGATTAAATATTATCATTATTATTATTATTATTATTATTACTATTTACGTTGTTCTCTTTCTTATCATTAAACAAGGACAGGTGTTTAATTACATAGCAACAGGTAACTAACATGACTTTGGTTGACAGGTGTGGCGGTGTGTCAGTTGGGCCAATCAATCAGGTGTGGTATTCTGACAGGTGATCGCCAAGAGGAGAGGTGTGTGGCAGCTGAGTATGTGTGTGACGGCATCGACCACTGTCACATAGGGAAGAAGAGATTATCAGATGAGCTGGAGTGTTGTGAGTCTCTCTCTCTCTCTCTCTCTCTCTCTCTCTCTCTTTCATGTATATATTTATCTTCATATGTTTTATCTATACATATTGTTAATGCGTCTATATGTGTACAAGAGACGTAACTCCTCGTCACTCCCCTAATGCATGAGTGGGTAATACACTTGTGGTAGACAGAAAACCTCGAGACATAGTTGTAAACGTCTTTCTGGACCACACCCAAAATGGTCTTTCTCCTTGTGAAATTCTACAGCTGAGATTTAATAATTATTGGTATAATATCTGTCATACTGGGGTAAAAAAAACTAACTTAGTTTTGGAGATAGAAGAGAGAGGAGACTTGATGAATTAAATATTAAGGTTTTATTCAGATTAATAGGGGTTATTTTTTTTATGGTGAGACAACACTCGGGTGGGCTGGTATCCTGCCAAGATGGTGGAGCAACCCACTTGCCAAGACTGGAAAGGACAGACAGACAAACAGAGGCTAATACTGACATTCATGAACAGCTTTGAAATGCTATAAACACAAAAAGACATGCTATAAGCGCAGAAAACAACAACGGGGAGCAGGATTTTAGGAGTGAAGAGCATCTGGCAGCATTGTGAGACGAGTCGCACCATAATACCAGATCTTCATATTTGTTTACATAGACGATGCGGCTTTCGATTGATACACAAAATATACTGAATATTTTTCCCTTCAGCAAGTAAAAAAAAACTGACTTATTATAATACAGATATTTTTATTTTTTACTTAACTAAAGATAAAAAAGATTATTTACTTACAATTTAAGTGTCAGGGTAGTTTTTAGTGGGCAGTGTTAACAGCTTGTGATACACTCACTCTACGGGTCTTTGGGAATTTAACACTGAAGTGGTAGATAATAAATAAGAAACAACGGATCTCGAACTGTTATAATTATGAACACTGTAAATAGATTAACACCTGATATCTTGTAAACAAAGTCGACCGGTCGGATATCTAGTAGTTGATATATCGTGGCGACTGACCATAGACGCTTGGCTCCCACCCAGCCAGGGAGTATTAAAACTGTGTCGCCCGTTGATAGAGATCGTAACTTCTCCTTTTCCCTTCCTTTATCTAGCTTCTTCTCCCTCATTTCTCCCTCATTCTTTCCTTCCCACTCCTTTACCTTCACTTCTTCTCCCTCTTCCCTCATTCTTTCCCTCCTCACCCTTCCTCCCTTACCTCTCTCCCTCACCCTCCTCCACACCCATCGCCTCCTCCCTGCTACCCTCCACCATACAACCTCCTCTTGGGTGAATGGCGTAAACAAGAGGTAATGTGGTTTTAGTTAGACCCTCAAACCCTCATTAAGATTATGTGTCTCCCTAATAACCTGACCTGACCTGACCTGACCTAATCTCTGGCAATATGGCGACGGTATTACACTGTGAATCTACTGGAGCAGGTTGACAGGAAGCTTCCATCAGTCTTCTTCTTTAGTGTCATCTCTCTCTTGTTCTTTCCTTCCCTCTCATCCTTCTCCATCAACCTCTTCCTTCTCATTCCTCTCCATCAACCCCTTCCTTCTTTTTCCTCTCCATTCACCTCTTCCCTCTCGCCTCTCCCCATCAACCTCTTCCCTCTCATTCCTCTCCATCAACCCCATCCTTCTCATTCCTCTCCATCAACCTCTTCCCTCTCACCCCCCTCTCACCCCTCCTCTCACTCTCCCCTCTCATCCCTCCTCACTCCTCCCCCTCCTCACTCCTCCCCTCCTCACTCCTCCCCCTAATTACCTGTACAGTCACGGAGTACACTTGTCTCGCGCTGGGGTAAAGACCAACGTCTTTACCCCCGCGCGAGACAAGTGCATCCCTGGAGCGTGAAATTGTCACTCCAAAGGGATGGGGTTTCGCCAGTAGAGAGAGGTCAGGGTAAGTGGGCGTCAAAAAACAAGCAGGTCCTGGGGAGTAAAATTGGTTACTCAGGACAAGGGGTAAAACAGGACCAAGGAAGGGTAGGTTTAAATGTATACTATACAAACAGTAGGAGCGTTAGAAATAAAATAGACTTGCTGAGAGCGGTTGTATGTACCGAGAATGTAGACGTCATAGCAATCACCGAAACTTGGATGAATCTGGCGAGCAAGAGCTTTTTACCAGAGTACCACATAGAAGGGTACAACCTTTTTCACAAGGACAGGGAAGGTGACTATGAATCTGAAGACTTCCTAGACACAGTACAGGACAATTTCTTAAAACAACTAATTACAGAACCTACTAGAGGTGACAATATATTAGACCTAGTACTAACAAATAAAGAAAATATTATCAGAGATATCACAGTAGGGGAAGAACTAGGTAACAGTGATCACAGAGAAATCAGGTTCACCCTAAATTGGGAAAAGAAAAACAATGACAATGGTCAGAGTCCCTCCCCTCCCCCTCCCGCTCTTCCAACTCCCTAACTCCATCACCACCTTTCGCCCTGAGGAGGCCAGATAAGGCACCGGCTCCAGACACAACGGCGCCAAGACACGACTTATTTATGTTCAGTGGTGACGTCATGCAGTGGAATATAGCCAGCCAGTCTCTCTCTTTCTCTCTCTCTCTCTCTCTCTCTCAGCGTCTGGGGAAGAAGACAAATGCTGATTGTGTGTGAGAGAGTTTCCCCTCACCGGCTAAGATTATAGTGATGCTACACACTCTTTATGTTGACAGGGCATATGAGCAAACCATGTCTGCCGCCAGAGGGAGAGGTCGAACCCTGGGTCCAGTGTTCAGACGGCCGCTGTGTTCCCAAGTCTCTCCTCTGTAATAGGGAAGGCGCGTGTCCCAACGGCCAGGACGCCAACGGGTGCCGTGAGTAGGGAGTGCCAGCCTCTCTTGTGTAACTCGTCTTTAAGAATGAAGAAGATATGGAATATTTTTTTTACTCAGTTATTATAGTTGGCAAAGACTGGTTTTTATATGATGTAATTTACTTCTAGTTTATCCCTTGTAGTTAATATTATTTGTTTTACCTGGAGGATATCACCACCAGGTACCCTCAGCCTCAGGTAACCGCTACAATAACACGTCGTTTGGTTTACCTTTTCAGCGGTTATGACGTGTAAGGAAGGAGAGTGGCAGTGTTTCAGTGGTCAATGTATTCCTCTGCAACACCACTGTGACGGTAAATTCTATCACTGCAATGATTCATCGGACGAGCGTAACTGCAGTGAGTATTGTACATATTGACTCATTATATTCTCATGAGTTATAGTCACACCTGTGTTACATCTTATTAATTTATTATCTGTAGTGTGTGTGGGGGCTTAGTTACCTGGCATGATGGCAGTAAAGGTAAATTAAGAAGAGTGTCCGTGGTCGTGGCGTCCTTAGATGTTGACAGATAATTATCGTGTGTACTTGTCCTTAATCACCTGGTACGTTGGCAGGAAAGGTGAATGAGAAGTGTACGTCAGATTGGCGTCCGTGTTCAGATGGTCGGTGTATTCCGGGAGCCTTCTTTTGTGACGAGAAGGTCGACTGTCTTAACGGTGAAGACGAGGACAACTGCAGTACGTTGTCTATAATTATTGGTGTTTATAACCATAGATTGTAAACATAGTTGTAGTGTTGTAGTATTGTCAACTATAGCCTGTGTAAGCCATCAGTCTAGATTTTCAGGTGTTGTTGTTGTTACGCTAAATCAGCTGATTACCACCACGTGTGTTTGTTTACTTTCCAACAGCGGCGACCGTGGAGTGCGGGGAGGGGGAGTGGCAGTGTTCCAGTGGTGGGCAGTGTGTCAATGTGTCCTACCGATGTGATTTATATTTCGATTGTAATGATACGTCGGATGAGCTTCTTTGCAGTAAGTATTATATGGTTATCGTGGAAGAACATTGAACACACACACACTCTCAGCCCATAAGAGCCCGCACCGATAGATATAAGAACAGCACCATCCCATCTATTGTTAAAATAATAAACAACTCCTGATTTATGTACTGTACAGCTCTGTAAATGTATTCAATGCATATTATATCATTATGTCTAAATCAAATATAAGTCTGTATATTTTCACCCACCGGCTGCAACTCTATTTATAAACCGTTTATTATTTTATTATTATTATTATTATTGCACACACACACACACACACACACACACACACACACACTTGGAGACGTATAACAACTCATATCACGTTTCCCTGCAGGTGATCATGAGTGTGACCAAGACCATATGAAATGTCATTCGGGCCAGTGTGTTCGTCGGGACTACTGGTGTGACTATGTTGTGGACTGTTTTGATAAGTCAGACGAGATGTACTGTGGTGAGTCACGCTGATTGATGTTGCAATATTTACTATAAGCTATATATTGATCTTGATGTTGCAAAGTATTACTGGGGGTCAAATAATGAAATATTAATCTTGATGTTGCAAATGCTCTCAAGTCAGGTGATGTTGCAATAAGTTATTACCATTGATGAGGGAATTGTTTGCATCCTTGCAGAGATCAACATAGGCTGTGAGGAGGGGCAGTTTCAGTGTGCTAGTGGCCAGTGTATACCTAGTGAGGACCGGTGTGTCGTGCACCAGGGGACCACAAGAAGAGGGTGTGGCGACGGATCCCATTTGCTGAACTGTAGTGAGCTAATGTTTTTTTATCTTATGGGTTCCAGTTTTAATAGGCTCCAGTTCTAATAGACTCCAGTTCTAATAGGCTCCAGTGCTAATAGGCCTCAATTCTAATAGGCCTGACGATTATTACTACGATTATCACCACACCATCACCACTAACACATCACCATCCTCCTCCACCACCACCCCATCACCCACCCCCTCCTTCCACCACCACCCCATCACCCACCTCCTTCCACCACCACCCCATCACCCACCCTCCTCCACCACCACCCCATCGAAGGATCAAACGGAACAACTTGTGGTGAAGACATGCACCGATGTTTATCCGGCCCTTGTATACATCATTCGGATATCTGTAATGAAAAGATCAATTGTCCAAACACCTGGGATGACGAAAGCAACTGCAGTAAGTATTTATATTTATCCGGGTTTAATTCTTATTGTTTGTAAAGATAGAGTTATGGATGTAAATAAAGTCATGTTATATAAACCTTAGGTAGCGCTTTTTTTATATAAGCGTTATGTGGTAGTATTGATGCCATGGAATTCAAAAGTGCCATGGAATTCAAAAGTACCATGGAATTCAAAAGTGCCATGGAATTCAAAATTGCCATGGAATTCAAAAGTGCCATGGAATTCAAAAGTACCGTGGAATTCAAAAGTGCCATGGAACTCAAAGTGGCACTCCTCTTGTTTTTTGGCAGTATTCTCCTGCTCCAAAAATGCTGCCAAGTGCCGATGTTTTAACGTAGAAGCCAACTGTTCCAGCCTTGACCTCCAGGAGTTCCCAGACACAGAGGAACAAATAAACATCTTGTGAGTACTGAGGGCAATAAGTGGGTGCAGGTGTGGGCAGGAGGTGGGTACAGGTGTGGGCAGGTGGTAGTGGTGCAGATGTGGCCTAGAGGTGATGCAGGTGTGGGCAAGAGGTGATGCGGGTGTGGGCAGGAGGTGATACGGGCACAAGGTAGTGAACAAATCCTCTCGCATTGATCATAAACTGAGTACGATGACAGCCCCTTGAATATAGACTCTTAAATAATAGTAGTAACAAAAATAACAAAAATAATAATAATAATAATAATAATAATAATAATAATAATAATAGTAATAAACATAGGCCTTTTCTTATTGTGTGTGTGTGTGTGTGTGTGTGTGTGTGTTTGTTTGTGTGTGTGGATTGAAAAAACAGACACCCCTCAACTGCTATTTCTTCCGCCCCCTCCCACCCATACAGTATCTTCGCCGACAACTACTTGAACGTCACCCTCGAAGCAAAGCCGATACGTCAAAACATGAGTCGAGCCATCCACCTGTGAGTATAATTAACCTGGTGAGAGAGAGAGAGAGAGAGAGAGAGATCCTGTAACTACACAGATAATAAACTCTCTCTCTCTCTCTATTATATAATTACTGTTATTCACTTTGTTATTATATATGTCACAAAAAATGACTTAAACAAAGAGTTACTCTGATTATATTAAACACTAACCACCACACACCACCACTACACACACACACACACACACACACACACACACACACACACACACACACACACACACACACACACACACACACACACACACACACACACACCACCACCACTAACCACAGTTAACCTTGGCAGTGATCTATCGAGGAACCACATCGCTCACCTGAGGAACGACGTGTTTGCTCACCTGTGGAGATTGAAGATTCTTGACCTACGCGATAACCACCTCACTAACCTCACGGCCAATGCCTTTAATGGCCTTCTCAACCTTAGGTCATTGTGAGTAGTTAAAGTCTTTTGGTGAGTAGTTGAGGTGTTTTGTGAGTAGTTGAGGTGTTTTGTGAGTAGTTGGGGTGTTTTGTGAGTAGTTAGGGTGTTTTGTGAGTAGTTGAGGTGTTTTGTGAGTAGTTGGGGTGTTTTGTGAGTAGTTAGGGTGTTTTGTGAGTAGTTGAGGTGTTTTGTGAGTAGTTGGGGTGTTTTGTGAGTAGTTGAGGTGTTTTGTGAGTAGTTGAGGTGTTTTGTGAGTAGTTGGGGTGTTTTATGAGTAATTTTCCTTGTATAACAGGTCATGAGAGAGGGGAGAAAGGAGAAAAAAAGATGAAGGGAAAGGCAGAGAGAGAGTTACCATGAGAAATTATTCTCTCTCTCTCTCTCTCTCTCTCTAACTGACTTGCTCTTCTTTACATTCCAGACATCTAAGTGGAAACAGCATCACATCCCTAGCCTCTCATGCCTTCTATGGTCTGACATCCCTCGCTACGCTGTGAGTACCATTCACACACACACACACACACACACACTTTACATACATACATACATACATACATACATACATACATAAACACACGCAGTTCTATAACATAATCTTACGTTAAGTTATTTAAGGTAGAGTTAATGAGTACTGTGTATGGTAACTATCTGTCTGTCTGTCTGTGTCTGTCTGTGTCTGTCTGTGTCTGTCTGTGTCTGTCTGTGTCTGCTGTGTCTGTCTGTGTCTGTATCTGTGTCTGTCTGTGTCTGTCTGTGTCTGTCTGTGTCTGTCTGTGTCTGTCTGTGTCTGTCTGTGTCTGTATCTGTCTCCTCTGCGCTATATCGCTGTATTTCTCTTTAAAAGCTCAACAATATGTGAACTTTTCCCTTTGTGGATATTTAACAGGTGTTTTTAACTTCAAATAACTGCGACTTCTAATAACTACGGTAATAGAGGAGTCTCCTAATCTAACTTAACCAAATCTGGGCCTAACCTAACCTAACCTAACCCTCTGTCTCACCCACAGGGATCTCAGCTACCAAGGATTGACTCATATCTCATCTAACGCGTTCCTTGGTCTTCGTAAACTGGCCACACTGTAAGTTATGGTCTCTCTCTCTCTCTCTCTCTCACCTACATTGTTTTTCTATTCCTTACATTTTTATCAACTTGTGTTTACCATATCATGCATAATTAATCAGTATCATTGTCCTTATTTAAGAATTGCGACAGTGAAGAAGTGTGTGTGTGTGTGTGTGTGTGTGTGTGTCGACTATGTTAATACGTGTGCGTGGTGTAACTGTCTGTATGAGTTTACAAATGCATCTATGTGTATGTATGACTTGTATATGTACAGTATAACAACAGCTATATATGTATGTATTTATAATTGTATATAACTCTACGTTTGACTATGTATATGTGATTGTATCTATGTATGTATGTTTGTATATATGTGTATGTATGGCTGTGTATACATATTAACCTCTACCATGTATTTCCCTTATAGGTCTCTCTCACATAACAAACTCGGTCACCTGCATCATAAATTCTTCAGTGGTCTTCAAAACCTCAAAAAACTGTAAGTCAATTCTCAGTATTTTTCTTAAGATAATGTAAAAAAAAAAATATTATCAGCATTTACCATCACAAATTCTAAGATATTTCTCCTTATTATCTTCAATAATTTGTAAGAAAATTCTCAGTATTAAGCTTAAGAATTTCTAAGTGAACCGCCCATTAACTGAGCCACCCAACTTAAGCCACCCATTAACTGAGCCACCCATTAACTGAGCCGCCCATGAACTGAGCCACCCATTAACTGAGCCACCCATTAACTGAGCCACCCATTAACTGAGCCACCCATTGAGTGCACCACCCATTAACTGAGCCACCCATTAAGACCAATTATTTATCCCTTTAGAGACGTCAGCCACAACTCCATCGTCACCGTCAACTACAACACGTTTCAACACATCCCCAAACTCAAGTTTCTGTAAGTATGACGTCATTCGTAAATTCGGCCCTTTCGTCCCTCTCTTTCCCCTTCTCTATTCCCTCTCCGTACTCCTCTCTCTCTCTCTCTCTCCCCATCACCACAGCGGTATCAAATTCAGTAGTAAATCACACCTCGTTATGAAATCCTTCGTAACCTTAATTGCTTAGTTGCTGGGTCATAAATCTTCATACACGATGGAAACTGAAGGAACGACAGGTTGAATGAAAAACTTTATCTCAAGAAAACGAAAAAAAAAAAGATTGAAGTGAAGGCGGACGCTGGGGAGGGAATTAGGGTAAGACAGATGAAGGAAATTGTAGTCAGGTGGTGTTAAGTTAATGTGATTTTCTGAATGGTTCGAAGTTGATATGATGATTGCATAGGTGTGTGTGTGTGTGTGTGCGTGTGTGTGTGTGTGTGTGTGTGTGTGTGTGTGTGTGTGTGTGTGTGTGTGTGTGTGTAGAGTATCTAGAATTCTTAAATACAAATACCAAACCTATATAAATATATACAGTAAATAATGATTGTCCCTCCGTGTAACGAGGATAACCTCCCCAAGGACCACTTAGGCATGAATTTGTTAAAGGTGTTGAAGCTGTCACCAACACAACAACCACACCCTAAGTTAACGAGCTGCATGACCCAGTGTCAAGGAATAGTCTGAGAAGACCGGACAACTCACCAACTGCACTGGCTAACCATTACCCCGGAACACGAGCCGCAAATCAATTAACATCCAGGTCCCCAATTATTGCTGGGTAGACAGAGGCAAATGACGTAAAGACACCCTAACACACTGACCTCGTCCTCCACAGAGTGTTAGACGAGTTCCGACAGTGCTGCCAGGTAAGACACATAGCCAGATGTGTACCAGAGGCGGACGAATTCTCTACCTGTGAGGACCTGATGTCTAACCTGGTACTGAGAGTGTCCATCTGGGTCCTCGGTCTGGTAGCGCTCTTCGGCAACACCTTCGTCATCATCTGGAGGAGCGCCTTTAGTAGCTTCAACAAGGTGGGTCTTAAGATCTCCTGAAGGGGGTGGGAGGGTGAAGGGATAAGTGGTAGGTGTGTGTGGGGGGGGGGAGAGAAGGTGTGAATGTTGTCTATGTTATGGACAAGTAAAATAGTGGAGGGGGGGCATGGTGGTGGTAATAGTAGTAGTATTTAATAATGGTTACATAAAAGGTGATTGGGCTATAGTGAGGGTAATAGTGGCTGTATTAGTGGCGGTAGTCACACTATTAACCTCTCATATCGTACATATCACCTACCTGAACACACACACACACACACACACACACACACACACATACGACCTCTAAACAAAGAACATGACCTCTGTTTTCCCCCGCCAGCTAAACTCGTTCCTGATAGTTAACCTGGCCCTAGGTGACCTCCTGATGGGGTTTTACCTGATAGTGGTAGGGGGCGTGGACCTACACTACCGTGGGGTATACGCTGAGCACCAACTCTTCTGGAGGACTTCTTGGCTCTGTCAGATGGCCGGCTTCCTCAGTACCTTCTCCTCCGAGCTCTCAGTGTTCACGCTTACGGGTAGGTGATGTGTTGAGACGAATGAACCCATTAAATTTATCTTGATCTAAGCTCTCTTCACCTAATGTAATCTATTTTAACGTAACATAAACCTAAGCTAAATTAACTTAACCAAAAACTAGCCTAGTATAACTTCGCCTAGCTTAACCTAACCTAAGCTATCTTAATCAAATCTGACTAAGCTTCACCTTACCTAAACTAACCTAAATTAACTTAACTAAAGCTAACCTAATCTGACCTAACCTGAACTGAACCTTACCTTTACTAACTTAACTAGTACTAGACCTAACTTAATCTAAACTAATTCAAACTAACGTAACTTAACCAAACCTGAAGGGGAGATTTACGCATATTGAATAACATAGTAAAAGAAAGTGTATTTTGTCAATATCTCACCATTGAGGATTTGGGGGGAGTAGGATTTCTGTAGGGTTCATCATTAACCTGTGCAGTTTATTTGAATGGTTACATCTGCTCCTCTGGACAGAAAAATGTCAACGATATACATCCACAGTCGTGACATGTCCTGGTAAACTCGTTACAATTTTATCTGAATCTACCCTCTTGGCTTAGGTACGTTTTCTAATTTCCTAACATTAAAGAAAACGAAAATATCTTGAAGTTTTATTGATAACTGAAACATTTATCATAATGATGGTCCGAACGCACTGTACTGATACATAGGTTAACGTGCCCCCTTTTATTGACATGACAGACAATATACTTGTTTAGTTATGGCTATAAACCTACTTTATGATAATTTTAGAACGAAAATAACCTTAAAATGGAAAATAGATCAATATAGGTTATCAGAAAGGAAAATATCCGAAATTCAGCAGACAAATTACCCTTTAACCTGATTTAAGCTAAACTAAGCATTTCACTATTTTTTTTCTCACTCCTCTTCAGTCATCACCGTTGAACGCCTGAGAATCATTATGCATCCCAGTCACAACAAAAGCACAAAGCCAACGAAACTGGTGATGGCTGGGGTATGGATTGTGGTGGGTGTGTTGGCTACCTTACCGCTCGTCAACCGAGAGTACTTCAATAATTTCTACGGGCGTTCGGGAGTCTGTCTGGCGTTGCACATCACCCAAGAGAAGCCGAGTGGATGGGAGTATTCAGTCTTCATCTTCTTGGGTAAGACAACAAAGTTTTTTTTTTCTTCTTCTTCGTCAAATCACCATTACCATCTCCAGTCTAAATCTCTCGGGCGAGTCAACAAAACTTCATCATTTAACTTTACCAATATTTACACTGTTCGGGAAGCCAGAGTTTATTCCCTCAGTAAATGATTCTTATCATAATCTAGGATAAGTGTTTCTGCAGATAACAAAAAAATAATATTGGGACATATTTTTAATCAAACTCTTACATTACCCAGCCTTCGTTTACTGGGACTCAGCTTTTCTCTTAAGTGTACACCCTTACCATTTATCTTTCTTAGACTACCAACAATAGTCACGTCTACAAGCCATTTTATTTTTCCTCAAGAATTATGTAGATTTTGTATTTGTATTTTTTTTTACAGGTCTGAATTTCGTATCCTTCGGGGTGATTGCTGTCAGTTACGTGTTAATGTACTTCGCGGTTCGTAAGACACGCATGGAGGCGGCGAGGATCAGTCGAAGGGAGGATGAGAATTTGGCCAAAAGAATGACCCTGATAGTGGCCACAGACGCTGCCTGCTGGTTACCCATCATTATATTGGGGGTTGTTTCCCTGTATGGCGTCGATGTCCCACCCAAGGTTAGGATAATGCTACGTTATGATAAGGTTAGGTTTGGTTATATTAGGTTAGACGAGGTTAGAATACTGTTCTCTCTCTCTCTCTCTCTCTCTCTCTCTCTCTCTCTCTCTGTCCACCACCTGTGTCTTTCTCCTCCTCCTCCTCTTCCCTCTGTAATATCTCCTTCACCTCTTCCCCTAACAGGTGTTCTCATGGGTTGCAGTATTCATCCTGCCTCTCAACGCTGCTGTCAACCCAGTGCTGTACACCCTCTCCACGTCCCCCGTGAGGAAGAAACTCGGTACCATCCGTCAGAGTTTGAGTAGCCGTAACTCCGGGTCGGCCACAGGTAACTCAAATTAAGACATGGATTGGAGAGAGAGAGAGGGGGAATGAGAGGGAATGAGAGGGAGAGAGCTTAAGACATACGTGCAGACCTGCATGCATGCATAAAAGCTGAGTGGATGTAGTAGTGTCTGGTGCGTTTATAGAAATGAAGTTTGTTTGTATAACCGACCATTATAGCGATGTAAACAAACACTTGTGATAGTTTAATATTTTTTTAATGCATAGTCACCCACAAAAGTCCTGTCACCTCTCCTCCTGAACTACGAACCCCGAAATTGACTCGTGAACCCGAAGCATTTATAGATAGAATAATGTCTACTGCTTCTGGTTCACGAGTCTGATTCTCTGGGTTCGTGGTTCAGGAGGAGAGGCGACAGGACTTGCATAGGTGACTGTACACTCGTTGGTATATATCCTACATAAGGGTTTGGTTCCTCCCCCAACAGGTATCCCACTACCGCCGATAAAGAGACCGAGGGAGTCGACCTTGAGTTCAGACGTGGTCAAAACAAGCGATAAGGGAACAGCTGTGAACACCAAGGATACAGTGTGTGTGTACAAACCCGGTACAGCACATACACAAGACGTCCTCACCTGTCTTCACAAGTCTCCTGAAGCGGTGTAGGAGACATATCCTTGTAGATGACTCCTATTGCCCCCCCCCCCAACACCACCCGCTCACCCCCACCTTTCCATATTCGTGTATCTGAATATAATAAGTTTATTCATGAGTTTTCTAAAAAAAAATTGAAATATATTTGACACATTCCTAAAGTTGTGCATGAAAGGGTAAAAAAATAGATTTGTTGTAAGATGATCGTTACTTTTTTTCGTATAAGTGAAAAAAATAGTTGTGTAATTAATGTATCACCATATTGAATGACATTTGATGGCGATGTTTTATGTATAAGAAAAAAAATAAACAAATGAAGTACAACGGGCGACTGGATACATCGCTCGTGTTTTATCCTAGGATTCGTTGATTCTAAACCAGAGCAATCACAGCCCACCCAGCTGTAAATGGGTACCTGACTTTACTGTTGGGAAAATGAAAACTGTTGAGTGCAGTGCCAGCCATGTTAGCTTCCAGTGTACCGAACTCTTAGTATATAATGTGTGTGTGTGTGTTGTATCCACATTCTTTCATCACTTTCATATGTAAGAACGAAGGCAGCTCCTAACCAATGCTTAGTCACAAAGTAAAAACAGAAGAAAAGAGACAATGGATTCTAAACCTTCTTTTCTTCATTATTTAACCCCACCTTAAAGGATATCGTCTAATATATCTCTGTGACCTCAACATATACAAACTTAGAAGTTGAGTTGAATATTATGACCATTGTTTACTTACAAACAAACGATAAATTGTATGTTTTAACTAGAAATTGCTTACAAAAGATAGATTTAATAGAAACACTTAATGCGTGGTCTGTGCATACCTATCACAAAGGTACTCAAGCTATCCAACCAGGAGCGAACTCGTAACAATGGTTTGAAATTAGACAAATTTAGATTTAGGCGTGAAATAGGTAAACACTGGTTTGGAAACAGAGTAGTGGATGAATGGAACAAGTTACCAAATATCATCATTAACTCGAATACGCTGAATAGCTTCAAACATAGGTTGAATGAATATATGAGCAATAGGGGTTGGGTGTAAACGGGACTGCCCAGTATGGGCCAATAGGCCCGCTGCAGTTTCCTCCATTCTTATGTTCTTATTACAAACCATCATTCCCTCTTCATTAATTATAGTGTCTACTTAGAGTTCTCGCATGAGCTCTAAATACCATAAGTGTATCATAATATATGTGTCATAATAGGTTTAGTCAACAGCGCGCTTTACAACACTGCTCTAAACAGAAATATTCTACATAATCACCAAAATCTATACTGTATAATAAATGGTATTCTTTTTTCACTTGTGGATTTGTTTTATTTATTTGTACTTTTAGATATTGGTTTCTATCTAACTGTATTTCAGTTTCACCACTTTTTCTTCAACCCCTAATAATCTTCTTTCACCTCATGACTCCAAAGCCAAAGGTCTTTCTACTCTACGCTCCCAAACGGACAGGACCTCCTCTCAACAAGCTCCTCACCACACAGCAAAAATCTGGAAAATACAATAATATATATGACAGAAGAAGAAATAAAGTATAGAAAAGAATATTAACTTAGAAAATATAAGCAAAGAATTATAAGATAGATACTTATAGACAGAAAGAGTTAGAAAATAAAATTATATATACACAAGAAAAGATAACTAGAAAAAACTGTCTTAAACAGCTATAGATAAAAGAAATAAGAATAATAAGAATAGAATGGAAAAGGAAAACACCAAGCATGACCCCTTACACTTCTCCCGACCTCTGCTTGTGATGATTGTCACTATGTCTGCCTCTGACTGTTTCTCCCTGTCTGACTCAAACAAGGAAATACAGGTAGGCCCTTTATATTATGGGTAGATGTCGTCACTAGTCTGGGTGTGTCTGGATAAATGGTTCCTTGAATTAACAAGGTCATAACACCGGTTTGACTAATCACGCATCTGTGAGAACTGTTTCATTGTGAGCCAGGGCCGTCCCTAGGAGGGTGCGGGGGCAACTCAGCCACTGCGGGGCCCCACACGAGTGTAAGGTTATGCGGTCAGAGGAACCCACCCCCACCAACCCCATGGGACTGTCGCTGGATGGTAAGGTCACGGTTGCGATGGTGGCGTAAGCCGTCAGGTCAGATTAACCAGTCAACAGGTAATGTGTCCGAGGTCACTGGGTCTAGTGCTGCGCCCCGCGGGGCCCCCACACGCGCGGGGCCTCGGGCGGTCGCCCTTATTCGCCCCCCCCCCCCTAAAGGACGGGCCTGATTGTGACCGTGACCTCTGTCTGGTCAGGTCATAATCTCACTTTCATTACTGCAGGGTGGGTCAACTTACAAGTGTAACGATTGTTTATCAGACCATAGCTTACAGCCCAGAGAAGAACAACACATATAGGTGTACGCCCTCGTAAGCTGACCCACCCTACAGTGACTAAGGTGAGATTAAGACTTGACCCAACAGGGGTCACGGTCACAAAGGGAACCAGAGTTCTCATCGCCATGCGATTAGTAAAACCGGCGTCATGACCTTATTAATTCAAGGAACTGCTACCCAGCCAGCACTTCTGATACCTGACCAAACAAACCGGTCTAGACACACCCAGATTGGTGCTAATTAAGAGAGGACATCTGCTGGCCTGAGAACTCCACTGTAAGGGGCCTTCAGCTCCTTTCACGGGGCATTATTATTGTAACCGTGAAGGGGCCAGCAACACTTTCCCCAGTCCCGCTCGTCGTCTCACCAGCTGTATCGAAGAAGTCCTTCAATAAGTGCAACGAGGTCCCAGCCCAGTCCATCGACGGTGTGCTATCTACTCATTGTGTGTCAAAGTATGTGCTGGCTGTGTAGACGGTAGTAGTGCGGTGATCCTGAACCTCCCCGACGATCGACATAGTTAGGTAATAGGAATATACCATTCTGTACTATATATTGTGTACCAACACCCATTAACCACTCCCCCAACCACCACCACCCCCCCCCCACCCCCCGTTGAACTAGTAAAGAAAGCTGTAACATACATTTGTGTTTTTTAAACTACACTTGTACTGAGCCTGTGTTAATATATAATATTATCTTTACACCCTCGAGTCACTGCTATATGTGTTGTTCTTAAGAAGAACATAGGAAAATAAGGAGTCTGCAATAGGCCAGTTGGCCTGTGCATGGCAGCTCCTGTCGAGAGTTACTACCACTCTCTATCATCCATGAATCTATCCAGCCTCCTTTTGAAACATCTCTGGGTTGTAAGCTATGATCTGATAAACAATCATTACAAAGTCATTTGGCGTGGTCTCATTTCTCCAGTCGATGTCGCCATAGTTAAAATCCCCTATGACAAGGAGGTGGCGAGGGTTGATCACTGTTGCATTGTCTATTAAGTCTCTTAAGTTCCTTTGGTTTAGTAAGCTACAGTTTGGGAATCTCACCTTTAATTTAATCTTACACCACTACACCGTCATCTGGCTGGTTCTAAGGTCTTGAGGTCTTGAAGAAAGTTTGTCCATATTGAACTCACATTTTTCCGGGATGTACAATACCTTCAGTAATCAGTGCCGGATTTAGACCTGTGGAGGCCCATGGGCAGCCTCTTTGTGGAGGTCCCCCTCATTATAACTACCCAAGAGGGTGGGGTGGCGAGTGAAGCGAGCCTAAACACCTGGGAGTTCCGGGGGGCGCTGTAAGCCCCCCGGGAAAATTTTGAAATTTGAACACTTCTTTGTTGAATTTTGAAGCCATATGCAGTTATATTGAGGAAATTAGAACATATTATAATTTGTGGAGGCCCCTGGGCAGCTGCCCACTTTGCCCACTCCTGAATCCGGCCCTGTCAGTAATGTTTCAAACTCCTCTCTCTTATCAAGGAACGTGTCAGTATTAGTGTCCATGATTATCAAGGAATGTGTCAATATTAGTGTACATGACTTTCAAGCCGGAATTTGTTCTCGGTAACGTTTCTGCTCTTGGTAATGAATCCGGCCCTCCTCCATTCTCAGCAGTTGACATGTTCTGATGGGTACGAGTTGTCCAGGACCCTCTTGGGTGGTACACTGCACTCACCACGTCTCCATCCACAACCTCTTGGTCTTGGAACCCCCTTTTTTATATTCCTGGACGGGCCACTGTGTGTAAATCAAGTGTTGTATATATTTGGTACAACAATATTCCTACAGTACAATAACTTCCCTGTGTAGTGTACGATACATAAACTGAAGTGTCACTATGGGCCTATGGGGTGTCATCAAAACAAATCGAAGTGTAATGTGTCACGTTTTTAACTGCCTCATGACCCACAACCCCTTCAACTGACTGTATATGACACTTACATAATAACCTGTGACCTACTACATGTCATGACTCTATTTCAAGTCGAGTTTGAGGATCGTTGGTAAGAACAGATAATTAGTTGGTATTTAAATGTCTGGAAGTTTAAATGTCTTGTTAAGTTGCTTTAAATGATAGTTTGTTTTTCTTTAATACATTTCTTTATTTAAACCTCCTTGATTATATTAGACTTGACTTGCTTTATAACTTTAATGTATTTAATTATTTTGAATGACTTAGATGTCTCATGTAACTTTTAACTTTTATCTTTATGGGCTTTAAATTGTTCTTAATTACATAGCTAAGTATCTTCTTTTAACTGTGTTCTTTAATGATAATACTACTTAATGTCTTTCATATACTGGTACTGTAGTTGATGTTAAGTGTCTGTGTTGTGTGATAGATACTAGGAAAAATATGAAGGTTTAATTTTGTGATTTTATGCTCTGTCGTTGTGTACCTTCACTTGTTTGTTTTAAATCTAACTTAACCTAACCTTACCATTTAATACCTATCCTAGCCAGACCTAACCTTACCATTTAATACCTATCCTAGCCAGATCTAACCTTACCATTTAAACCTATCCTAGCCAGACCTAACCTTACCAATCAAACCTAACCTAACCAAAATTTATCACCTGTTTATTTGGTAATGGTGGAGGAGACAGTTAGCAGTAGAAATTAAGTATCGAATTGGACCAAAATTTCCGGAGGTGTTATTTGCATGATATTAAACATAAACATGATAATTGAATTGGCAATGCACAGAACCTCACCTTACCAAACTAACCTACTTGACTTTACCTAACTTCCTTAACCTGGCATATAAATCAGAAAGAACTTACTTTGATATCAGGTACATTATCAATAAAAGCAACTTTCTTGTAGTGGCATGGTGTAATTTTGCTTTTTTTTTGTTAACAAGCGAGTACGATATGTTATTGGACTGAACCATATGTTACTTGTTCACTGTCAGTTCTCTGCTGCACTTTGAACACTTGCACCTCTTGCCAACTAGTCCATGTTGATAGTGAATTCTTGAAGATGGTCTTCATTCTCCACAAGCATAGATAATATGCAATACAATACAGATAACAACACGATAAGAAAATTATGGCTTTCTTCTCCCTCGGTCCTTCTCCTTGAGCAAGAACAATAGGTATATGAACGCACAGTTCACTTACCTGTAGAATCCAGTGCTACATGAAAGAAATCAGAAATGTATCAAAACTCGTAATGTCAGATTCATTTTCAACTACTATATGATTCTCATCATGAATACATAAAATAAGAACCTATTGTGGCCAAAAAAAACTAGGGATATGCACAAACAATATGTAAAGTAGACTCACGATTCTGGACAGTTAAGCCTATAAGAAAAAAAATCAAGCCTATACAGGTACAGTACAGTATTTATGGTAATAAAACCCCCAATATGAGGCTCCGACATTTATTTGTAATTTAAGTGATACCGGATTCAGAATTTGTTAGTTTAGGAGTGGACAATAACATGTGCCAACGTGGCAGATTTTGGGGTAGAATATTTGTGATAAATAATTAATTATTTCACATGTAAAGCATGTAGAGACATGATTTTATGTCATACAATCAGTTTTTCTGTGTGTTTTACCCCACAATTTTCCTCATCCTTCATGCCCTGTCCACTGTTGGTGATTTGTGATCATAGATAGCAAAGAACTAAAAAAATAAATAAAATATAGTTGTATCGATTTTATTAGTTAATCTCATCGAAAGAGCAACAAATTCCTCAAACTCTTTCCGGTGCTAACCGTCTGCTTCACTATTGCCATTTATTTTACCTGATGGTTAACCACACTTGCTTAACAGCCAAATCTAACTTGCCCTCTTAAGTATTGTTAGGGTGGTGAATCTTGAGGTGAAAAGTTTCAGTAAGTTTAGGTGATCTTGGGTTAAATTTGATTGGGAAGGTTGGGTTCTGGTTAGGTTAGATTTGATTAATTCCTCTAACCTTAATGGATTTTGATTCTTTGCAGTAATACAAACATAATGGTAAATAAGTAAAAAGGGGAAGATAAGAATATGGACCTTGTACTCAGCAATTTAAGTTTACCGTATGTAAGTCTGGTGAAATTCTCCGTGGTTTTGTAAGCTAATAATTAATGTTGTGATTGAAATGTATTTTAAAATATGGGCTTGGGTGTGAAGGAGAGGTCTCACTTAGGAAGTGTTGTTGAGGAATTTATTTCAGTGAGCAGATTTGTGATGATAATAGTTTTAATGAGAATAATGTACCCGTAAGTCCTACCTTACTAATAATGCACACATCATTGTTTGTTCTGCTGTGACTGCCATAGCACCATGACTTTGACATTAGCACTATGATTAAGGCCTCAATACCATGATTGAAGATATTTCTTCTATGCATCTCTGGCATCAGTTGAAGCATACTGTATGCTCTTTATGGTTTCTCACACAGTGTACAGTCAGTATACAGTGTACTTGATGCCATCTCTGCATGATTTGGTGTAGCTGCTTGACTGCTGCTTCTTGTTTCATTCAGAAGCTGTACCTCTTCTCTAGCTTTACAGGTAACTTGGCTTAGAACTTTTCCTGTACATCTCCAGGTCGTGAGTATTGGGATAATTTTTCAAGTACAGTACGTACTCATCTCACTGTCAATGCATATACCCCTAAAGTTGTTTTAAGTGTTGGTAAGTCAAATTTGTGCAAGGAACATAAAACTGATGATCACTGCCATTTAAGGGTTAAATTATTACCTTTTCAGAACTTATTCATCTGTTCAGAAATTTGAGTTTTTCTTTGTTTAAGTGGAATGAGGTAGGTCAGCTTTAATTGTTTGTATTGTGTAAGTTAAGGTGCAATAGACTGATCACACCATTTACCATTGTTTTAACTAGCACTTTTATATGGCACCTTTATCTAACCATCTATTTACAGAACACTCGGTTTACAGAAATTTGAGGGTACAGAATTCCTCCCAGTAAGATATCCTGAACCCTTGAGTAGTATGGTGTCTTAGCTCTTTGAATATAATGACCCATGTTATTAAGTGATATTTTACTCCTTGGTTAAACCCCAATATTCAAGGGGTTGGAAGCTGTACGGTAGTAAAACTTATCACTGTATCTCCATTAAAACAGACTTGAAGACAGCAGAGCCTGAAAACCTCTCTTGTGCTGTTAGATTGTAAAGTGAATGATAGTGTTCAAATTTATGAACCCCTCAGGTATACTACTGTACAGGTGTTTTACATGATATGTGTGTACAGTAATGTCTCTCGAACACTGTTAGATTGTAAGTACAGCACATATTGTATACATTTGTTGGGTGAAAAGAGTGGATGTTTGCGTGTGAACACTATTTTGTCTTCTCTTGTGGATATGGGTGTGTGATGCGTTTATGCCTTTGTATATGAATTTAATGTTATTTCTATTGGTAGTACAGTACAATATTAAGGTAGGCTTTGTTAATGTGTGTGGATGTGTATTGTGTGAGAGAGAGAGAGCATGGTGTTAGCTGGCTTGTGTGTAGTGACGGAGGTTAGCCAAATTAAAATCTTGGGACCATGCTGTGAAAGGTAATCATCATACTCTGGGTACAATACTGTTAATATTTGAAAGACTGGTGTTGGGTTAACAAGGTAAAGAAAGAGGCACAATGTATCGTTTTCAAGCGCTTGTCTGACTGGCCTCATTTCATAGCAAAGCGACAATCAACTGCTCAACACAGCACTGAAATTTAGTGGTATTCATTTGCAGACGACCTAATGAAATATCCAAAATACTCATAAAGCTGTAATTTAATAAAGTTTGACCAAATTTGTTAAATCTTTCTTTTGCTGCCGGACCATAAAATGAAGGGTTGAAGGATGGCCAAGGTCTCAGTGTTCACTAGTACTGTGCAGTACATTTGTATATTCAGTGTTTAGTACTGTACTTTTTAAAGCATCCTTGAATTGATTTTAGGAGATGAGTAATAACCTCTATACAGTATATTTTGTCCAGTAGTAATAGTTCTGGAAATCCGGTGACTTTTTCCTCCCATTAACTGTAGCAGTTTCATATGACTTTTGTACAGAATTTGAATTTATTACTTTAATTATATTGGGGATAGACTTATCATTTGCTGATGGAATTCTTTTTTTTCTCAATATAATGTGTAATTCATCATCAATGTGTTACACCCATTTCCCACACTTGCACGGTTTAGCCCCAATTACCTGATGTCGGTTGTTGGGTAAAACTCAAACAGGTTGCCCACTGGAAACTCAGGTAACTAGCATGCTGCCTAAGTGTGCCAGCCCAGAAAATGCAGCAGAGACCAGGGGCTGGGCACAGCTCTGGTGACCCAGTTGCCACTAGGCATGTTGAAGCAAAGTTTTATGACTTAGTGTCCTTCCTAGCACCAACCCCAGGTTAGGAACAGCTGGCAAGGCAAGGTCACAACTTACTCTCTGAGGTAATTAGAAAGTTCCCCCTACATTCTAATTAATATTCATCTTACTCTCCCCTGCAAAAGAAAATAGGTTATAGAAACTAATCATTTTGTAGATCCATCCATAACTCAGGGTATGTACTGTGCTCAGTAATCGTCTCCCACAATTGTTATTGTAGTGTTTTTAAACTAATGTTTTATTCCTAATGCGCATGTTTCAAAGTGGAGGTGCATTTTTACATCTTGTAGACCCTAGCAGGTGAAAATAATAATAATATTAAACAACTCCCTGTTAATGTTCTCTTTTTCTCATGTTTAATCCATTATTGTATTTTTTGTACTGCATGCCACTATCAGATGGTGATAGATCCCCCAACTGTCTTGTGGTAATAGCTCAAAGGCAGCATGTAGTGGGGTTCTTAGTGTGCCCCATTCTTTACCCTCAACACCAAGAAAAGGCATAAGGTTTATTTAAATTCTTCTGGGGGTAGTACAGTACAGCTTGAGATGGACTTTGGTTTAAGATGAAATTGTGAAAGTTCAACAAATCAGCCGTATTTCATTGCTTGACTATTAGTTTCATGGTTACTTGTATTTTTATTCCTTGATCTTGAATTGTGTTAAGAAAGTTATTAATATATGTGAACAAGTGTGAAAGATAATGTGCTGGTATGTGTAGAGTTGACTGTGGTGGACTTGCATAGTCTTTACAGTACAGTAAACCCTCAAAAGTCCAGACCCTGTAAGTCCGGATTTCAGAAAGTCTGAACCCTCTCCGAGCAAAAACACATAAATATCTGCGTTTGAAATTTCCACCGCACGGTCATTGAAATTGCCACCAACAAGCAATCCCTTGGCGTCTTTCTTCCTCTCAGACCCATGAGTGAGCAGTTTATTCCCCCACTCTGCACTGCAATTGATTAGCTATAAGCTCAACAAACATTCAGCCACAGAAAAAAAGGTAAGATTTTATGTAAAATAATTCAAACACAAGTGATGGTAATCCTCCCTGGAAAGGAGCAGAAGATGAGCGCAGACTGAATCATCCATGTCACACACACACACACACGGTGCAGGCCATCTGTCTCCATTATTTTATTTGTAATTTGACTTAAAAATACTTTAAATGGAAACACACACATGACATTTATTGCACATTAAAATACAAATTTGAGGGTCATCAGGTGCGGGGGTGCTAATGAATGGCTGCTTAGTGCACAGTGGCCCCCAGAACCCTCCCTCCCCCTCCAAAAAAATTGTAAAAAATACAGACAATCGGCAAGTCTGGACCCCTTTCCCCCAAAATTGTCCCGACTTTCGGGGGTTTACTCTACAGTGCAGTACTGTATAACCATCCACATACATTGCATCTGCTCACCAATTTTCAACAAAGCAACCCTTATTCTGATTCCTGACTAACGTTAACATTATTTTCTGCGTGATTCCAACTGCAATTCCTTACTACTCACGTGTCCAGGCTGGTTGATTATGGGCACATAGAACAACTGGTACGCGAGGTGACGGAAACAGTCACACAGAGAAGGCAGACCTTTGTTGGTACCGTTGAGCACGCACTACTCTCAAACAAACTGAGAAACTCCATACCTCAGGTAAGCTTTGTGCCGCTACAGCACCAATGTTGTAAATATACTGTACTGGATCACTTGAGTATATAAAGAGATGACCACTGGTAGATCTTAGTGTTTGGAGAAACTGCTTCACTTTGTTAAAACAGCATTTGTGTAAAGACATATTCTTAGACATTGTATGGAAATGTTTACTGATACAATGCACAGTATTTGGTGAAGGCTTTGAGAAGCACCATTTGAGTATATAAGTACATACGATAATGTACTGTAACATGAAGATGCCCGAAGATAAACAAGAGTAAATAGAGAGCCTTCAGTAGTTGAGCCTGTATTCTGATCCTGTTTCGTAGAAGTATGGGAAGTTGGTCATTGCTTCAAGAACTAAATGTTGATGGATGATGAATGGTTTGCTACTACTGTACTTCATAGAACAAGCAGAATAGGTGAGTGTTTGTGTGATGGGAAGTACTGTACTGTTGAAATCTTATATAGAATGCTTCAGAAGATAAATTTAGGAGCAGGAGTACGACCCTACACTCTTTGGTAATGATGTACAGTTAAGAGTAACTCGGCAGAAAGAAAGCACTGACCATATCACAGAAACTCAAAGGTTTGTTACAATTTCTGAAAAAGCATCTAACTGCATGTTATCTCTGCTTGCTCCATTGCTTATTGTTGATTTATTTTAAAATATTTTCCTTAGCTTGACAACTGTAGCATTTAAAGAACACAATCTATATAACCCATTCCTGAAATATTTATTCCTTCGGTATTTTTTCCAGTTTTGCACGCTGTGTGATATTTTTGTTACTGATTTTCCCTCTGACTCCAATTCTTCAGCTCAAGTAGTTGTGGTAGAGTACTGTAACTGTGATGTACAGTGGCTGGTGCATTTGTGATATGTGGCAACACTGTGGAATGATTACCTACTATCCTTAAGCTAGGATTCCATTCATGCGGTAGCAGTGGCGTTAGCGGCAAAAATAGATCATATTGAAATGTACACAGTTTCCATTGGCATGGTTGCGTTAGCGGTACCATTAGTGTTATGCATTTGCAGTACATATCAATCGCTCCCTGCAGCGATTGCCAATACAACCACATGGAAACAGATGAGGGGACAACCACATGGAAACAGATGAGGGAAACCCACACTGTGACGTCACTATCCCTGTGTTTGCTCTCCTCACCCAGCAAAATGCCTTGAGGAAAAAAAACCGTTTTCTGTTGAGGAGACTGAGAAGTTCATTTCACTCAGAATATATCCCAATCTATTTTTGTGATGCATTTATATATGGGTAATACATTTAGAAACCTAGCAAGTGTTATTTCATAACTTACTCATTAAGCATTGATCTTTACAGGTATATGTAATTTTGTGAGATCCATACATTTTTGACACAGCTGTTCTAAAATATGGTTCATGGTCTCACTAAAAGGGTCACTGGAATACTAATTTTTGTGTCACTTAATAACTGTCTACAGTTCATATCATTTCCTATTTATAAGCATCACTTACCTTATACATACTGCAAGTCGTTGTCTTTGGAAAATTACTTCTCTTTTCCTGCAGTGTTTCACCAAATCTTCCTTAACCAGGGAAAAATATTCTTTGAATTTTTCTTCATCCATGCTTAGGTCTTTTACCAGAGTACTGTAGGCTCCATATTTGGTCTACTTCAACAGCAATCTTTGAACCCACCATCTATGTTTCCCTGTCCATTTTTCATTTGAACACATGATCTTATACAAACCCAGGATGCTTAATAGCATATACGGCTCGTAGCTTCGATGCACAAGGAGCCATCTTTCCTGTCCTGTTCCCTCCAGCAGAAAGACAGCTGCGTGCAAATGGAAGCAGGGGTGTCCGTTTTTTCAGGGCAATTTAATGCAAATGCATATATGGAATCCTAGCTTTAACCAGGCTAATATTGTGAAGTTCCTCAGGGCCATTTTGGGATTTTTAATATAATGTAAACAAACACAGAGCTGCCACATCTCACAAACACGCCAGCCACTTTACCAGGTATAAGTGCAGGCGACTGTGCATGCTTAATGATTGGTTCCTACAAATGTGATTGAATATGGTAAGAGCTGTATGTACTTTGTGTGTTTTAAAGTACAAATAGCAGGATCCCATTATACATTTTATGTTCAAATAAATCCATATGGTAATATTTATTTTGCCTCAGCATCTCACTAACTTAACTGCCCTTTAGTTTTTGGATGCCCATATTTCAGACTCAGTTTTTACCTCCCCGTACAGCGCTTAAAGTCGGTTGACTCAGCCGGGACCCACTGTTGACCTGCCATCCTCTTCTTACCATTCATTGTTATCATCCCCAACATCCTGTATGTCAGTCTGTTAATGTTTATTACTCGGGTGAAATTATTCTTCATGTACAGTACAGGTAGACCCCAATTTATGAAACTTTAGTGAACAAAAATTTAAAGATAATAGAATTTACCTGTTTTGAATCACAAATGAAAACCCCAAACTTTTTAAATTTTGCTGAATTATTTTCTTAATTTGTTCATAAGTAATAATGAAAATAGGTTAAAATTGCATTTTTTTATTACCCTGTATTATTATTACCATTACTGTACACTTACTTACTCGTTGTTGGTCTTTCCATCATGAATCAGTGGAAAGAATACAGTATACAGTGTTACAGTATAGTAATCAGTGGTGTAACAAACAGAGGAAGAAAAACAACAATGGTACCATACAGGTCAAGAGTTGAATTTCTCTACCCTAAGTGCCAGTTACGGTGCAACATTTTCTTTTAGTGCTTATGTGAGCCATTTTCTCTCTTTTGTACGTACAGATTTTTTTTCCACCTCTTATCAGCTTTACTAGCAGTTGGTCTATCCAGTGTTCGTACAGGAGGAAACTGGAGTGCTGAACCAGTGATGTCTGGTGGTGAGAGTCCCACCGGATAACACCCTTCTCGTGTGTGTGTTGCACCTAGCAGAACTCGAACCCATGACATAGTGGTGGGACATATGCTGTATCACCAACACCCTCTGTGTACAATATTTTATGATTCACCTGCATATTTTTAAGACTTCATGTAATGTTTCAAATACTGTTTTATAAATTAATACAAATGTTGCCTAAGCTTTACATACTGTTCACTTTGATTCTAGTCTTAGTCTTGTCAAGTTTCTCATACACTGCACTGAATATATTTCACACACTGTGTTTGTTATTGGCTTATAATCATTGTGTACACCCAAATTTTTTATTAATACCTTTTTTGTGGCATTTTAACTTCGTTTTTCTTTTATTATTATTATTTTTTTGCAGAAACATATCTCAAGTTTCATAATGGAAGTCAGTGATAAAATTTACTTCGATTTACAAAGTAGTTTTCAGGAAGAGAACCCTTTTGTAAATCTTGGTCTATTGTACTGTACTGCAAATAGAAGTACTGGGTAGTGATATAATCATCACATTTAGCTCTTTCAGAATTGTTTTTCAGTTTCCTGGGAGATTACAATAATTGTGTTCACTGATAATGATGTAGAAAATAAGTAGTGTACCTGTAATATGGTACAGAGAGGTGACCAGGTAAAGTGACGTGGCTAGTTGAAGACTGTTTGCTAATATTTAGACTTTGATTATAAGACAGCTGTGATGGAGAGTCATACCTGTACAATATGGAGTTATGTTGAGTACTAGAGTCAAGGAAAACAGATGAAAGGGGTGAATTATATCATCTTCACCATCACAGAGATTGATTGATAGATTGATATTTATTCAGAAATTTGTTTATATAACTACCGTTGATTCAGTATGTATATAGACAATTGAGGTATACAGTACTGTACAAATCAGCATGCATCAAGACAATGCAGATATACATTGTAAGTAGACCATGCAGGTATACAACCACTGTACCTAGATAATATAGGTATACAAACAGTGGTAAACAGGAAGGCTCTTTGAAATGTATGGGGATGATGATTCTTTGAAAATGGGACTCAATAATTATTAGTATCTTTTGTTGTCGTATGAATGATTACTAATTTGGTCATTTCTTTTGCAGGTAGAGAGGCAAGTAGATGCTCTGATTTCAAGACTAGACGATTGGGAATTACGAGATTTGACACCGGCCGAGCGCGAGAGACGAATACGCCTCTGCGAAAAGTTTCAGAGTGCCATAAAGAAAGCCCACATGGATTTTAACGAGTTAGTATTAACCACTTGTGTACGGGATCGCCTCTCTGATGAATACAATTTTACCTAACTAAAATATTAAAAGTCATGTCCCCGTAGTGAAGAGGTTAGGGGAGAGGGTCTATGAATCACTTGTGTATGGGGTTACTTCCTCTATATCATCATTCTTATACAGTATACATTAGATCCCTTGACCTAACTGTGTGTCTTTGTCTGTCTGCCAAACTGCCCGTCTTTAATCGTAAGTTGTTGGTCACCAAAAGTTGTAGTTTGCTATACAGTATATGGAAGGGTGTTATCCGGTGGGACTCTCACCACCAGACATCACTGGTTCAGCACTCCAGTTTCCTCCTGTACTAACACTGGATAGACCAACTGCTAGTAAAGCTGATAAGTGGTGGAAAAAATCTGTACGTACAAAAGAGAGTGATTGGCCAAGTTAAAAATCAAGTAATTAATGAAGTGCTGTACACTAACTAAGACTTACTTCAACAGAGGATGCTACCACATTATTCACTCACTAGACCATACATTGTATTGCTGGGCTGGGCAAAGTGTAACATTTCCATAATGAACAGATCATAGTGTTCCTAAGAGGCAAATCACTGAAAAGTCACATTGTTTGAATATATATTTTTTTCCTTCCAGGAGAAAATACAGATCGATAGGGCCAGCTGAGAGTGCTGCTTCAGGCTGGGGGGTCGAGGAGGACACAGACGACACCAGCATCCTCACCGCGGATGATCTACGTCAGCAGCAACAACGTCTCCGTGAAGGTAGTTTTTTTTCAAGATCTTTCTGGATTTTCAGTTTGTTGATTCGTTAAATTCTATATAGATTATCAAACACAATTTCTTGGTTATCAGGAATTGGGAGAGGCAGCGTACAAAATGTGAAATGGGCCATTGTTAAAGAATTTATTGGATGAATCAGTGAAGTGTTATTAATTACTACAACTGTGTAAGGCAGTACGGTATATATCTGGTGCTTCTGGTTTTATTTTTACTTAATTGTTTTCCTCAAAGTTTACTCAAGAATTACTGGGATAAAAGATATGTATTTATATTTGGTGTGACTGTTGTTTTTAGGGTTTTGAAATACAGGTACAGTGTAAGAAGATCTGAATACTTGCAGAAAAGAGATTACCTTGATATCATAAACAAATTAGTGACTAATTTCATAATGAACTGTCTACACAAGGCGACAGTAGTCTTAAAAGAAGCTAAGTGAAAAACATGTGAGGATTTTGAATAACTTCCTCTCTTATCCAATTTGTACAATGTAAAGTTCTGATTTTAATGTTTGTTCTTATGGTCAGTTGTGTCCAGTTGTTAATTTGCCGATTTGCTGCCCATTGACTTGAAATTACAAATTGTGTGTAATCCTTGCTAAACCGGCCCCATCCACCATGCATTAACAGAAGTGTAAGGTTCTCCATCATTGGACACACGGTAATGAACAGTGTTAGAAATTAAAAGGAAATTCAGTACTACAGTATATTGATGTACTGTATACATGGTAAATTGAATTTCAGTACAGTGTAGAATTTAGTTTTACCTTCATGTTAATCCTTTTTTACATAATAGACATTTTCATTTTCTCATTTTGCAGAACAAGATTCTGGCCTTGAAACTTTGTCTCAAGTGATATCCCAGCAGAAGAGAATTGCCTCTGCCATTGGTACGGAGGTGGATGGGCAGAATGGTATGTTGACTTGTATGATTTGATCCATTGACTCTCTCTCAAGTGGTAAATTCCTGTAAAATAGAAACTTAATTTAATAATTTGTAATTTCAAAAGCTATGTTATAAGGGAATAATATTTTACTGATGTTAATAAAGATAATCAATGTACTGTATTTGGCAAATTTATTCAGTACAATAATTATATATGAACTTTATTTCTTGCAAATGATCTCCGTACACACTGAAGCAGCTGGGAGTCGGACTAAAGTTCACTAAATAAACCCAAGATGCAGTGCATTGCAAGCCAACCTAGGGAACTCTCAACTTCTGTGTAGGCCTAATTTAATGTTTGTTTTTATTTCAAGTATGCATATACTGTATTGATGTTTTCTTTATTTTATTAATAAGAAGTTAAACAAAGCTTGACATAGTCCACTGGTAGGCCTGGGGTAACAGATGGGTGACCCAGGAAACTGGAAAATCCTCAAAATTTATCAGTACAGTGCTGATCCCAAGGGTACTAGATTTGAAGGTTTATACCTGTACCTATAAACACTCAACACCAGCAGCAGGACTGCACTCACCCTACTGTGTCATGGGCTCAATCCCTAGGTCAGATATGAGAAAGGTGTTATCCAGTGTGACCCTACCAAACTGTCAATTTTCTTTGGGTACTCCGGTTTCCTCCTGTACTAACAGATCAACCACATAGTAAGCTGATAAGGGTTGAATATGATAGATTAAAAATAAAATGCCTTGCTGTCAACTGCATAATATTGTTTGACAGCACCGTGCTGCAGCTCTGTGATGTCACCTTTATGGACATCTTTATGTAAAGCTTGAAGTGTGTTTTCATCTTTTTATTGACCATGCTGTACCCTGTACAGGTGTAATTATTTTGTTTTGGGAGTTGTAGGAAAATAATTAGTTTTATAGATGAGTTGGCATAACTATTTTGGCTCTGGGATCACACATCTACCAACACTGTGTAGTGTAGTGTAAGAGCTTCACCTTCAGCCCAAATACAGGATCTGCTGTTGATCCTCAGTCTTTTATTTTCTTCTTATTTTTCAGTATTATTATTTTTTATGGGGTGATTATTGTTTGAATGTCATAAGATAACAGTAGAATTCAGTCTGTGGCCAAATGGACAACTACAGTACATGGTGGTTGATGGAAAGCTGGATAAGAAAGGGTTAACCTGTACTTTAGAATATAAGTGACTGATCATTCAAAAAATAAAGAATAGAATAAATAAACGGTTTGTGATTGATTATCTTATATTAATTAAATTTACTTTCTTGATGAGACCACTGACCATACCATTGTTATTATTATTAATTCCTCCCACTTTGTTGATCAGATATACTGGATGAGATTGCTGACCGTACTGACAACACACACAATCGACTCGTTGATGAAACAGGCCAGATCTCTGTTGTAACAGAGAAGTCTAGAACATGGCGTAAGTATTGATGTAAAATTATGCTTGAATCCTTACTATAATACATGCAATTACCATGTATCTTTTTCTCTGCTTCTCTTACCTTCCATTTAGTAGTACCCATATGAACACCCTGGTACCCGAGGCAAAAAAATACACTGTTTTATGATCACTCCTGCAGGGTATGATGAAAGGTGATGTGATATATGAACGTCACAATTGGGAACTTGTGAGATTACTGGGTGAGAAAATATTATTGCTAATAAACAGGAATATAGGCTGGTTCATGAAAGGCTGAAATAGAAAGGAGCTTTGTAGTGTTGAATACTGAGTTCTTGAAGTCCGTTTGTATGGTATCTGATAGGACAATGAAAGTGAAAAGAAATTGTGTGTCGGAGGGGAATAGCAGGAGACTAGATCTGGAATTGTGTACGGAGTGGATGAAATGAACAGAGATTACTTGGCTTAATCTGCAGAATGAATTGTTTTGTGTGTGTGAAGTTTTCAGGTGGGGAGGGACTTGTGGTTCACTTTGACTTGCTAATCTTTTGAAGGTCAAGGGATTTATTTAGTCTTTTTTGTTTACCAATTTACGGTACTGTACTGTATGCTTTTTTTTTTATTCTTCCCTGGTTGGTTGACTTGGAGTGTATTAATTATATACATGACAAACAGGTAGAAAATTTACCATATATAATGTAATGTAGTTTTGACATAGTAAATAACCATATATGAAATACTAATGTATATAGTAACAAGTTGTATAAAATATTAAGTACTGGGGTCTAACATAGTAATTTCAACATTACAGCATTCTGGTTGGTGATAGGAGTTCTCTTCCTGGCCATCATCATTGTCGCTGTTTGGTAACTTGTATAACTTTACAGTCACAGAAAACAGTCTTGTCATTCTTCCGACCTGAGACTCGTGAACCTATGAACCCGAGACATCACACGTTGTTGAGCCCATAGATGGCGCACTGTGTGGTTTCTTGGATTCAGAGATTCATGAGTCTCGGGGTTCATGGATGGGATTCAGAACTGACAGGATTTTTTTCAATGACAATACCTTTTCAATATATTTTTGGTAATCTAGCAGAGCATTGATTATATGTTGAAATGATTCTCATCTTTTGACAAATATTATAAGGAATTATAAAAATGTATCTCAGTGCCTCTAGTGTCTATAATCAGTGCAAGTTCTTGGAGGGGGAAAGGGGGCAACTGTAGCCCTTACTCTGTCAATGATGCACAGTATGTGACACAAAGCTTACAGATAAACATATTACTCAGTGTATCCTGCGGAGAATAGATAACTTGCAAAGCATATGATTCTACCAAGGAATATAATTGTTGACCAAAAAATTGATGGAACAAAAGTTTGCTCTTTTTTGTTGCCTTGCATTGTACTCTGTAGCATTCGCGGGATGGCAGTATTATGTCAGTTTCAGTGGAACTTTTATTTGAGCTTAGGAAAGAACGAAATTATCTTCAACCCCTTGTGTATGGGTTCCCCCTCTGAGCTGAATAAAATTGTCTGACGTTTGCCAAATACAATATTAAAAGTGGTGTCCCTATAGTGAAGGGGATAATTTTGATCTGGAATGAGAATTGTGATGTGGCAGTTATTTATTTTGTTATGTATTATGTGTAAAACAGCCCGAGAACATTTAGAGCAGAGGACTACTTATCACCAACCCTCTATATGAGGATGGTACTCTGATTGATTGATGTGTAATGAGATGTATTATTTTCACCCATCAGCCAATATTGCTAAGGTATATTGGTGGTGTGTTAGTCAAGAAGTGTGCCTGTGTGTGTGTGTGTCTGCATCTCTCTCGTAAGCCAAACTTGTTAACACAGTTCACTTTATAATTTTGGAATGGTTTGCTTGTAATTTGAGAGGTATGGCACATATCATTCCAGTATTACCACTCAAAGATGTACAGTGTAAAGGCATTACAGAAGGGATATACTCTGTAAAAAAATTTCCCATTTAAACCCATTACAGTATTTAATTGGAAATTTGCTCATACAGATTTTTTTCACCCAAGGGATATAACAATAATTAAGTCACAAAAGAAAGTAAACTTTTTTAAACTCACAATAAATGGAGAATTTAATATTTTATGATATAAATGATGAACTGTATATTACACAAAAGACTTGAATTTTATTGACCAGAAAGGATGATGTTCATTGGTCTGTGAGGTGGTACAGCAGCTGCACTTGATGGCCTCTTTCCTCTATCTTATACCCAGATTTTCTTAACTTGGGGATGACTGTATGTGTGGATTTTTTTCAGTCATGGGGTCAAAGGTCAAATCACTTACTAAGTTTGTAAAGGGATTTTCCAGTCCACGAAGGTACAGTACAGTACAAGACTTACTGAATTTGGATGCAGCTACTTCAAATGTTGCCTTACCTGTATTAATGATACTGTACATTTTAAATGAGGCATTTCTCATTTTCAGAGAATGGTATAGACATGAAAAATTTTCTGACAAAAGTTTATTGAATACCCAGTTGTAAACACTTGAATGAAAGAAAAACACTGTACAAGAATCCTGATGACATAACCATCACAGTTTTTTCCTTAGTTATATGCCTGTCTGAGTGTGTGTGTACATGGCTGAAGTCTTACCAACATCAGATAATCTAGTTTTTAGCATTGTGTTTCATTACCATAAACAAGTTAAAAAAATTAATGCATTTTGTATGGTATAGAAATGCATTTGTTACTGACTGTTGTTCCATTCCATAAATATAGACAAATTGTAGTGTGTTCTGCAAGATGTGAAAATATACTGTCATTTCTCTGTAATGTTCTTTATCTCTGTTGGTGCCTCATTATTGTACTGTAGTTCAGATCATGTGATGTAATATGTAACCATGGGAATTAATTCATACTCGTAAAAACTAATTCAGTTCTGGAGAAATGATGCATGATTGTGGGAATGAGAAATTATCATGAGAAAGTATTCATCTGTGCATTGGGATATGTTTTCAGGTTAAATGCTGGGGAAATTGTTTGCATTCCCATCCTATGTTTAAAGTGGATATTATGTCAAGTTACAAGAGGAAGGTTTATTACTGCTCTAGTTTCTCAGTAGATGCTCAGACATAATTAACTAAATTCTTAAGTGGAGGAATTTATATCCTGTGCAGGTTCTTGTATTATATTAATCAGAATCTTGGTAAATGATGCATGAATATAAATCTAGATATTTTTCAACATTCCATCAGTAATTTATATAGATAGGTTATCCTAGAGTGATTCTGAAGGTGATGACAAAGGGTATTTTTTTTTTTATGATGATGATAGATGGTTTATGTTGATTTGTGCACAGGGACGAGGGTAAAGAGAGGATACCATAGGAGCCCTGTTGTAAATGGGGAAGACCTTATCCCCATTACTGTGTGTACGTCTGTTAGAGAAAGTGAAGGATGGTAAATGAAGAGAGTCAGTGTATTCCAGTTACCCATTGCCAATCGGGAAAAACTTACAGGGTGTGAAAGATAACTTGCCACAGAAGGTTTATATTTAAAAATGACAAAAAGAAAAAACAACCCTGCTGAGCCTAGAAGAATATGAAGATTGTATATGAGTTATACTGTATTTAGTTGTACGGTATTTTTAAGGTAACATTTATTATTATGTATTTACTTTCATGAAGATGCTCATCCATAGATCCAATTAAAATATTTGTATCCATAAACAGTTAAATATATTGATCCTAATTAGTTTCAATCCTTATGTGGAAAAACTCATAAGGATTTGTCTATATACTACATACTAGAATGTTCAAGAGTAGGATGCATATTGTATTCCTTTTCCTTTGGTAAATCAGTTTAAAACTTGGTAAACATTGCCATTTGGGATGAGTGGTGTGTGCGTGCCTGCTTTAGGGGGGGGGGGGGATACACAGGGTCATTTGGTATTTTCTTGCTGTCTCTCTGACCAAATATTCTGTTTTCACTTTGTGTAACTTGTTAACACAACCAATGGCCCCTCAGGCACTCTCACCCTCCCACCATCAAAAGATGGGTTCCAAGAAGTTGTGGGTGAAGGAAAACATAGCAAGCCCACCCAGTTGGGGGGTTTGGGGTCACTAAAGCCCCCCTCCTAAATTTGTTTTGAAATCTGACAAATATTGTGGGCAATTTGAGGCCATTTTAAAGCCATGTGCAATTGATATTAAGAGATATTCTGAGGTCAATAGTAATTACTTTTTACTATACAAAAATGCCTGAGTACAATATCCCTTTAAAGAACAAATTTTGAAATTTTCTCATGAAAAGGGGGATCAGGACCACCCCCCTGGATATGCCCTTGGTCTATATTTTTACTTCATTACTTTTATCCTCTTTACCAAATAATCGGGTCGTTAGCCACTTGGGCGATCAGTCACGTCTCTGTTACGCACTGTTGGCAAGTACTGGGCATGCACTGGCTCCTGAATGTGCCTGAACCTGCTCCAGTGTTGGTCAAGTCTTGTCTTGAAAGAGCTCACGCTCGGTGCCGTCACAACACACTGGCAGATTGTTCCAAGAGTTTACAACTCTCACTCCGAAAAAATTACCCCTCACAGTTTTCTAGAGTTGCAGCTTCTTCAACCTTGAGCCGTGACCCGTTGAGGGGCAAGCATCCGCCAGCTCCAGGTAAGGACACTCGACTGAGTAGTGACCTTTGAGATGTTTATACACCTCAATTAGGTCCCTCCTTGCCCGTCTGTAATATAAGCTAGGCAATTGCAGGCGCTCTAATCTCTCAGGATAACTGAGGTGTTGAAGTGCAGGCACCAGTTTGGTGGTCCTCCTTTGGTCACTGTCAATCAACTGACAGTCCCTAGAATACCTCGGGGACCAGACGGGGTGACAGTACTCCAGACGTGGAAGCATCTCACTCTTGAAGATCGTTATGAGAGACAGACCGTCTAGATATCTGAACGACCTTATAAGACCTAATAATTTAGTTGCTCGATTCACCTTCTCGCAATGGCCCAAAAACTTCAGCTCATTGTCAACATACACACTTAGGTTCTTTTCACATTGTCTCAATAATGCAGTTGCTTCATCCCATTGGGACACTGCACTGTGGTACCCCGCTTGTGAAAGGTACACATGACGATTTTGTGCCATTAATTCCGAGGATGAAATAATGTGCAATTTCTAGAAAATAAAGAGAAACTTTATCTCTCTACTCAGAAAAATATTGGGATGTGGGATTTTCCAGATTTGAGAGTCGTCCTGTTCCCCTGAAACTTCTCATCCCCTGGAAGAGCTCTGCACCAGTTATTCTGTTTAACAGCGATATCACTATACCAGGTATAGGTACTGTACAGGTGACTCTAGGTGCTGTGGATATGAAGTTGGTGGTAATAACTGAAATGTGTGACATCTACTGGTTAAATAACAATAAAAACACAAACTTATTTGGCACGAAATTACCTTCGGGGGGATGGACGTCAGGGAATTCTTAAAGGAAAGGGGAATTGGAGGATTGGAGGGAGAGGGAAGGGGAATCTGTCAGGGGAAGAAAGATTATGGCATGAAGAGGAGACTTCAGAGCAGTATTTATTGTTCTGTTATTATCTGTCTAAATGTGTCATTGTGATAGTTGCTGAGGGTGATAGTGATTGATGGTGAGTGGAGTTGGTGGTGATAGTGGTTGAGGGTGATAGTGGGTGTTGGTGATAGTGGTTGTTGGTGGTGGTGATAGTGGGTGTTGGTGGTGGTGATAGTGGGTGTTGGTGGTGGTGATAGAGGTCGGGATGATGGTGATAGTGGTTTGATGGTGGGGATAGTGGTTGAGGGTTATTGTGGTGGTGGTGGTGATAGTGGTTGAGGGTGGTGGCGGCGGCGGTGACATCTTGGTCGAAATTAAGACACACAAACTGACTGATTTTTTTAATACACCATTTGATAATTTTAGCCTCAGGATACTCGAAATGTGCACTTTAAAAATAATGGGACTATTGTACCCGTCCCCGTTAATGGTGAACTAGCACACTCATTGAAGATTTTAATACAGGAATATTTCTAAACGAATCATTAAAGAAATAGTTAGTGTTAATACGTGATGGTGGTTGTCATTCTTGGCTTGTCACACACGGACTGCCCTAATACGAGTATAGTGAGGCGAGTTGTTAACTTAATTTATTGACCATTTTTTTTTATTCTTGTGGCGCAAGATATTGGCGACATTCCTTGAGCACAATTTTCTCTAACAGCGACTAACTTAATGTACTGTACTCAATGTAAGTCATAGTTCTTTGATATATAAGTACATTTATCTTTTATTTTATATATTTTTGTTCCAGCAAAATCGATTCTAATGATAGAAACTGTAGGGGTGCCTTTTGCCTGCAGGTGACTGTTTGTGTCAATTCTAATTGGGTGAGATTTTAGGGAGGGGAGCACTTGAGCACAGGTGATAAAACTAAAACTTTATGATGGACGACACCTATTGGCCCACCACCACCTGTGACGTCATCAGTCATCCCGGGTGGAGGTATACAGTATAATTATAAGACGAGCTGACGTGGCCAGTCATTTCGTTACCTGGGGAGGGGCGAGAATGTCAGGTAGCCATCATTTACTTTTTCTCATTTAGTGTCATTCTGAGAGTGTTAATGGGGTCTACGAGATGAGTTATGGCCGGGGAGTCAGAGGACCTCCTACCTAACATACACGTATGTCACTACCATTTCATTGCCCAGGTCAAGAATCTTAAAAAATTCTTACCTAAAAATTATCTTTGACTTTCGAATGTAAGGCTTCATGACTGTCTTATATATGACGATGAAAATATAGTGGCCGAAAATGGCGTCAAGAGACACTGAGATTATAGATACATTCACTTTTTAAAAGGTTTTAAATTTTTTCAAAAATTTAAAAGAAAATCCTGTTGTATCTCTCAAACGATCGTTTCTGGAACTGGGTCCGGCGAAAGGTCTTTGGAGGGATAAATTTTGGGGCAAAGAAGTGTTTTTTTTTCTTATCTTAAACTTGTTTTTATAAATTTCCAAATCTATCCCACACAGTCATGTGTGTGATTGGTTCATAGTTCGTTAATGTCAATTTCACCTTAAGATCAACCATCCTACCTCTAACATAACATAACAACCTAACCTAACATAGCCTAACATAACATAATCTAATCTAATCTAATCTAACGTATTTTAATTTAAACTAACCTAATATAACATCAATCAATCAGTCAGAGTAACATCCTCATATCTGAGGGTTGGCGACCACAGTCCTCCACTCTAAACGTTTCCACCAATCATCTCGGGTTTTGCATCTCTCTGGGGACCCAGTTTTTAATTCCACTCATCCATCCCAGTCTCTACCTTCCCCTGGTCCACTTACTCCAAACTTTGCCCATCCCTAATTATATGAACCATATATCTCATTAATCCTAATCGTGCCCAATTTAACCTAATCTAACCTAATTTAACCTCACCAAACCAAACATAACTTAAAATAACTTAAACTAGCCTATCCTAAACCCACAGATGATCTTTCAAAAAAGACTTTTGATAATATGAAGAAGAATTTGAGTTAACAGATATCCATATTATCTTATTCCTCCTTTACATATAATATGGTCCCTGAAGTTTATGATGCCAGATAATTGCCAAAAGTCAAGATATTTTTCCTTGATTCTGTACGTGGAAATATAATATAATTTATTAGCTTTAGTTTTTGTATTATTAGTAAAATGTTGTGTACCGTCAACTTTATGTCTGCAACTATAATTATTTAATATCTTTGTATAATGTATATGAAAAAGAGCACATTAGCAATTTGTGTTTATATGTGTGTCTGTGTGTACTGATTCAGACGCCCACATCTTAAAATGTTTAGCAAAGTTTACGGAACCTGTACTTCCATCCACTCGTGAGTACATGTTAATCTCTCTCTATCTAAACACATTAAATACCTACAGACGTACACGGGTGCTAGTTAACAGTGAGGAATAACTGACGTGGAGGTAGGAACACTGACTCGCTACAAATTCACTAGTAGCTTCAACAAGCCATCAACCTTCAGTGTGTCTCTGATCATAGGGGGAGGTGGACGTGCCAGCTTTCCTCCCTCGTCTGTCACACGTGTGTTGACATCGCTCTCCCGGGCATAAAACACGTATTTTAAGCCCCAACCAAACTTCTTTATTTCTGGCAATATTTTATTTAACTCTCCAGAATACTAATTATAATATGTGTGAGTGATTTTATTGATAGTTGACATAAATTTCGATAGTTTTTTGACAATTCCAAGAAGAGAGAAGACGTGCGGCTGCCGGAGATGGTTGGGTGGCTGTATAACACCTGCCTGCAGAGGCTGTATCTCCTGGCGGTGTTATTCTTCAACAGTGAGTATCCTAGTCTAGTTTCCTGCATAACTATAACACCAGAGGTCGTTTGTTTATTTTTTTTTGTTAGTATGACTGAAGTTTTAGTCACACCTGTAGTGCATTTCACCTGATGATTATATTTTCGAAGGCAGTATTTAATTATTTAATTGTTTATTTATTTTTATATTTTTTATATTCCGGGTTCTCTAAAGTTTGGCCCATAGATATCTTACATTTTGAGTGGGAACACAACTAACAGCAAAGAAGCATTGGTAAATGTATCATATTCCAATACAAAAAAAAGTTGGGCTTTAGCGGTACAGAATGCAGATTTTTTTTTTTTTAAGCGTTGGATAAAATTATAGTCATCCCAACATTTGTTTAGATCGTTTTCTCTTAACGTGTAACAATAGAATATGGTTTTTTGTTAAGGATTAACTAAAACAAAATTATAAACTGTTAGAAGCGGAATTTTGATATTCTTTTGTGATTGTGCAAGCCTCTTTTAGTGGTAGAACCTAAGTAAATAAGGGTTTTACCTATCTCAGAGTATTTTTAAAAAAATAACTTGAATATAAATAGTTTGGTATGGCTAGGTTAGGTTAGCGTTTGGGTGATTCATCATTAGGAGAAATAAGCTGATGCTCCTTATCTTCACATGACTGCGGAAGGATAATGCACACGAGAGAGATTCAAAGTCAGTCTAGATTAATGTCATGTTTTGATAATGATGTTGCAACAAGTTTGTGAATGGAACTAGACACACTGGAAGCCTCCCCACGGACCCTTGCTGTTAATACCTGAATGGGGAGTTTTGTTTATTCACGCGGATGAGCTGACGTTGAATGAGGTGTATTTATATTCATGTTTACTCTTGTCAATCACCTCATTCTATAGAGTATTGTCAGTGAGAGGAGGAACTAGAGGTTTTTTATGCAGATCAGTTGATTCCAAAGAATATATATACACGTGGATCAGCTAATACTGACAGTTTGTTTATTTATTAAAGGTATGTGAGAGGCTAGATAGTCTAGTCGTTATTTTTTATGGAGTTTGAGATACAATCGAATCGATTTTCTTTGACCTTCGCTTCAGACAAATTGTTGAGATTAAATTACTAGCTGAATGTATTTGATCTCTCTCTCTCTCTCTCTCTCTCTCTCTCTCTCTCTCTCTCTCTCTCTTTGGTGTTAGGAAATTACTTTTTAGCACAGCCCAAGAGAGAGAGAGAGAATCTAGGCATGACACAGACATAAAGACACACACACACACACACAAGTCAGATTAGTTCAGTGATCTAAACACAAGCAACATTTTCAGTAAAGGAGTAGGTTCATAGGCATAAGCAGTGGTACGGATATAAGTCTTAGTACTACTGTATAGGTTGAGAGGAATGTTACAGGTTCAGACACGGGTGCAAGTACAAACAAAGATACATTGACAAGTACAGGTAAAAATTTAGATTCAAGTTCACAGTCGTTAGTATGTACAAGGATAAGTTGATTGTAAATAACAGCTTAATTGTTACAAATGTGGAAATCCACCGGAATAGAATTTGTTTTGCTCTTCGTTGGCCTTTGAAGATACTATTGGTGACGAGAGAACCTATTTTAACCTTTATCTATCTCTCTCTCTCTGTCTCTTTCTGTCTTATTGATAACAGCGAGAGACGAGGAGAAGAGAGAACCTATTTTAGCCTTTATCACTCTCTGCCTTATTGATCAGAGAGTGAGAGAGAGACTCACTCCTAGGGATTGTAATGTAATAACACAACACAACATCCTTACTGAATGGAAACGGCTAAACTTATTTCTGACGTGATGTAAGTGAAATTGTGTTGTGTGGGTGGGATGGGGGAAGGTAAAATGTGTGTGTGTGTGTGCGTGTGTGTGTGTGTGTGTGTGAAGTGGTTTGTCATGCTCTAGGTACTGCTGGCGACCTGTATCTCTCACTTAACAGGGTTGTTATTCTCCTACAGGTGCTGCTGGGGACCTGCTGCGGGGGGTGGAGGTGCCCCAGTTCGCCGTGGCAGGAGGTCAGGCCAGAGTGAGCTGCTTCTACGACCTGCGCACCACCAAACTCTACTCTCTCAAGTGGTACCATAATTCAACGGAGTTCTATCGTTACGTCCCCACCGAGCGTAACCGAGCCATCAACATCAAACCCACTCACAAGTTCTCTGTTGCCGTGAGTAATTTGTTTTCTTTCTTTCTTTTTCATTTTCCTGCTCATGGTGGATTCGTAATTTTCTGTTGTTCTCTTTACGGAAACTATAATTAGCACTGGTCATAGAAATATCACTAAGGAACACGAATATGGTGTATATAAACTCTAGGTTGTAAACCCCTCCTAAAATTATTGCTTCCCCAGGTGCAGTAATTATCAGAGGTCAATAGAGAATAGTCATTTTCCCTTAAAATATCAATATATAAATACGATAGATTAAATACTGAAGAGGTGTAGTGTTATTTTTTTTTTTGGGGGGGTCCGTCCGCCACCCAATTAGCTGCCTTGCTACTAACTGACCCTAACTAGGCCTCAGTTGTAAGCTTCGAGTGAATAGACTCTAATTATAAACTTGTGTGACGATTTTACACAATATATATCTATTTATTTTTCTACCTTTCTTCAAGAATATATTTTTTTCCTTCTGAATGATAACTCCTTTCGAAATATTAAACAACAAAGCCTATTAGTATATATATAATTGTTATTAATTTTGTATGAACTATTTCTGCCTTTAGTGTAAAACGCAGATATTAAATGAACTTGCATATTCACTGGTAAGAAATCAATATAGCAGAAACAGTACTGTACATTGAGCACATCATCTACTATACAACCTTGAGTTAATATCAGAGGTTTTTTTTCCCCGTCAGTCACTTGTTTTTCTCGTCTTATTTTCGGTGTGGTGAAGCCCTGACGACGACCCCAGGCAGGGTAATTAAAAATAAGGCTTCAATTCATCACGAAAGGACGAGTTGACCCTGAAAATTAGAATATCTAAGTGTGGCTTCGTTAAAGATATTGGTTCACGCGGAAGGAAAAGATATGGCCTCCGGGAAGACCAACATGGCGGGCGGACGTCTGAATTATCGATATGAGATGATGACATAAGCGGGACGTGTTTTCTGCGGGGTGCACACGTATACGGGCATCTTCGGCGGTGATTGGCCCAAATTTCTCTCTTTTGATTCAGCAGCAGCATTTGTAGTACTAGTAGTAGTAGTAGCATTTGGGTTTTTTTTGTATGTGTTTACACTAACTCCTGCTGTACCCCTTCAGGAGCTCTTCAGGAACGAGCGCCAGGTGTCTTTATCACTGACTAAGCTAGCAATAGCAGCCACGGGTCACTACCGTTGTGAGGTTATCGCCGAGCACCCTAGCTTCCGCACTGAGGCTTCCACGGCCTCTATGACTGTACTACGTGAGTACCTCTCTCTCAATGTAGTTTAAGTTCATCCTTTTTGGGATTGTGATTTCACACCGACATTGTTGATGCTCGTTTGAGTTCCGGTGATGTGTCTCGTTTATTTTGACATGTGTGTTCTCCTCCATATTTGTTGATGCTGTCCTGTTGTTGTTCATTTTTAAACAGTATTTCATGTATTAGACATTGGTCTTTTCATGTAGAGAAAAGAGAAACAATGGAGCACCTTAGCTTTCGTCTTTATTTAAGACATCTTCAGAGGCAATTTATCTTATCCACGTTTTCATTGTGGATCTACATGAAATATATATATATATATATATATATATATATATATATATATATATATATATATATATATATATATATATATATATATATATATATATGCAAGTAAATCACTGTAGGTGCGCGTGATCCAAATATATGCTGATAACCACAAGAAAACACGAAGTTCCCAAGCGCTTTCGTGTAATTCACATCTTCAGGGGTGAGTGCAGATTAATGAGTAATGCTTGACAAGGCTAATATATACAGTACAGTAGAGGAGAGTGAGATCAAGTCCCTTGGGGACAGCAGGTATCCACAATGTTCCGGTCATAAGGCAGTAACCCTACTGTATATATTAGCCATTTTTTTTCTTTTGTTTTTTAATGAAAATCAGATTCCTTTAACGTGTTCACCAGATGGTTGTGTCGTCTATTGTTGTGGGCTGGACACTTGACGACTTGAGCGGCGACGAGGTGAATACTTGATCTCGGTCGAGGGTGTTCATGCCTGGAATACAACGAGGCCCTTGATAAATCTATTCAGTATATGAATCGTGTTGGAGGTCAACCTTTAGGAGGGATTTACTAGAGAGAGGGAGAAATAGTGTGTGCGTGTGTGTGTGTGTGTGTGTGCTCGCTGGGAAGACAAGAGAACAAATACCAGTATTCTTGCTGACACCAACTGTAGGAGCATCGTGGCTACCATTATCCATGAACAACTACGCTGGACTGGCCATGTTACCCGCATGGACGACAGTAGACTGCCAAAGCAGCTACTTTACATTCACCTAACGAACAGTAAACGTAACACTGGCGGGCAATTGTAAAAGTATAAGGATAGTCTTAAGACAAACCTGAAAGTGTCAAATCGACCCCCTCACCCGGGAGTCGATTACTCCACATCGTAGCTCTTGGAGGAGCACCACACAAGAAGGTTTCAGTACTTTCCAGTTAGCCTGACTGCATACTGAGGCAGATTAGCGCCAGCTCTGGAAAGATGCTGCCGCCGCCCCTCCCGCACTAGATGTAACCCTCCACACGTGCAACATCTGTGGACGACCCTGCCGGTCCCGTATCGGCCGCTCGAGTCACCTCAGAGCCCCCGACGAAGGTGATATCATTAATAACTCATTCATCGTATCATAGCTGGAGGATCGTCATACTCGATCCCAGGTGACAGCAAAGTAGTAGTAGTAGTAATAGTGGTGTGTGTGTTTGTGTGTGTGTGTGTGTGTGTGTAAACGACAAGCGGAATTTATTTACACATAGAAAAGGAAGGGCGGTGGAGACATACAAAACCAGGAATTAGGGAGAGAGGTGCAGTATATGTATGTACTTTATGTATATATGTATGTATGTATCCTCCTCCTTCTCCTCTTTCTCTTCCCATACTTTCATTACTGGTTCTCTGATCATGATACGGTGATAAAACTAAATATATGTCGGTATGTTTATCTCTCTCTCTCTCTCTCTCTCTCTCTCTCTCTCTCTCTCTCTCTCTCTCTCTCTCTCTACACCATAGTATAGTTCAAAGGGCCATAATTTGGTGTAATGATGACACAGTGATGATGATGATGATGATGAGAATTATAATGAAAGACATGATCGTATGGGAAGGTATAGGTAGGTAGGTAGGTAGGTAGGAGGGACAGTGAAGAAGGTGAGAGAAGTGAAGAAAGTAGGGAGAAAGGCCGTAAGGGGAAAGTAGGGAGGAAGGCCGTAAGGGGAAAGTAGGGAGGAAAGGCCGTAAGGGGAAAGTAGGGAGGTGGGGGGGAGAGACTTGAAATAAGAAACACCCAACAGCTGTCACGCTACATCTATTAACTACGTAATTAAATAGGTCAGGTTAGGTAGTTAAGTGGGTATAGAAGTTATTAAGTGTGAATCTGATTAATTAGGTCATTAGTGATTAAATATATAAGTGATTAAGTAAACGTGTGTAAGTAATTAAATCACTACTAAATGGGTAAATATAAAAGTAAATAAATATATAAATAAATTAATTAATCACCATGTAAGTAAAATAAGTCAGTTTATAAGTAAGTGAAAAAAAGTATCTAAAGTATGTATGGAAATAAGTTAGGATAATGACGTTAATTATTTGTAAGTAATTGTTATTATTTTCCAAGCCTCACTTAAATTACGGTGACTGTGTGTGTGTGTGTGTGTGTGTGTGTGTGTGTGTTTTATTATATTCTATTTACGTCGGTATTGGCAGATCTGTCACAAGTGGATGGCTTTGTAAATAAGCCCTCCTCTCTCCCTCCCTCCCTCCAACCCTTCCTTCCTCCCTCCCTCCCTCCCTCAACCCCTTCCCTTCCTCCCTCCCTCTCCTCTCTCCCCTACCCTCCTCCATTCCCTTCTCTCCTCTCCCCTTTCTCTACCCTCCTTCGCCCCTTCCACTACCTCGACTATCTTTCTCCCCTTCCCCCTCCCCTCTTCTCCCCTCTACCGTCAGTGAGGCGTATCTCCCCACTCCCCTTGCTGGACCAGACCCAGTTAAGTAAGCACGGTGGGGTTTTTCTGTGGTAGTGTTGAACCAAATGTCAAATATATCTTCTTGATTCCTGCCTTTCCTTCCCTCCTTCATTATCTATCTTCCCCGTATTCATCTTTCTTCTTTATTTTTTCCTTCTCTGCTCCCCCACCCCTCCTTCTCCTCCTCCTTTTCAATCTTCCCTCTTCCCCTCTCATCTCCTCCTCATCTCCCCTCTCCCCCCCCTCATTTACTCCCGATACATTTCCACATTCAATTTATCATTTTACACGATGTATGATGAAAATGTTGCCATGGGTGTATGTGTTTATAGAGAACATTTATACCATTCTACATTGAAGCATTTTAATTCATCTCTCTCTCTCTCTCTCTCTCTCTCTTGAATATTCTTTGAGCTGTGTGAGTTACCGTGTGTGTGTGTGTGTGTGTTGGTATACCCTATATGGATGTTATGACTCGCGCTTCTTGGCAGAGGCTACCCTGAGTCATCTAGGTCAAGGCTTGTAAATTATTATTATTATTATTATTATTATTATTATTATTATTGTTGTTATTATTATTATTATTGTTATTATTATTATTATTATTATTATTATTATTATTGTTATTATTATTATTATTATTATTATTATTATTATTATTATTATTGTTGTTGTTATTATTATTGTTGTTATAATTGTTATTATTGTTATTGTCATTATTATTATTATTATTATTGTTATTATTGTTATTATTATTATTGTTGATGGATTTGTCATTATTATCATTACCCTCCCTTCTCTTTCAAATCCTCCTCCTACTCCTCTTCCTTACCCCCTACACCATCCCCCCCATCCTAAGTGAACCATCTCCCCCTCCCCCACTACCTCCCTTAGTTAGTTGCTTAACCCCTCTATAAATACATTCTCCCTCCCTTCCTCTTCCCTCCTTCTCCCTCATCCCTCCCCAAAGCTCGGGAAAAGATTTATTTTTAATACAGTTAAGGCCAAGGAAATAAATCGGCGAAGAGGAATGTGTAAATATATATAAATAGATGCGTGGGAGAGATGAGGAGGAGGAGAAGGAAGAGGGGGGGGATTAGGAAGAAGAGGGGGAGGATTAGGAAGAAGAGGGGGAGGAAGAGGAGGAGGAAGAAGAAGAGGGAGAGGAGGAGGAGAGGGAGGAGGAAGAAGAATAGGGAGAGGAGGAGGAGGGGAGGAGGAAGAAGAAATTTATCTGAAGTCGAATTTGTTTTCCATAGGGTGAGAGGAGAGGAGGCCGGGTTAGTAGTAGTCGTAGTGTTAATAGTTATGGTGGCGTTTGTGATAATAGTTGGCTAGTTGGAGTAGTTATAGCGACGGTGGTGTTTGGTAGTGAAAGTAGATGTTATTACTTATGTTGTGATGGTATTGTGGTGGTGGTGGTGGTTATAGTGTAGTATATTTAAAGACCTTAGTTGTTGAGGCGCAGGCATACATTCTAACATCAATATCAAGCCCATCTGACGCCCATCATTCACCTACAGGAGAGCCACTGGCGCCGCCCATCTTGGTGGACGCCCGCGAGATATACGAGACCACAGACTTGATCAAGATTGGCTGTCAACCCCGACAACCTCTCTTCCACGGCTACACTCCTACCCTACAGTGGTTTCTGGACGGCAGTCAGGTATGTGCTTAATTAACTCTCAGGTAATATACTGTAATTATGCCTCTCTTACTCTCACCCTCCTGTTAAATATCGTCAATTATTTAGTTAATCATCTCATTTATAAACGTTCCTTTCAAAATGTGGAAAATGTACGGAAGTTTGTTTACAAATATCATGAATACCAACCGCACCATATTTTTTTTCCCCAGTAAAGATCTTAACATATCTCAAACTCAAGGAAGCATTTCGTCCACGAGTTTATAGTCAGTAAATATATATTCACACCACACTTAGGTTTATTAAATAGCTCAGAGGTTTAATGCTCGAGGGTATAAATTTAACGAATATTTTGAGATGTGAGTGAAAGCGGCAATGAAAATTCTCGCCAAATCGGCAAAGTTGGCAAGCCTGAACGGGGGGAAGCAGGGGTTTAAACCTCTATCGCCTAATCTTCCAACAATATTTATTTCACAAAGTTACGGAGCATGGAGGTATACCGTTATTTCTGGCGTGAACGGTGCCCAGTTAACAAAACAGGAAGTCCATTCAAGTCTTACATCGGGTGTTGCCAGTAATGGGTAAATGTGGTGATGGATATTGACAGGTGTAACATTAGTATGAAGAGTAGGTTGGAAAATAAGTGGGTAGTCATCTGGGCATTACAGATTACCAGAGATATAAATAATACCTCACTGAGCGATATATTGGGAGGCGGAAGTAGGTTTTAGCTCACGTTATTTTCTTCCATTAACCAACATTACCTTGAGTTATTAAGTTAAGGGAGACGTATGAGAAAGAGTTAATGGAAGTTATGTTAATATCAGAGTCTCTCCTTCCTGCCAATCTTCTATGACGTCACAGCCCTAAAAAAAACATGCTTAAGAATTCACCAACATATTACAGTATCCGAACCTTTTAAAAATGACATCGTAAAAGAACTGTGACTCTACCTTAAATAAATACGCTCTGATCATATCTAACTGTGATAGAAATTAACTTTACGATTATTTGAGCATCTGTCAGCATAGAGACAAGACACTGCAGGATTTTTAACACCGCCAACATCACCATCATTCTCGCCCACCTGAGATTCCTCGTCTACCGTTCTACGCCATAATCGCATCAACCCCAAACGACCTCACACAGAAAACACTCTAACTCACCACCATTATCAAATTCATTCTTGGTTCGTAGATAAATTGCGTGTTTATTCCACATTTATTCTACTGTACTGAAAGCTTTTATGTAAGGAATATATTATTTGTGTGTGGTGCTTCTTTTTTTAATGTTTTGGTTGCTATATTTCCATTAAGTTATTATTTGTAGTAGTAGTAGTAGTAGTAAGTCATCGTAGTCAAGGAGTTTAACTCATGATTTAAATAAATTTCCGACTTTAAATGGAGAAACAACTCACCCTTTTACATGACGTCTTTAACATCACCACGGCCACCTGTTACCTGTGACGAGGATGTTTAATTGGCTGCCGCTATACCTGTCACCACTTGGATTTACATTCACCAACTGAAAACTCTTGAGGATGGAAGTAACACCACCTGGCTATACATGAGACAAGGAACGTAGCTATATGAGTGAGCTTCGTCAGGTGAAATATGTTGGAAGGAGCTAAACTTCACCTGATTACCTGGGGGATATCCTTATATCATCAAATACGAGGAGGAATTATCGTAGGAACCCTTGAGATCCTTAAGGCGAGGCAGGATGAGGAGGAGGAGAGGAGAAAACATCTACTCAGTCAGTCAGTTAAAAAATTACTTACTATAACTTGTTAATGACTGATGTGTACCTGACTGTCCCTTCCACGTGCTGTTCCCACACACACTCATGTTGACAAACAAGACTCACGAGGTCAGTGACGTCACAAGCCAAAAGGTCAATATTTAGACACATACCTGAACTGGGGTTACCTACAAGACGGAGATAAATAAAACGATAAACGTAGGTGTAAATTGAGAGAAGTAGAAGGAGATTTAGAGGACACACGAAGAGATAAATATAGAGAGATAGACAGAGAAGCCCACAGTGAGACAGATAAACAAGTAGAGAGAAAGATGTAGACAGACAGACAGACAAATAAATAATAAACTACAGACACTAACAGACAGAGATCAACTACTGACGCGGTATTCTCCCCTTCGTCAGGTTTCCGCGGACAAAGTGAAACTTTACAGTGACGGCTCCTATAAGACCAAGGGACTCTTACTACACATATCCGGCCAGCAGGTAAGTCTATCCGGCCAACAGGTGAGTCTATCCGGCCAGCAGTTAAATCTAATTGGATTGGTAGGTAAGTCTATCCAGCTACTACATGAGTATATCAGCATCGAAAGTTATATTGTGGGAAAAGATTATGAAACGTGTGTGTGTGTGTGTTTGTGTTGACCAGGTATAAAGCGATTAACTGTCGACAGAAAATTGTCTTATTGAAAAGATTCATCCCTCCATTCCTCCTTCCCTCCCCACTTACGGATTACAGGGAATTTACCGAGTAATCCTAGAAGCATCAGCAGGTTTTTTTTTTTCTCCCTCTATATGTAGACGGGGTGTTGGGGGTGTGGGGGATTAAGGGAGAGAGGGGAAGGGTGTGGGGGATGGGGTAGGAGTTTGTTTGTTTGGTAGGACGAAAACCTTCCTGTCGTTATTTGTCAAGTAATTATTAAATATTACTGTAACTAAATATAACCTAAATTAAATGCAACATATATATAACTTCTTAACTAAATTTCTTATATTATTTCTATCGTTTTCCTATTCAACATATTAGATTAGCAGTTACAATACCTTCCTTCCTTCCTTCTTTCTTTCATTAGTATTTATTTATCTGTGAATAGGTGACTGAATAGACCACTGGTGGTCGTGGTGTGCCAGGACGACGTGCACCACCAGTATGGGGATGGATGAAGGCCATAAAGATCTGATAGCGTCGTGTAGAAAGTAAAAAATAAAAAACAAAATAAAAAGTAACACGGTGGTGTGGTGAGCTGAGATCCTACGTACAGCCAGCTGCTCGAAGGAGGTGGCCAGAATGTGTTTGTTGTCCACATGTATCTCACGTGTGGAATAAACACGACCAGCTCATAAGCAGTGTCATGAGTCCACAACGATAAGTAGAGTTACTTATTGGCTGTGTTATCCATCCGAGTATCCATGTATGTAGTCTCCTCAGTTGTGTGGGTGTCTGGAGTGAACAAGAGTATGAGGGTAGCTACTTTAATTCTTGGTGAATGTAACAAAGTAGCGCGGGGAAGCTATTAGGTGCTATTGAGGTATTAATGTGGTGCTATTGCTAAGAATCATGTTAGTAAGTAAGAGCTACTGTTCTCAGGTAACCTGTAAGAGTGTTACTCAAGTGTGTTTACATGTAAGAAGATAATGTTGTGTGTCATTATAAAGTAAGCCAAGTAATGGTGGGTGTTGAAAGGTGTACCCAATTGAAAAGTACAAATTGGGTGAAACCATGGAGGTGATACTTGTAGTTTTATGTTACTGAAAGTAGTCATAAGTCTAACTTCATTTTAATAAATCATCTTTAGTGTATGTTAGGGGGTATCATTATCCCTGCAGTACTCGCCTTTGTCTTTCCCCACATCTTGGTACCAGTAATACAGTGTTCCAACCCTCGAGCCATGCTACAACAGATGAGGTTAGGGAGTATAGCTATGAGAAGAAAGGTATCTAAGACATAACTAATATATGGAATTAATAATGTAAGAAATTTAAAGAAAGAAAGTTTGAAGAGAGAATCAGTTAGAAATAAAGAAAAGAAGGTAGAAAGAGAGGAAAAAATTATATATAATTACAACACTTTCCCTACAAATTGTTTAAAAGTATTGGGGTAGAGATAAAAAAATTAAATTAGAAAAGAATCCCATTTTCTGACACCAATATTACCATTGCTGCCACTATTTCCGAAGCTGACACCACAAGTATTACCGTTGCTGACGCCAATATTACCGTTGCTGACAGGTAGCGGCAGCGGGCGGCACTCTGAAGGCTGAGTGCCGGATGACACTTGGTACATTCACACTGAGTTCCTTCAAGACACTACGAGTAAGAGTCCGTTTGATCTCCTACGTGGGTACCTACCAATCCCCAGGTGAGTACCAGTTTGAGTACTAGTTCCCAGGAGATTTTCTTCATAATCTGTAGAGAATTTGGGCCACTTTCTCTGAGACTTCGTTCAAAATCTTAGTATAGGCCCTCTTGAGCATAATGATTCACAATATATGGTCGACAATTCAATTTTGCGGCAATTAATGATCATAATGACGATTGGATGATTTTAACTTTTTTTTTCAATGCTAATTACCTGCCTGAAAAAATATTTAAGAGGTATATAAAGTTTTTTTTTTCGGTGTGCAGAATAATTATCTAGATTTCAACATTTCAACTTGCCTACTGAGATTTAAAGGAGGTTGGGTAGGTCGAAGGAATTGACGGTCGATGCTGATTGGCTCATTGTGGGATAATATATTTGTTTTTCTCTCTCCAGCCAACCAATGGAAAGCGAGAATTATGTTGACGTCAGTGATGGTCTTCATTCCCGTCCACTTTAACTTATTGTAGGATGGTTCACTCAGTCCTTCTGCTACCATAACTACCACTAATACTATCAATTCTACTACTACCACAACAACCACTATCAATACAACTACTGCTACTACCACCACTACACAGAATCCATCCTGCTACTGTGGGTGCTTCATTACTATACTGCTACCACAACCACTACTACCACGACCACCACTATTATCGCTACCACCATCTATCCGGCTGTTGTAGGTAATACACTCAAGATTCACCGCTAAAGTCTCAATGTTCAAATTTCCTTATTCAGAAAATTCATGCAGGGAATCAAAGAGTTTGTGTGTTTATCTACAGTAGCTTTACTCTAGTAGTAGTAGTAGTAGTAGTAGTCGTAGTGGTAGTAGTAATAGTAGTATCTGTAATTCGCTACAACAGAAACCTTGATACTCTAATGGTGTTAATTAGCGATATAACATCACATGAATTGGATCGTATGTGTGTGTGTGTTTGTGTGTCTGTGTGTGTGTGTGTGTGTGTGTGTGTGTGTGTGTGTCTGTGTGTGTGTGTGTGTGTTTGTGTGATCAGAGAAAAGTCGCTATTGTATTTTTTGCTCTATTTCCCTGTATCATAATTAATCAATACAGAGTTCCATCTTAACCTAACCTAAAGTCCATTTGTAAGTTTATAAAGTTTTGTACAAGAATAATGATGTTTTAGCTGGTAAGTGTCTCTGTTTGTCTGTTGAATCACCGAGAAACAATAATACAACACATTTTAGCAACTTAAGAGGGATGTTTATGTTTAATACGTGGATAATAATGTTTAGTTTTTTAAGGCAAAGATGGAGATAAAATTCAGTTAATGTTAAGGGCTATTTTTTGATAGGTGTGTTTCATATATTTTAGACTAGAAACACCGACTACAGACCATTTATAAGAGTGAGGAATTTACCTATATTGTACTATTCAATGGAGAGTGAAGGAAACTTTAATAAAGTATAAATTGGTCATTTGGAACATTATTAAATACCCATTCAACTCTCATTCTTAACTCAGCTATCCAGTTTGAAGTTGGGAATTAACCTAATCATCCCCTCCATTAACGAAGCAACTTCTAATTACAATATATTCAATCTAGACATCTATCATTACTTATAATTTTATCTACCCATCATTCTAGCTGTTTAATCATTACTATCAACCTTTCATTGGAGTAAAAAAAATCTCATTATGGTGAAATTTCTCTGTAGTTGATATCAGGCACTTTATTAATAACAAAGTGTACCAGTAGTAATAATTGAATGGTACAAACAACTATCTGTGCGTACTTTGTGAGAAAAACAATTTGAGACCACAGACGATAAATATTGGTATATGAGGTCTGTCACTAGTCACACGTAAAATTTCGGAGCATATCGACTCCCACACCTGCACAGATAGTTGTTTTAGCTACTGTACAGAGCTTTAAAAATACAAATATCACTGAAATTTATTCCTGTGTGAAATGTACAGAGAGCAGTGGTCAGTTTATTCATTATTTTCTATAAGTGTCCATAAATTTCCCTGACAATAACACAAACATGAATTAGGAAAGGAAAAGCAATACGTATGTCACTGTTCTCAAAATGATAAGAGAACAGAACGGTGAACATAAGAAACTGGTGATAAAATAACAGATGAACATCCACCACTGACTGAAATCAAAAGAAGTAGTCATCCAGATACTAGTAATGAACTATACTTTTGTTCATCATAACACATGTATCTAGTAGTGAACTATACTTTTGTTCATCATAACACATATATCTAGTAATGAACTATACTTTTGTTCATCATGACACATATATCTAGTAATGAACTATGCTTTTGTTCATCATAACACAGATAACTAAGTGAACATGTAAGGTTACAATCAACGAAGTCAGGTCATTTTATAGGTCATTCTCCACATATCCTTTTCTAAACTGGTCTTCCACAGGACTAGACGCCGTACACGTAGTTAGCTAGACGTACTCTGACTGCCAGCACAAATGTTTCTATGCCTGACTCGTTCGTTCCGCGTCTGATCTTGAACAAGCCATTCTCACCCCAGTCTTTGCCCCATGAGTTAGCCACGAGCTGTAATGCCAAAATAATAATAAATAATATTAACTTTCACATGTTAAATACCGGTACTGAGTTAACATCAATAAACATGCTATCCACTTCCCCCAAACTTGGTGGGTATAGGGAGGGGCCATGGGCAGGTAACATGTGTCATGGGCAGGTAACAGTGAGAGGTATCATGGGCAGGTAACAGTAACTTTATCAACACCTTAGTGAAAGAACAACACACACACACATATTGTACAAGAGAATACAAGTTGGTCTCACCCAGTACTTGACGGGCCGTGAACCAGGAAGCGGGTCCTCTCCCCACCCAATGATTCTGACGGAGTGTGAAGCTGTCTCTCCCTTCGTCACACCAGAGTAAGAGTAAATCCCGCTCTTGTACATAAACAAGTCCTTATGTACCTCCATCATAGCTGTTGATGTTATAAATTTCAATCTAATTATATAATCTATCAATCTAAATGCATTCATATTTGTTCAGCAGGTGAGTGGTAGTAAGTATTTTGTGTATATATTAGTTTAAAAGGAATAGTTATTATGATGCTACTAGCACTAGCCCTCTACTACTACTACTAGCATGACCACCACCACCACACAGTAGCCCTTACCTTGTACTGGGCCATCGTTCAGTATCTCCCATTGAATGTCTTCCACGTTGCTCGAGATGCGATAAGCTGGCTCTGTCTTGTACTGGTGTTTGTGCTGAGGGAGACAAATAATTTATCTCATGAAGGATGTCACCTGAAGATTACCCCCCTTAATGCAACTTTGTATGGGGGTTAGGTTAGTGTTAAGGGGAGGGGGGGGTAATCTCCAGGTAAAATAACAAGGGGTGCTTAATCTTCAGGTAATGGAGAAATGCCTGGTTTGTAATTTATGGAGGTGGGGGAAGGATGTACCCAGCGAAGTTGTCCGTTAAGAATTTCGATCCCGCCAGTCTGTGTGGCTTATAAGTGGCGTTGACTTATAGTATAATTATAGTAAGTATTGGAGAATATATAACTACTCTGTTACAATACCTCTTATCGATATATAAAACTAGACAGAGATTAGTAAGATGTATATTATATTGTTTTTGTCTTCTTGTCAATAGCATTTATCTTCTGAAACAACAACTAACCCTGACTTACCTCACACTGGAGAGCTGATGTGTCTCTGGAGCGGATAAGACACCTTGACACCTTATTAGTGGAGCCGCTGTCATACCTGTAACACTTCTCTGATACTACCCTGAAAGGAGGAAAAAAGTGGCATTACTTACCAACCATTCACACACACACACACACACAGACACAGACACACATACACACACACACACAGACACACACACAGACACAGACACACACACAGACACAGACACACAGACACACACACACAGGAAGACTTACCCAGTTTTCCTAAGGTAGTTCCATGCACGGTCGACATAGCCTCCCTCGCATTCCTTCTGGCCAAGTTTGGCGCAACTCAGCAGATTCTGTACCGACAACTGAAAAGGCTTGCGTCCCTTAGCGATGATAGCCAGTCTGTAGAAATATCAAAAACGGTGTAAAAAACTCTCAGGGACAAAGATTAAGCGCGTGTAATACAGTCTGGGCGTAATTTAGAAGTAATATTTGGTTCATTACCTCATATTTCTTCATTTAACTTAGGAATATGCAGTTAGGTTAACTTGATTCATATACAACACTGTGAAAAATCAGAAGGTTGGTCATGAGAGGTGGGAGTTACATACATGTCTCTAGTCACTCCTCACCTGTCCTGAGTAACGCCTATGGTAGAGAAGGCCCAGGAGGCGCCACACCACCCTTGGTCCCTCACGTCACTCACACGTCCCAACCACTCACGTTTGGTGCGGGCGTCAAACCGACTTGGGATCTGAGAGACGTCCGGGCGTAGCGCAATCGGGTTCATCTTCATAGACTGTTGACGATCACCAGATGTTAGTTAGACTTCACGCTAACTAGGGCTGTTTTTATTATATTTATATTATATTCATACTGGGTAACTGTTTATAATGTTTATACTGTATTGAAGCTATAATAATGGACCTATATGCTGTGTTTAATTGTGTTTATGCGGTTTATATACTATCAGGGGATTTTATACGAGCTAGCAGATCACATTTACACTAGCTGGAAGTTTATTAGTAGGTAATAAGAGGCTTTATACCGGCTAACAGATGACCAGCTATTTAACTCCTGATTTTCTGCTAACTGGTGGCTTATTTCTGGCTAGTAAGATATAGCGAATGATAACTGACTAGTGTGTGTGTGTGTGTGTGTGTGTGTGTGTAACTGACCAGCTCCTCAGGGATGAAGCTACCAGTACGAAGCATCAGACCATCTTTAGCTTTCCTTCCCCAGAAATTGGAGTAGTTTGAAGCCCTCCAGCCGTAATGAAGAGGCCTTTGGTTTACTGTCCGTATCTCCTTCTCCTCCACCATACATTCATCCTCCTCACAGAGTAGTTGTCCTTCTGCACACTTACTGGAACATTGAAGAAAAACATTATCTCCCAGCGGGTTTTTTTTTACAAATAATATTTTTTCTTAATACTCAATTACACGTTTAATTATATCAGGTAATTAATATAACTCACACTCAACCTACCATTCATTACAGTTGAACTTGTGAGAGTCGCCATGTTTTATATTCACTCCGTCCTTCTCACAATCTGTCGAAATTAAAACTATGGTTGAAATTTCCAAACAAATGCAATTAGAACTGTAATATTTGGTCTTTTTCTGTAATTTATTTGCGCCTAAGATTCTAAAACGTGCCTTAAAGACCCCAAGCAACTGTAAATGCGTCAAAAACAATTAACAAATATCGACACCCAGCATTCATTCACGCTCAGATAAACTACAATAAAAAACTCACCAGCTAATATATACGGGCCTGGGTCATCTTTGGAAGGCTTTTCCCCTAGACACACCTCCCTGAAGTCCGGGCAGCAGTCGTCGTTCTTAGGTTGGTCTATGTCGGTAATGCAGAACTCATCACAGTAACAGAGTGTGTCGTAGATCGGCACAGAGCAATCGTCCAAACGTTTCTCGCAACACTCCTCTGGCTTCCTGTGTGAGGTATTTTTTTTTTAATACTGTATTCACTTATATATCTGGTATATATTAAGTGCTATACTACTGCAGCGAGCAATCGTCCAAACGTTTCTCGCAACACTCCTCTGGCTTCCTGTGTGAGGTATTTTTTTTTAATACTGTATTCACTTATATATCTGGTATATATTAAGTGCTATACTACTAAGTTAGAATCTTTTTTTCAGGATATGTTATAAGTTCTACTCAATACATCAATAAAAATCACTTGTTTTAATAATATGAACTATTGTAGATCGGCCCCGTAATCCAACCTTTCTGACTTTACTTGGAGTTACGATGTTGTTTTCCCTCTACATATTTCTCTACTTCAACTACTAATATCAAATTAATGTTGTTGTGTATAATAACTCATCTCAATCCAAACGCAAGAATTTTTCATTTATGTCAACAGATAGTCCCGGAGTTAAGTTATTTAAATCTCTTAGCTGACTTCCGCCGGATGACTTTGTGTCGCCATGTGTTAAAGTTGGAGCCGCTTTAAAAACAGACTACCCAATTTCTTGACGGTTTAGGGTGGATATCTGAATATCAATTGCCCTAACGCTATCTATGGGTAAGATTCAGGTTAGATTTGTTTAGACTGGAATATATTAGGATATATTGTGTTAGTTTTAATCATTAGGTGAAATAGTCTGGAGTGTCTTGTCTTTAAGTGGTTCCTTATCTTATATTTGTTAAGTGGTTTAGCCGACTGTGCTTGAGAGAGAGAATACCACCTGGTTATCTCTCTTCACCATCCTGTATGACGGCATCTCCGTTTTACACGAAAACAAGATAGTGTGACCCCATTCTATTGCTGTATATGAGAGTACGCCACTTGCATCCGTTCTCTTTTCTCAAAACTATAGAAAACGATAACTACTTCAATTTTTATGGGGGTACTTAAAAAACAACCCCAGCCTCTTTTCTAATCTAACCTTACTTTACTTTTTACTTTAATTTTATTCTCTTCACCACTGATCGGCTCGTTAGCCTCTTGTTCGATCGTTCGCGTCTCTGTTACGCACTGTTGGCAAGTACTGGGCATGAACTGGTCTCCGAATGTATCTAAACTTGCTCCAGTGCTGGTCAAGTCTGGTCTTGAAAGAGCTCACACTCGGTGCCGACATACAACGCTCTCAAGTAGATTGTTCCAAGAGTTTACAACTCTCACTCCGAAAAAGTTTGCCCTCACAGTTTTCTGGACCTGCGGCTTCTTCAACCTTGAGCTGTGACCTCTTGTGGGGTCTTATATCGTACTCAAAGGGATCAGACTTTGTACTCAAAGGGATCAGATTCTGTACTCAAAGGTATCAGATATTGTACTCAGAGGATTCAGATTTCATACATAAGGGATCAGATATCGTACTCAAAGGTATCAGATATTGTACTAAAAGAGATCAGATATCACACTCAAAGGGTTCAGATTTTGTAATCAGAGGGTTTAGATATTAATACTTAAAGGGTTTAGAAAATATACTCAAAGGATTCAGATTTCTTACTCAAATGGTTCAGATTTTCTATTCAAAGGGTCCAGATATCGTACTGAAAGGGTTCAGATTTCGTACTCAAGTGATTAAGATTATGTACTCAAAAAGTTTAGATTTCGTACTGAAAGGGTTCAGATATCTTACTCACTGGGTTCATTCATTGTACTCAGTGGTTGTGTATCGCACTCAAGTGATTAAGAACTCTACTCGAAGTGTTAAAGTCGTCGTATTCAAGAGGTTGTCTTGGTGGTTTGATTTATCGTACTGAACGGATTGGTGTCTCACTCAAAGGGCTTAGGTTACTGACATTTTTTTTTACGGGAATTAGCCCACCTGGGCACAGGTCGAACGACGCACAACGGGACATAGGGGGCGAAAAAATAAGAACAGAAAGAAATTAAAAGTAGAAAAGAAAAAGGTTATACTGTATTAATCTTCACCACGAAGATTCCGGAAAACCAGCTTTTTAAAGTGAGACAGATTGTATAAGTATGGAAACACAGAAGAAGGCAGAGCATTCCACAGTTTGGCTGTGTGAGGAAAGAATTATGTACTATAACGGGTTATTCTAGTGTGACCGACATCCACAGAGAAACGGTGGGCACCGCGGGCAAGACGTGTGTAACGAGCCCTCGGCCTTGCCTATTATTGCTATGAGCCATATAATGCAGTATCAAAGCGAGAGGTATAATGAGAAAAGATAAATGGTGAAGTAAAGAGAAATAAGAACAGGGAACAAAACAGGAGAAAGGGGAAAATTTGAAGAAACGAGGAATGCTAAGAGGAAAAAAGACTATCAAGGAATGGTAAATGGAGAAAGAAAAATGAAGAAGAAAAAGACGATTATTGAAGGGAAAATGGCGAAGGCAGAACAAAAAAAAAGGGACAGAAAAACATCGAAATTAGAATGAATTGAGAAAGGATCGAGAAGAAATTTAACAGCACAGATAGATCAAGTACTGTACGTGTGTGATAACAGAACCCAGTTTCCTTCATCTATAGGTAGTAGGTATTAGGCAGCTACCAAACAGGGAGGTACTACCGCCTGGGAAGATATTGGAAGCATAATGTGTTGTCTATGGTAGATCTTGCTGCCACATGGCATCACGAAAATTGTGACCAAGTCCCAGGTTGCTGGTCTGACTTTCTGCCTCATTTACACACAATTGCAGGGTCTCAATTGTTTCTCTTACTATTGACAACATAACATACATATATTGTTCCTCACTTTTGATTTTTTTTTCATTTTGTATTTCTTTGTGGTTCTTTATTATTTTATTATTATTATTATTATTATTATTATTATTATTATTATTATTATTATTATTACATTTTCGCCCCCCAGGCCCCGATGTGGGTCACTGACCTGTGCCTGGGTGGGCTAATTCCCGTAAAAAAAAAATACAATTAGTGTGAGACTAACTAACCTGTTCCTGCAGAAGTCTCCTAGTATACCCTCGTAGCCCATAACCTGGATATCAGGAAGAATGGCCATCGCCACCAACGCCAGTAGCGTCAGTAGTCCAGTAGCGCCCAGACCGCCTCTGGTACTATTCACGAAGACCGGCATCCTGGTACTCTGTTGTCTGGATGTCCACTGGTGGACCCTTGACAAGTGGAATTATATTTATAGCAAATCTTGTTGCGCGTCCCCAGGAGGGCGGGGCTATCCATTCCTACCAGGCAAGTGACGCATCTCTCCAGACCTCTTTATATGGAGTCTGACTCCAGCGACATCTACAGGTTTTAACTACGTCTCGTTGAGCCTCTAGCCACTCCCCAAGGCGAGGAAGGGAAATCCACAGCTTGTTCAGCAGATGAGACAAACGATGTAGATGACCACGACAGTAGCACTGCTACACTGGCTTACTGTTAAGCGGAGCATGCAGTGCGGTACGGCACGGTACGAAATTACGGTGCGGTACTGTTATGAGGGTGATAAAAGTTCGCTTCGATATTACGGTTCGATTTTTTTCAAAGTTCGGTACGGTACGAAAGTACGATTAATTTTTCGTACCATTTCGAACCAAGCCACTCTCTTAAAATGTTGGCTGGCCATGTGGCCAGGACAATAGCTTGGTTCGATGCAGGTGTGCTCCAGCCTTCAGATCTAGTCAGGTGAAGCCATAAGGTCAGGTCAGATCCGGCCATACTCCGTGAGCCAGTGAGACCCACAAAATTACATTGCCCTGCGGGGAATGCCCATGCCAGCTGACACACACACACACACACATGACATATTTTTGGGGGGCTAGGAACAGAAAATTAAGTAAAATGTGTAATTTAGCATTAATATGTTAGAGTATTAAATATTATGTTAAGAATAAAATGATAAAGTTAATAATAAAATTATTTTTGTTTTGCTACACCTTAAATTGGTATATATATATATATATATATATATATATATATATATATATATATATATATATATATATATATATATATATATATATATATATATATATATATATATATATTTTTTTTTTTTTTTTTTTTTTTTTTTTTAATGTATATGATCATCAAAATGGTTTATATTTATTGATACTATATCAAAATTTGTAAATTAAATCACATACATGTATATAGATGGATTATTTATATCTATCACTTTTATCGCATATATGACAACACCGTACTGCTGATATAGAGTACATTTATGTTTTAAATAGCATAAAACTCTCGGAGGCCATGAAAGGTAGAGCATTAAGCATATAATATAAGCAACATTCCATTCTTATTTCGTACAACAACTGCAGTTGAGTGAGGCCACCCTGCAGCAGGTCGGTGTGCCTGACGCAGGAGGAACATGCGGGTGGTGGACTGCGCAAGGCTGTTGTCTGTGCTGTGTTGATTGGGATCCATAATATGTCCTCTGGATGATGCACCTCGCCTAAAACACAGGTACAACATTTATCCACCCCATATATACGAGAATATCTTTCATTTTGTTAATAGTAAAGTAAAATACACGTCATTAATGGTGGATAGACCTGAAAGACTGTCTCATTATTGCATCATTTTCACCTTATTTTGGTGGTGATGCTGAAGCCTTTATGTCTTATCTTGCGAGGCTCTTATGTAACCTTACCTAGGGGTTATGGGAGGCCTAATAAGCCAATAGTACATCATTTCATATATAACAGATTTTCACCTTATATAAATCACAATTACAGTACTTCCTTTTAAATATTTGAGTAATGATTGAATAAAGTGAAGTTATATGAGGTAATGTGTGATAAAGGGTTTTTCTTTAATTTTTATTATATAATTTTTTTTCATTAGATCTTTATTGATGCTTGTTTGTAATGATAATTCAGTAGTATGTGTTGTAAATCTTGTCTAATATTTATATTATTGATGTAGCTTTGATCATTATAGTTTTGTTATTGAACTTTATAGATAAATACTAAGTTGTGATGATTATTGAGACTAGATTCATTTTCTTTCGAAGTTTAGAATTTTAACACAGCTTAACCATCTTGGCCAATCATACTAACTTAACTAAACCTACCCAAACAACCTAACCAACCTGACCAATCATACTAACTTAACTAAACCTACCCAAACAACCTAACCAACCTGACCAATCATACTAACTTAACTAAACCTACCCAAACAACCTAACCAACCTGACCAATCATACTAACTTAACTAAACCTACCCAAACAACCTAACCAACCTGACCAATCATAATCCAACCTAACCTAAATTGACACATTTACCCTGCTAGATGGATTAACTTAGTTGTTGAAAATATTTAAAATAGATTTCATTGTACTGTATCTACAATTATAACAACATTTCGTCTGTAAAGTTTGAAGAAAAACGGATAAATCCATACAGACCCTTTTTTTTTGACGTAAGAGTTGTTAATTATTGGAGTAATTTGCCAGCGAGTGTTGTGTCAGCATTAAGGAGTATGTACTTGTACTTGCTACCAAAAATGACTAACCTAACATAACCTAACCTCTGGTAATCTAATATAATTGGTGTAACTTAACCTTATCTAACCTAATTTGTTTAGTTAGTTGTCTGAGAATGCCAGGTGAATATCCTTTGACAGAATAAATTACTATGAGTTTTAAGTAATTTACATAGAAAATTAGGTGCTACTATAGTGTGCGGTCTATAAAAATATCTTTATTCTAACCTAACCTAATATTATGTGCTGGGGTACAGAATTTACCCACCCCAGCAGCAATGATCAGGAGAGCCAAGGTGTGGTGGCTTGGGGTAATATTCCCTGGAAACCTTCACAGTTGTAGACATTATCTGATGCATTTTGATTTTTTTTTTTTTTTTGTCAATAATAGTGACTACTTTTCGGCTCTACTGTACAGTACCGGAGGACTAGAAACAAAAATTTTCTCAGTTTTTGTTCTAATTATTATATGGTATCTGGTAGTGATATTTTTCTTCTGTATTTCATATAATGCCATTGAAAAATAAAACTCATGAAAATGTTTTAGTTTTTTTCTTATGTGTACTGTCCAGTAAGTTTTAGCTATACTGATACAGTAGTTAAGACTATCTTAAAAAATATAGAAATTACAATATTGTAAAGTATTGTACTGTATATATATATATATGTACAGTATTGTAATTTTGTATCTTTTCTTTTTTCCTCTTCACCACTGATCGGCTTGTTAGCTGCTTGGGCGATCGGTCACGTCTCTATAAAATATATTTTCATGAAGTTTGTATATACAGTAAAACCTCGATTAACTGACCCTCGATTATCCGACTTTCGGATTAACCGTCAATCCCGAACTCCTAATTTTTTTTTTTTTAATTTACGGGGATTAGCCCACCCGGGCACAGGTCACTGACCCACATCGGGGCCGGGGGCGATAATGTAATAATAATAATAATAGTAATAAAGAACCATATAAAAATGAAAAAAAAATCAAGAGTGAGAAACAAAATGTGTATGTTGTGTTGTCAATAGTAAGAGAAGTAATTGAGACCCTGCAATTGTGTGTAAATGAGGTAGAAAGTCAGATCAGCAACCTGGGACTTGGTCACAATTTTTGTGATGACATGTTCTTTGACTTTTCCATTTTTTATTCACGGTTTCTGTGCTGGTTCATATTTATTTACTAAAGTGGTTAATGTTTTAAAGCAAATTCTACTGAAATATGAATGGCAAGTGAACAAAAATGAATAGAGGGACTTAAATGAGGTAGGTTAAGGAAAGGTACTTTGAAAATGTATGTTTTATTTCCGTAGACTTTATGTACTATTAACTGACCTTTTGGATTATCCGTCGGCCCCCTTTCCCCCATATGTGGTCGGTTAATCGAGGTTTTACTGCATAAAATTCTGTAGTGTACCCAGTGACTAATGAAGTTAATTTTGATATTCTCAGACATGCGTGTGGGACTGGGAGCAATTGTCTGGACTATATTAGTCATAGGAGGTGCATCTCTTGTGGGCCAAGTGGTGCGTGTGCTGAGCATTGACTTGAGGGAACCGCTGGATGACGGTCACGATACAAGGCCTAGGCGCAGAGAATCAGCCCAGGTGGTCCTCGACTCTGCGGCCGACCACCTGATATGGTTTATGCAGGTCAGTTGTGCAGCATATTACATCTCTGTGATGCTGACAGGTAGATATACAGTATATTTAATTTTTATTTTATTTTTATTTGTATTTCTCCTGACATATATTACTTAGCTTACATCTTGCACTTTATTTTCACCTACATATACCCATACTTGAGTTTGTCTGCCATGAATCCAAGGTCTGGATTTAATTAACAGTCTGGTTGCTTGGGGGCCAAATGTGAGAAATTAAATGACTGCCCCTCACATATAGTCATTCAAACATGCTTAAAGTTGATACACAGACTGAACTTCTTTTCTTGTCATGGCATAGTGCTTGTATTACCCCACAATTTTTTTTAATGGTTTCAAAACAAACGGTCCCTAGTCCTAATCAGCCATAGCTCACCTAATCTAATCATTGGGTTTATTAGAATTGGGTTCCATTTGATCAGTCACTGGGTCAGCTTTAACCACTTGTGTATGGGTCCCCTCTCTTCTGAATGAAATCGTCTGGCATTAGCCAAATAAAATATTAAAAGTGGCATCCCCATAGTGAAAGGGTTAAAATGCCTAGGAACACAGGACAACCTCAGCAATTGTGGATCTAAGAAATGACATTTGGGTTAAGTACCTGACATTTGAGACTGCAACATGGAGAGCAGCAAATCAGGTAATCCTGACTAGTGTGGGAAAATGGCTGTAAAATATTGATGATGCCTAACACAAGGTCACTGCAATTATTTGTTTATTTACCTACAGATTTCTGATCTTCACCTGAGTGTGTTTCAAGATGCCACAAGAGCGACTCACTTCAGGGAGTTTGCCGCCTCCACTGTGGCCACCATCAGACCTGCAGTTGTCCTTGCCTCTGGTCAGTACCAAGTATTATTCTTCTGGGGGCAAATGTGTTTGGATTTATGAAGATCTTATCAATGTGGTTCTGATCTCTTAATATGGTACAAAATCTTATTTACTGGTAATTTTTTATTAAAACCATTAAATATACAAAACTGTGCTCATTCCTTTTCATAATTCGCTATAATAATCCTGAATGTACAATGAAATACTGATCCCAACTAACAGTGAAATTGTAATAAGTTTTTGTTTTATAATAATGGTTTTTCTACTGCCATTTTTTTGTATCTTTAAGAGTACTGTATTGTCACCTCTTATATCCTGATATGGGCAGCATGATAGGTGCCCCCATGCCATCTTAGCTGTACGCAAGTAAAACATCAATTACAGTACTGTATATACCTTCATATAACTTAAGAAATGTAGTATTTTTCAAAACTCATTGTACTGTACTAAGTTTCTCTGTTGGTAAAGTACACAGAGTCATGCTGATTTTATTGGGTTGTATTGTAGGGCATTTGTACTGTTTTCTCATCAACTTATGTTAGATTGCTTGGTGATATTCTGCAGGTGACTTGACAGATGCCAAAGCTGCCGATATGCTGGGTTCTCGACAGTACGTTGAGGAATGGGCCATATACAGTAATGTTCTACGCTCAACAGGGGTCCTGAACAACACTGTTTGGCTGGACATTAGAGGAAACCATGGTAGTAATTTTGGGTTTTCTCAGACATGTTCATCTTATATATTCTTGTCTATTTTTCATGAAGAATTTACTCTGTTGACAGTCTATATGTTTAATGCCTTGGCCCCACTAGTGCTAGTACTTAAATGTTGTGGACACATTTGTCTTCTGGTTCCTCTGAGGGTGTACAGTAGGTGTGGCTACCTCTTGGTTGTGTACATGTAAGTAGAGTGGAATTTGCTGGAACACTAATGTCAGGATATATTTCCTTTTGGAGACAACTGACAACTTCTTATTGGATATGAGATCTAGGGATGGTCTTTGCTTGTGAAACGCGCTGGTGATAAAACACGAATACGATGAACACGTTCGTCGGCTCAAACTCCCTCTTGCTACATGATGAGACTGCCTAAGGATATAACTGAAATTTAAAAAAAAAATTGTTTTCTTTGTGATATTTGTTGCCATTGCATTTCACATTCTAATTTTTGTTTTTCAAAGATCAACACAAAATTTATTATCCCTTAAAATATCAGATTATAAATACTGTACTGTACTGTATGATAGATTAAATACTGAAGAACTGTAGTGACTCTTCACATACCTGTTCACTTACCAATCAGCTGCCTTACTACAAACTGACCATAGGCCTCAGTTGTAAGCTTCAAGTGAACAGACAATAGTAATAATTATTTGTTTTGGTATTGCTTATACAGTACAGTACATTACTCATTAAAGTTAATTTTGTTCTTTGCAGCTAAAAAATTCAAGAAAAACTTTCTTTTGTTTTTTATGTAGACAACTTCAATGTGGCATCACTGGCCAGTGAAGAAAACTACTACCAGAAGTACAGTATTCAGGGTCAGCGTCACCAGCGGTCATACATGTATACCTACACTCGGGGTTCAGATTCTGTGGCCTTCATTGCCGTTGATGCCTGTCTTCTACCAGGTCCTAGAAGACCTTTCAATTTTATTGGTAAGTGTATCATCCGTGTCTGGTGCTGGGTTGGTGTAGGAAGTGACTAGTAAATTACATGAATACTTTATCTTTGATTCTTGTTGTTGAGTGAAACATCCTAGCAGAAGACTATGTTGAAAAGGAAATTTGGTGAAAGTAAATGAATGTCTGAGTAAGATAATGAAATTGCCTCTTTTTAATAAGGAGATGAATGTGTTAGTGAAAGCTACCAGAGAATTTTGTTTTTCTTGCTTGGAGTTGTGAAAAAAATACAGTACAGTACCATTGTTAATACTAGACTACCAGAGCAATGAGGATTTTTCCAACAGGAATGGTGACTGCCTCAGAGATGAGACTACTCGAAGAGTTTGAGATGGCCAGCATGCGTCATAACTACACTATATGGTTTGGTCACTATCCCACTTCTTGCATACTCTCGTCGGAACCTGGGATACGTCGTCTGATGGGCCGTGGACTGGCTTACATGTGTGGTCACCTGCACACTCTCGGTGGCCTTGTTCCTAACATGTATACGCGACAACACACAGGCTCACTGGAACTGGAGTTAGGAGATTGGAAAGATGGCCGGATGTGAGTATGTGATTTTTTTTTATAGCTTATAGACTTTAATATTGCAATATCACTTGGCAGGCAATATATCTCACTTGAAGATTCTCTGAATAGCAATTTTTTATGTATTTAACCATAATTTCTGCAGGTACCAGTTCTACTTTTAATTTTGTTTTAGTCAAGCCAGTATGCAAAATTCTCTGATAGTTGCATGCCCCCCCACCCTACCTCACCTGTTTTGTTGCTGTTTTTTTCCTTTGAATATTTTTGGTGCCTAAATTGGAGATGTGATGTGATGTGTGTTAATCCTTCCATTCATCCTCCTGTATGTCTGTTCCTCTGTTAAAGGTTTCAATTGTATCTTTTATGTTCAGGTCTATTTATATTTTACTATATTCAACATATTTATAGACAATGCAGGGTTATACAATTCAACAGGTACACACTATACTATACATACACAGTGTAGGTACAGTATATGAAAAATGTACCTAGACAGTGCAGATATACAAACAGTGGAAAACAGGGAGGTACCTGTAATTTCACCAATGATAGCCAACAAACTTATTAAATCCTTTGAAAATACAGGATTAATTTGATTTTACTTATGATGGTATTTGCTATCGTGGCACATTACCTCTTGAAGTTACTGGAAATTTAATATTTTATTTCTACCCATCACCTGGACATTTATCCAATTTCTTTACATTTTTACTTCTCTAGAATTCAAAGCTTGAAGTGATTTTTTTTTTATGTTAGGATTTTCCTTCTGTCCATTCTGTTGTGTATTTATATTTTTATTTTATGTTTTGACACAAGTTTCCCCTACTGGTAATGGTATATTATGTGTCTGTGATTTAAAGGTCAGAATGAAATGTTTATTATTGCAGAGTTGTGCCCCATCATTTAGTGAGAATATTTAACTTTATTTCCCTTCCAGTTAATCACATACAGTGCTCTACTTTAGAATGATTGGATTACGTTAAAAAAAATCTTCACTTTAGGAATATTTTAAATACATTCTTATAATCTCCATCATAATATTTTCTTGATTATTTAAACCGTAATAACTTACAATTTTCAACTCTGCATTATATATCCTTGTTACCCTTTTTGTATTTTCACACAAACCTGCCCTACACATTCCTTTAACCTCTCCAAAGCCTTCTATGCTTCTCACTTATCCTGCACTCTCATGGCTTCTTCACCTTCTCAAACCCTACTCTTCCTTAACAAGCTAATTCCTCTATATATCATACTCTTTCATATTGCCGTTACCATTTTACAATAAGATTACTGTAATTACATTTTCCGATTGCAGTTTTCGGGTTGCTGCAATAGACCACGGGCTGTTTTCTTTCACCGATCTGAATCATGGCACTTGGCCCATCATCCTTGTAACAAACCCCAAGCACGCATTGTATGCCATGAAGCACCATGAACCACTGCACCTAATTAAAGAATCGACTCACATCAGGTCTGTTTGTAAGCGTGGTATAGTGTAGTGTAGTGTATATATAGACTCGGGTTTGGTCATGAATAAAGGAAGGTGGCGAAGGTAGACAAGGTCAGGAAAGTGATGATGTATGTAAGTAAAATAATAAGACACGAGGAGAGAGGGAAGTGACATGGGTGATGATGCCTGACGGTGGAGGAGATGGTATGCTAATTTATCAGTGCAGGAAATGTTGTACTGTAAAAGCATGGACGGATGATAGAATGATATAATAAATCATGAGTGGATGATAGATTGATAACAAGTGTGGACGGATGATAGAATGATATATAAATGCTATTATTGCTATTTATTGTATATCATATGTGGCTTAATATACCATACCTATTCCATCACATTAGGGTAAAGTTGACTGATAGCTAGATAGACACATAAATATACCATATATAGATACAGTAGATAGATGTAAATACAGATAGATATAGTTAGATAGATAGAAATAGAGATTGATAGATAGATGTAATTAGGTAGTTAGGTATAAATCCAGTATACATATAGATAGATTGTTGATGAACTAAAATCATGAATATGTTTTTATAAAGGAAGTGACTTGTAAGAGAGATAAAAAAAATAGAATATTAAGGTTTTTTATGAATGCGTCTGTCTTCACTGTTTTTGATTGTGTCTCTTCACTGTGTCTGTCTTCATTGTATCTGTCTTTACTGTATCTGTCTTCACTGTATCTGTATTCACTATATCTGTCTTCCAGGGTGTTGCTGTGGTCTCTGTGTGCTATCGCTGAAGCTCGAGTCAGAATAGACGACTCGAATTCCTGGCTCGCCCTGTCTCACGAAGAAGGACCCCTCTATGTAGCCAAGTGGAATCCAAACACTTATGTCGAGGGGTTACACTTGATTGAGGTAATTGAACTGCTGTGGGATTAGATTACTTGTATGACCTTTAATGCTATTTCTCACTGGTGTATGTACGGTATCTCTTCATATGACTCATTCAGGGTAAGTGGGGTAAGTACATTAAGTTTCTTGTTATTTGAGACTGGTTTCATTCACTTCATAAGGTGCATTAGAGAAATGCACATCATCTAATGTGCACCAAACAAAACTGCTCATATCTTGAAGCATGATTTAAGTTGGTTCGCCCCTCTTATTTTATCAGAGCTAACGGAACCGCATCATCTCCATAGAACGGCCATGAAAAGTTTCCTTTCGGTTTCATCATTAGTTTTCCATGCATCACATTTACCATTCTATTTTGTGTTTCTTCATATGTGGCTGCAACACTAATTCAATACTTTAATACTTCTGTATATCATTACCAACTACATTTTTATTTCTTTTAATTACATATCATCACGTATCGGCTTACTAGCCATTTGGGATGTTGGTCTATCCAGTGATAATACAGAGGGAAACCAGAGTCCGGGAAACCTCTGGTGTTTGGTAGTGTCACACTGGATAACACCATTCTCACATGTGTCCAGGTCAAGCAGGACCTGAACCAATGCCATATTGGTGATAAATACGTGCATTACCGCTGTACAGAACCTCTTTATTATCAAAATTTATTGCACTATCCATTTATGCTCTAAATTAGTCCTGTGATATAAATATACTGTATTTTAAGCTAATTCTAATTATTTACTTGTCAGGTATTTGCAAGAGATGCTAGTGGTCGAGTAGCAACACTTACACAACCGTTTTCTCTGGATGAATCTCAACCTTCATTTCGTTTCTGGCCAAGAGCACTTCTCATGTCCAACATCTCTATGTTTGTAAGTACAGTATTCAGTATCCTTGTAGAGCTTGGAGGAGTTTATTAGTGGTTTAGATGATGTAGTTGAGTGTATTCAGCATATATGGGACATAAAATAAACATGTGCAGGTCTAAAAAGATTCAGATTGATTTTTTTTATTCAAGTTTGAAAATTATGACTTGTACTGTGTTTATATTTATGTTATAGTATGTTTTTGTTTTAACGTTTCAGGCTCTTGTAAAAGAAAACAGTGATATACAGTATATAGCAGATGATGTTGGGGTATGAATAGAAATAAAGTCAATAATATAGACCACCACTAACTACAGCAAAATGAAAAGGTTTAAGGCAGTATATGGAGAGGACTCTAGATTTTCGATATAGAAATGAAAGAAAGTTGTTCCAGTAGATTAATATAAAGGATGGAGGTAACTCATACAAATGAATATATACATTATTTTAATAAAGAAAATACCTTACATAATGCCAGTGTCTCCCCCTACCCCCAAATCCCTTGCCTCACCTCCCTCACATCACCACAGGACACACACCGTACACCATTCTAATTTTCTCCTCAGAAGCCTTTATGGTGCAGAAGGTGGACTTGTTTGCTCCATACTCGAGGGTTAAGTATCGTCAAGTTGTGTTTCAATAAGTTTGGATGCACCCTAGTCCTAATAAAACCCAATGTTCATGTGTCCCATTTCTAATGAAGCCACAGCTCTAATTGACCCTAATCATAATAGGCCCAGTCTTGCCGAGTCCCAATCTTGAGATTGTGACATTTAGCTTGGGACTTATTAACAGATAAGGTCCATCGGATCCTACGTTATAATATCCTCAAACTTAAAGGCACATTTTGATGGTCCCTAAAGTTAATGGCATAGTGGTATTAAGGATTCATATTCATTTTCCTTTAAAAATGTAACTCCACTTTCCTGAGAGTTTGGTTCTTTAGGTTATCAGCTCCTATGTTATACAGTGAAATAATATGACATTGACCACAGTTCTTGCATACATTATGAGGTGCTTGGACATAACTGATGCGAAAAATTTCACATAATCTGAAAGTACGCTAGATTTCCCATTGCTTGAGACCAGTTTCATTCATTTCGAATGGTGCATTATAGTGATACACACAATCTAATGCGTGCGAGACTAAATTGCTTGTATCTCGTAACGTGATTTTGGTTTATTCTCCCGTCTTACCCCCTTGACCTCATGTGGTTTATGTACTTTTGAGAAGATAATTAACAAGGAAATATGAGTTCCTTTTTTTTTTTTTTCTTCGTAATTTCTCTTTCCCCATGTCAATTTTATCCACACCAACAGAGATGGAGACACTACTTGTTTCTCTTATTGGACCATATAACTCTTAAGGTGTGTTTGTTCCGGGTTCAGTACGGAACAACCACTTGGTTTTCATAACAACCAATGTGTAAAAATGCATAATGGAATTAATTTAAATAAATGTCTTCAGTTGATTTATTCTGGAATGATGTATATATATTTTTTCCAGTTTCAGTTCCTCTTTGGCATTATGGTGTGTGTTTGTGTAGTTCCCCTGTGTGTGCTGCGCTACATTCATCATCTAGTACTAGGTATGGTAAACTCTTTCATGAGTGTAATGGAAAATTTAAAGTAATAGAATAAATAGTGAATAGATTTCACACCAGTTGTCTTTGTGAGTTTATAAAAGTAATACAATTTCTGAATATTTACAATATTTAATTATAATTCCAATTGTTTTCAGAGAGACGCATGATCCGTCCTCGTCCAAAATGGAAGATCTGCAACATGTGGCTCCGCAAGTTATGGGTCTTGGTCTCTGTTGATAGACTCTTCTGGCCCATTGTTGTTACTGCTGTGTACTTGCCTGTTGGTAAGGGAGGCCTATTTATATTTTAGCAGTCTGTTATAGGCATGTACAGTATAATGAATTAATTTGCAGCAGGTAACAAGTTATTAGTACAGTTTTATTTATTTTTATTTTTATTTTACAATTGTTATTCATTTTTTTTGGTGCTGCATGATCTAGTTTTTTTATTTACGTTATTTTTGTTGCGCTGTGATAGCCTAAGGGGAGTTAATATGAGAGTAAGTCCCCTAAACTTTGATTTAACTGACAGTTTGACTCATATTCAAGTTAGGCTCACCATGTATATGATGGTCAAGAAAGGCAAAGCTGGGTAAGTTGACTGTGGAATAAGAGGTGAGTGTTTGACCTACATATAAAGAGTTATATAGTAATTTGTGTGAAAAAGGTATGAGTGGATACAGTGCTTGCCTCATGTCCTAAGTATTTCTGGCTCAGTACTGAGCATTCCCTATTGAAGGAGGCATGTAAGACACAGTACAGTCGTGTATAAACAAATGGGTAGGTAAAGACTTCATTGTAAACATTTTGTACTACAGGTATATTTATGACACATAAGATGCACATATTTTGAAGAAGATTAATACCTCAGTTGCCCCTAATGGTTATTGTTTCATGCTCTCATTGCTATTGTTTTCAGGGCCGTGGTTTGTGGGTGAAGTAATTGAAGGTCACATTGGAGTCGTATTTGCCTGGGGAACTATTGTAAATAGAAGCTACCTTCCAGGGTCACTGACATATGCATATGGCTTTTTCCAAGTAAGAGGACAGTCCAGTGCAGATGGATGAGCAGTATAATTTTATCAGAAAAAAAATCATTGTAATCTGAGATTCATGTACTATACACTAATATGTGGACTATAATGAAATAGAAAGTACTATATACTGTGTAGTGGACTCCCATTAGTCTTAAATTAGTTTTAATTTACAAATTTACTTCACTATTCCAGTGCACTCAAAACCATTAATCCTGCAGATTACATTATCATTATAAAAAACATAGAATTCAAATGTTTATTTTTTTTTAATAAAATTTTATTTTCAGATGCTGGTCTTTCATCTCCCTCTCATCTTGGCTGTGGCACACTGCATTGACTTCAGGTAAAAAATATTGTTTATATAGATAAATAGATAAGGCTAAACTGGGTTAATGTTTTACTCTGTAATGATGTGTGCTGAACTGGTCACCATTCATGTCAGTGCCCTGAGCACAGTTATCCCTTGTTGCCTGGGAGTTGTCTCCTCACAATTTGGGAAATGTTACAGAGGGATTTATTTATTCTTTATTTAGTTTGATATCTTTTGTTTTCATTATAACTCTCTCATATCTTAATAAAAAATATTGACAAATAAAATACTGGGCCAGTCATCTACTATAATACCACTCATAAATTTCACAGCACACAATCAACCATCTGTAGTGGACCAACTTAAATTCTACACTTACCAACTCCTCTTACTTCCTTAGTCACAGATACTTCAATAAAGACTTTTCCAATATTTCAGATTCTTGTCGTTATATGTTGACCCCCTGTGTAGTTTTCCCCGTTACCTGTGCCGCCATGTGTGTGTACTGCTACTTATAACAATGCAGGTGAGACAGCCATGGAATCTTTACTTTCCTTAAAATTATGTATGTACAGTATATAATGAGATACTACTTATATATTCTGTACATTGTCTTTTTATATCTGTATTTTTTTAAATGGTTCTCATTAGTCTGGAGAAAGTTAGTTGTCATGGAGGAGAATTAAATTTTGTTTCTGGATTTATATCACATTTATCTATAGTGAGTTCAGTAATGACCCTTTATAGCTTAAACCTTTGTGTATGGAGTCCCATCTCTGCCGAATAAAATTTTCTGGTAGCCAATTAAAATATTAAGTGACGTACCCTTGGTGAAGGGGTTAATGGAGATAGTCTACTAACCCCTTTCTGCTGAATAAAATTGTCTTGATGTTAACCAAATAAAATAATAGAAGTTGAATCCTCTTATTGAAGGAGTTGAGTGTAGGTGTGATAAATTCTTGGATGCGCTTGTTTTACAGATGATAACGGCGTACTCCTTCTGGCTAGCGTATGGGACAATGGCACTGCTCTTGGGACCCCTTCGTACATGGTCAGCCATTCTTGGTATCATACTGTGGTACCAGTCATCAACAATGCACAAAGACCTACTCAGGTAAGAATACAAACAAGATATGGTGATTTTATTTATTTACTGTACCTGTATTTAGTTGAAACTCAGAGATTATCTTAATTTACAGAGGCGCTGCAGAAGTTTGGGCTCCACGGTGCCAGGATTGGGATGATGATACAATCAGCAAAGCTTATGGGAGTCAAGAGCATGTTGCTCAGAGTGACCTCTGACTCTTCAAGTACTGTACTCGTACAGTATATCTTCAGGTGTAGTAATTTTCTTTTCTGTGATTTATTTAAACTTAATTTATTGCCTAATGATATGGCAGATCCTATTATTAGATTTTTAACTGGCCATTGTGGATTTTCTGTGATTTTACAGGAGATAGAAGAGTCTGTCTTGTTCAGTAGATCCTTCATATTCTCTGTAATGCAATGTAGCTTAATAGTTTGTGGTAGCTTATACACTATGGTCAAAATGAAGCTATTGATTTTCAGTTTTTGTTGGTCAGAATTTTTTTTTATAGAGGACTGTACAATACTCGTATTTCAAGATATATTTTGTGCTAAAGTGAAAGTTAATAATTCTATGAATTATCAAAATAACAGTTGCCTTATATGAGCAGTTGTGTAGTGAGAAAAGAGCATTACTATAGTACAGTATTTTCCTCGTCCATTTATTTGTTATTGGTTAATTCTTTACTATTTTTTATGCATTCAAGAAGATAAAATATTTATTTGAGAGATTTATCTGTGAACTTTACTGTGCTTTTGTCAGATTGGTGTGTCGTGATGCACAACTCTTTATTTTAAAAGAATGTGAATGAAAGGTTTGCATAAAAACAAATACAAATAATTAGTTTTAAAAGAAACATAACTAGGTTATTAATCTTTGAAATTTGATTTTTTTTATATCTTTAACATATCACTTGTAATAAGACTGCACTATACTGCATCTCTGCTTTGATAAGAGGACTCAGATGAATGGTACTGTAAAGTTTGTTAACCCCACGAGGTTCATGGCATTTACCCTGTTGTGTATTGGCCAAAGAGGGTAAAAGAGGTCATCCTTCCACTACATAGCTGGACTCCTAGTTTCTAAAGTAATAGGGTGCCTGAACAATTTTTAATTAAAGAAAGAAAAATCACTGGATTATGACGATGACTCCTGAACCATATCCTGGTCTTACCTTATTATAGAAAACGAGACCTCTGACCATCATAGTGCGTTGATATCTGTTTTGAATGGCTAAGACACACTTCTTTAGGAAATCTCCTTTATTTGAAATTGAAGAGACCAGTTTTATAGTGGAAAGGTGAGCTACTTTTGTAATTAATCTCCTTTGGTCAAGCCTCTGTGGACCTAGTAGGGTTAACAACTATCACAGGACAATTTGTCTGGTGCAGATTATAAAATGGGATTGTAGGATCATTCTTTGATTTTTTGTTAAACTGTGTTCTCATCTACTTGGGTAGAACTGCTGTACAAATCAAGTGTATAAAACACAATAAAATGAAGTATGAAGTTAAAAAAGGAAAATATTTTGAGGATAAAATATATAACAATATTAAATTTAAGTAAAATCTTTATATATGTTCAACTCCAAAAAACTTTCACATGATAAAGAGCTTTCTGTTGCTTGCTTGGTTCAGTGCTGTTAAGTTTGCACATATATAATATATTGTTAAGACCTGTGTTACCATCCCCTCTTCTTTATATGTGTATGGTAAATGATGTTTCCTACATGCATGGTTTTATGATATCATGTGTTGCTGTATGTAAGACTTGTTAACATTCTCTCCAACTTGTACAGTTCTGTCTCCTATTTTCAGGTATATTTTATTTATGTTTCATCACCCAACAAAACAGCTTGTGGTACTGTGAAATTTTAAGTCTTTGCTGAAGGATTAACACACACATTACACAAATTCATAATTGTGTATAAAGTACTGTACCCTGTACTGTATAAATCAGAAAGTATGTGGGAAAACATAACTTAGTTTAACAATAAAAAGTCCCAAGACTGACTCACTTTGTACAATTACAATATAACATTTTTAACAAAAATCTACTACTGAGAATGCTCTTCAAACTAAATAATTTGCTTTATCCTCTTTGCCACTGATCTGCCTGTTAACTGCTTGGGCTGTTGGCCACATCTCTGTTATGCACTGCTAGCAAGTATTGGTCTTGCACTAACTCAAGAATGTATCTGAACCTTTGCCACTGTTGGTCAAATCTAGTATCAAATGAGCTCACGCACGGTGCACCTTGATCACGATTAAATTCCTGGCATAACTGTGTTTGGATAACATTAATGCATACAAGTAAAAGAAAATTAGGATGTTGTGAAGATTTGGCACCCCAGCTTATTTCGTCTGATGATTAAACACCCTAATGCTAACCTAATCAAACCAGACCTAATCCCCCCAGGTAGCATTATGGTGATTAACCATCAGGTGAAATAAACTGGGCTGTCTAAGCTTTACATTATCAGAAAATTTAAATCATGTGTAAATAAGACATTTCATTGTCAGTTAGATTTTCCTCCAATTTGCTTTTCGAGTGATTATGTATTTTTGGATTTTTGTGTAAAAATATAAAGAAGCATTGTAGATGACTTAAGAATGTAAGTATTATGGATACATGTAATTTTTTCAGCTTTTCATTCTATTTCAGATTCAGTCCATATTAAAACTCACTCAGTCAATCCTTATCGTTCTCTGCACTGATATATGTATATTTTATGTAAAGATACAGTAATATCTTGTACTGTTTTTTGTCTACAGGAAAGAGGATATTCAAAACTGTATGTCTGAAATGCACCACCACAACTACCTTTGCTTCCACTGTATTTATAGCGCCGATACTTGTCATATAACTCCCTGATGATGGTGATAAATCTTTGAAATCCGCTACACACACGAGCTATGCAAATAAATCTGGGCAGATGCCTTCATACACTCGAAATATTCTTATAATGTAGTGCACAACAGATTATTGTGATTTATTACAAATTCTACCTTAGTATATACAGGTATACTGTATAATAATCATAAATAATCATTATTAGAAATACTATGCTGCATCTTATTTGCTTTGTCAGTATGAAGGCATCGTATGTTGCTGAGTAATTGTATTGGTATATCTATATAGTATATAAAGTAGTAGATATGCATCATGTATATACAGTAGTTGATATGTGTCATGTATAGAAAAACTAAGGAAACATTGAAGAATGTATTGTACTACGTATCTCATTGTAGGATAAATTTTCTTTGGTCAATATCTCCTGACAGCTTATTGTGTTTATAAATCCATGTGGAGCTTGTATGGCTATAGAAGAACAGTCCCCTGCACTTATACAGTATACTGTACTCTCGATTTAATGGAATCCGATATAACAAACTCTCGATTTAGCGAAAAGCATTTTATCGTTATTTTTCGCTCGATTTAGTGAACTACTTCGCGAAATTGAGATTAATGTACCTGTTACAGTGTGCTGGTGCATTTTGTGAGATGTGGCAACTCTGTGGAAGGCTTATCTAGTAGCCTTAGTTTGGATACTATTGTGAGGTTCCTTAGGGCCATTCTGGGAGTTTTAATACCATTAAAACAAACACAGAGCTGCCACATTTCACAAAATGTGTCAGGTATAAGTGCAGGCGACTGTATGCAGAAATGTGATATTAAATAATTTTAGAAGATTATCATAATCAAATTTGCTGCTCTCCTGGGTTTGCCTTCCAAATATTTATGAAATTGTTTGAATAAGGTTTCAGAATCATAAAACCAATATGAACATGCTTGTGCAACCATGTGCTGGTTGTACACTTTTAACATCTGTTGTTTTCTTAATGTGTAGGGAATCAAATTTATATTGTTGTATGCATGTAATGTCAGAGTTGAGTGAAAGAAATAGTGGTACCGTACTGGGTGATGACCTAAACTTTATGTTGGTATACACACTGAGAGTTATGAAGGTGTGCATGGTGGACAAGGCAATGGTACAAAGAATGTAGACAGAGAAAGAGTACAGGTACTTGAGCTTGGACATACAGTACATTGACAGTGGTACAGTAGTATGCAACATGTTATATAAGAAGAGGGCAAGTAAGCTGATCACTCATGAGTCAGCTGGCACAAAAACCCAGATTGACGACAGTCTTATCAGGAAATTAGATAGGAAGCATCTTAGAAATGTAAAGGTTATAGCAAGGGTAGAATTTGCCTTGCAGCACAGATTGCTTGTGTATGACATGTTGTTTAAAAGGTCTTGGGAAAGGAAGAAGATGTATTTTCTGAGAAGGAGAGAGTGAAAATGAAGAGAAGGGTTTTATACTGAGCTGAGAAGAGTGGAAATAGCCAGTGTAGTGAGATGCTGGGTCATAATAGAGTAAATTTTGCTAGGCACAGTACTGGCATTGTATGATGGCCAAAAAACTAGTGATTAATTTAAGGTGAAAATATAGGTTCATTTGGGATCTGTCTTATGGTCCCTTCTGCTTATGGTGGTGCTAGAGGCAATATCACAGGACTTTAGGACTGGTCTGCCTAGAGAGGCTAATGACTTAGTACTGTTAACAGATAGTACTGAGAAGGTAGTTCAGAGGTAAGAGGGCAGCAGGGTATTGAGAGTACAGTATTGATGACGTTTTGTGTATAGGTAGGTTGAGGTGGTTTGGGTATGTGAAGAGAATGGATGAGACCAATTGGGTCAAAAATGCAAGAATGACATGGGGAAAGATGTTTGAAATGACATTACGAATTAAAAACCTGGGAAGACAGTGTGCAGCATGAAGAGTTACCATGTGGTAACTGCACCTAACCCCTGCAAGCATGGAAAATTGATGATGATGATACATGCAAATTTTAAACAATGCATACAAGTTGAGAAGACCTAATGTACTTGAATGAAGGGTTCACTGCAAGAATGCTCAAGAAGTAGAATGTAAAATAAAAGCAATTCATGAACAAAATAGTTAAGGATAGATCTGTGATTAGATATTAATAATCTTGATAAAGGTGTATTAACTGGAAATAACAAAACATGCTATGTTTTAAAGATAGTGAAAAAGGGAATGATACCTTCTACACTGTTACAGAGAAGTAAGACTAGTGTGTTTTGGTGTAAAAATTTTGTAAAAGTGACTTTGTTGTCATATATTGTAAACCAGGGGGAGGTTTAGGTTTGTGGGAAAAGAAAGTTTGCTATTCTGGAACCATTGGGTTGCTCTCTTCTGTTTTATTGCATCTTTCTCCATAAATTTTGTGCAGGATTTAGACAGTAAGGGGTAGTGGGCAAGCAAGCATTGAAGGGTGATGGTTAGGGCAGAAGTGGGTAGTAAGGAATAGTAAGTAGGACCTTTAAGGGCACCTTCTTACCAGAGTGGGGGGTGGGCGTGCCAGCACACACCCAGTACGGTACCTGCCTGGATCTCGGATCTACCACTGACAACATATGTTCATGTGCAACACCAGTACAGGGGGTCCTCATTATAAGTGGTTTTGAACTTAAGTGGTCAAATAATTGTGGACCTCCACGTAAAAAGTTCCCGCAGTTAAGAGGATTCTAAGGCTAAAATCCGTCAATCTATAGGAGCATTAACGTTTGAGTGATTGAAATTCCCCTCCGCCTCCCACTCTCTGAATGGTCATCCTTTTCACCTGTGCTATGCATGCTCAGTACCAGGCACCTGTGTCCACAGGCATTATTTTGAAGTGCTCCAAGAACTATACTTATCAACTTTGTTGCACCTTGATGACATTGGTGGACTATTTTTGTAGCCATCAGTTCCAAACCAAAGCAAGGTGGTGTAGTGGCTAAAAGGAAGCATAGTAGCTATGGGATGGATGTGAAATTTGAAGTTACATGTCATAAGAAAAGTGGTGAGCATTTATCACTTTACCATTTTCAGTGAAATGAGTGTGTGAGTGCATGGTTAGGTAGCTTGCGCTGCATCAACACACCGACCTCAAACGAACTTTAAGTACCTTAAATAAGTTGTGAAGTTAAATAATTTCATAAAATATTGTATAATCAAATGTTTTTAAGGTATATATTAATGCTAAAAGATACCAAATTAAACTTTGAGTGCCACTTAAAATGTGATGGTCCCGATTAGACCCTATTCCTATTAATTCTTAAGGGAATCAATTCATCTTTATAAGTGGTTTCATTAGCAGTGGCTTTTTTCTGGTTCCTATTAACCACTTACAATGAGGATCCCCTGTATTACATAGCACTGATCTGATGAGGTAGTTAAGGCACTAGCATGAATTATGTAAGGAATATGATATTCAGTTTCTGCTAGCTATGACTTTAATGTTTACTTAGAACCTTTAGGGATTTACAGTACCGTAAGTGAATTGTCAAAATGTTCTGCCTCTGCTACTCTACCTGAAGTGAGGAAACTATCATACTGGCCATAGATCAAGATATTTGTAACATAATTTAAATGAGGTTCATATTTACTCAAGAAACACTTCCCAATGACTTTCAGTAAAAAATACTGTACAAAGGTGATAAACATGACCAAGAAAGCAATGGATATAGGAGGAGCTTTGGGATGCCCTGTGTCTCATCAACCATTCCTTCAGTTAAAAGAGGAATTCTCGATTACTCATATGAAAACCTTGATGATGATGATGTGTTGGCGGGAGTGTTGAGGTGTCAAGACGTCCAAGGAGTATTGGTTATGTTGTTTACCTTAAGTGTAAAATGTTCAGTAAGTGATAGATGTATAATAGAGATTCATGTAACCTGTAATCAAAATTTCCAAGTTTATTTAGAATGTGATATTACATAGTACGTATTGAACTTGTTTACTGTATTGCAAGTACACGAGGTTAACCAGATACACTAGCTTCGCTGCTGTGCACAATAGCATATATTGTTGGATATTTTAGTATTAATATACTATGCCTATCTTTGGATTCATGATACCTGGAACAAAGTGATAATGATTACTCTCAGTCATGAAATACTGTACTGGTGAGCCCCTTTATATTCTTCATACTCAGGATAAAACAGTACTGTATTAAATTATAACTAAACTGTTTAGATATACCATAATGTATTTAGGATGGTATATCATGTTGCTAATACCCTATAAAGTTCTATATACAGAACAATATTATCATATATTTCAAGAGTATTATGATTGGTCGTCATTTTATCGTGGAATACATTTATTGGTTGATTAATTATTAATTTTCAGTTTTTGTGTCGGTATTAAGAGTGTGATTTACTGTGTGTGTATCAACCAGTTTTAAATTTTTAGAGTTTTAAGTTACTTCCATTTTTCATTGTCATTATAGTTTAGTTAATGGGTTAGTTTTGTGTCGTACAGTACTTGGTCTTTTATAACTCCTCAGAGCAAAAGTGACTGGGATTATATTATGGATTATCGTAATATAATTCTTTGCATTATATGTAATGCTCTTTCTTACTGGTCGATATTAATTTTTTGTGGATAGTTGTTCGTAAGGATGTACATTTTATTTTCTATCCAGCATTACTACTTCAGTGAGCTTTATTCCTTGTGATCTCACTCATTTATTTAAGCCTGGGAAGAGACTGTTGGATATAGACAGGTATAAGTACATGTACACTGTACAGTCTCCCAAAAAAGTATTGTTCCCTTTTCTCATTGATGGCATGTGTCACAATGGATGAATATTTGCGATCACTAATTATGATTCCTGCATTATGTTAGTAGGTCTGCCTTCCTAGTATCTGTGAGGTTGCCAGTTATTATTTCTGGCATTTGTTGTAATTATGGTGAATCACTGTGCTCCATCTTTGGTACAATAATATAATGATATTAATGTAGCAAAAATATATCAACGGCAGTCAAATAGTGGGTGTTTTCTGCTGGAAATCCATGACCAATACTAGTACCCGAGACCAGGCCCGGATTATGGGGAGGGCGTACCTGGCGCACGCCCAGGGGCCCCCCACATCTAGGGCCCCGCCCACAACATTGTAAAAAAAAGTTTTAGAAACCTTTACCACAGAGCGATAAACAAGTGGAACAGATTGCCTAACACTCACTGTGCACCACTTACCGTAACTCCACCCGGCCGCCACAAATGTTTCCTACTATAACTCATGATTGGTGAACTGATTTAACTTATTCAACACAGAGATTATAATAAAATAATAAAAAGGCTGTATAAATAAGTGAACACTACACCACACAAACTTCTTCAAGATCCAAAACTAATTCTTCAATCAGCAGTAAATTTCCTTGAAATGTTTCGTTGAAAGAAAACGAGACAGTTTTGATGCCAATGAGGAAAAGGAAAAGATCTGGCAGGAAGCACCGAGTTTGTCCGTTCAGGTCGTCAGAGGCTATCAAACGTACGGCTCGCTCCACTGGATTATGGACGTTCAAGTGAAGTGGATCTCAGTCCAAGAGACAATTTCCGAACAAAATGCTTCATCACAGTCATTGATCAACCAGTGGTATCCCTAAACGAAAGGATTGCTCCATACACGTTGGTGAAGGATCACTTCGGCCTTTTAAGCAATCTGGAAACCATGTCGGCCGATGCCATTCATTCTGCTTCAGAAAATCTTCTGCAAACTTATGGAAAAGATATTGATGAAAACATCTCCAATGAAATGATCTCAATTCTCGTCTCTGGTAAAGTTGTATGCAAAAGCCGCGGATGAGCCCAATGAGTCGTTTTATTACAATCAGCATTTCCAAATGTAAAAACGGTTTTGAGGATATATCTGGTGTTAATGGTCTCCAGTTCTACCGGGGAGCGTTCCTTCTCAAAAATGAAACTGATCAACAACAGGCTGCGGACCAAGATGCGCCAGGAGAGACTCAACAATCTGATGCTATTAAGCACCGAATCAGACATTTCAAGAGAACTTCCATTTGACATTGTGATACGTTTATTTGCTAGAAAAAAAATCACGCAAAGTGCATTTGTAAATGAATGTATACGCTTTCTTTGAATGGAATAAATAATTTGTAAATGTGTCATTATTACTAGATTTTATTGTTTCTATTGATCTTGGATATTACCTAAATTTAATTTCAGTTGTCAGCAGGGAGCCCCCCCCCCACTACTAGGCGTCGCCCAGGGCCCCCCCAACCCCTTAATCCGGTACTGCCCGCGACTCATTGGAAAATACAGCTTGCACCGACAGACATGGAGAAATGTCACTTTCCGAATAACAGTATAGCTATAAATCAATGTTTGTTAGCCAAGCCGTTGTTCGATCTCCTTGTTGCTTAGGCCTGTGTCGTGTAGGGTGATGATACTGCCTCTTGTTGCCTGTGATGTCTCCATATTGACATTGTCTCATAGTGTGTATCAGAGAATGTTCCATTGCCAGCATGAATCATGAGATGATATGTTATATTCATAAATGTTATCTCATCAATTGAGGTAGAAATGATATCGAAATCCAGTAAATCATAATGTCATTGTAATTGGATATGGCATCATTATACACCTGTAATTACTGTATTTGCAAATGAGTGTAATATCGGATCGTGGTGTTTCATATTTCATTCGAAGCGATTCCATTGTAACCTCGGTTCATGAAAACATATTAACGTTATATTTCTATTTGGCAACCCATCCCCTGGGGCTGACATATTATCTAAGGTGCATAAATCAGCGAGGTTACTCATGACGTTATTGGTTTTGCAATGGTATCACAATTCATCCTATTTTTTTTACATTATGTAGAGAATAATTGGTTTACTGCAGGTATGGCGATTATCAGGTGCAAGAAGAAAGAGCAAAAGATGCAACTCACAATCAGAAATACCAACCAAACCAAGACTGCTGTGCATGTGTTATTGTGTTCATTTTCAAATATATCAGGCCTGGGGGGGAAGGTGATACTCTTTGGGGGAGTGTACATTGTTTAGTGTACAGTACTGTATACCTCCCCAGTTATTTGCCTAATAACATTCCTGTTCAAGCCTGGTCAGTCAGTCTTTCAGTAAAAATGTAGGTATAATTGATCGGTGTTAAGATTAGGCACCTTAGTTTATTTCACCTTAAGATTAACCACTCTAACATAGGGTGTTTAATTATCTGGTGGAAGAAGCTGGGGTGCCTAATCTTCAAGTGACTCTGTATCATAATTCTAACTACTGTATAAACATTTACTTGAAAGGTAGTCATCAAAGATTCAACATGAGCGATGTAGACTTCAAGTTAGTAAACAAATCCCACTTCATGGCGGGGGATGAGTGAACTTATGTTACAAATATTGTGTGCTTACTCCCTTATTGATTGGTCATTCAGTGCTTTCAAATGTGAGAATTAAAGTACAGTACAAGCTGTAATGTAATGTGTGTTCAATATTCAGTGCTGTAATGCTAAATTATTGTTCAAGAACTACCTCCTTGTGGCCAAGGAAGAAATATTATGTGAGAACAAGTTATATAGATGTACTGTACTAAGTAGACAGGTAGAGAACACAGTATTGTACAGTATCACAGCACAGGTCATTATTATTATCTCCAGTGCAATACTGTACAGGTAGTCATATCGTATAGTTATCCAACAAGTGGTATTTTTAAATATGAAACAGACAGCTTTTAGATAAGGAACATTTACTTCAGCTGTTTATAAGAAAATAAACTTGAAAATTTATATGAATTAAATTTTAAAGTCATTCATGGTAGTTTTAAAATAAAAGTTCAGGCCAGGATAATTTGAGAAAAGTTACACTGAATATTATTTCTATAGACAAATACAAAGTTATCCTGCTGTGGCTACACCACTCTCCACATAATGTAGTTATTCAATTTGCCAAACTTATCATTTTCATATACATTACTTGATAATTATTAATATGAAATCTACAGTAATAAATAATATAAATTCAATTTGTGTTTTCCTTACACTTGGCTGAGTTGCAGAATAATTATGGCATCAACTGCAAGGGTTCACACTTATTGAAAGGTTACACTAATTTCACCTACAACTGTATATGAACTGCAAAATTTACTGAATTATGTTAAATTACAGCGATAAGAAATGAAAAACAAAATTTATAAAGTAATTGGTAATGTTGTTGCGGTGTATGTGTTACCATCAGTAAATAATAACGTGTGACTTTTTACCCAATAAATACGTATGTACTTGCCTTCAGTGCCTAGCAGAAACGTAAACGACCGCCTACGCGACTAACAACCCAATTAGTGGCAAAGATGATAAAGCAATAATTGAGAAAGTGCAGTAATTCACTTCTTCTCGACTCCACTCTCCATTGTTGATGCCAAGATAATATACATGATAATAACAGGAACCTCCACTCGTAATAAACCTGAAGCTAAACGGTTGTGAGGTCTTATATAGCGGGGGTAGGCGTGTGGCTTGATGGTTGACCTCCACTTTGGCGGCGCTGGTTACCGACCTTGACCATGAGGCGTAGGCTGGGGAATTTGCAGGGGTCGGCTAGTTAGAGAGACACGGCGTCTGTAGGGGAGGAATCCACTACACAGTCACGGATGTCACTGAAGGGAAAAAAGTATTATACAGGTATTCCCTTATAATAATTACTACAACAAACTTTCTTGGGGTAAAATAAGGCACTGTAGAGAATCACAGTTCGCCCATCATGTTGGATGTTCTAATGTTTGTTTTTATTAAATTTTATGTAATTATTGAATTATTATCTACCTAATGACCACAATTAAGTCCATAACAAAGAAGAGATCGAAAAAATGGAATATTAATATTTTACGCTTACACAAAAACTATAATATTATTTTCTATTTTTAGGATTACGCAAAAAAAAAAAGAAAATTATTATCTTACTTACATTATTAAAAGTTAAACGAGCATCATCAGAACAAATCTTTTAAGCGCGTTTTCCTGTTCGTTGTATATCTTCAACATTAGTTCCCTTACTAACACGTACAGGTAACATCAGGTAGAGTGACCAAGACCCTGGCAGACTGCAGTGACCGAGACGTGGAAGTGTCTTTAGTTAAACTACAAGAAGGAAGAAGCTTATCAGAATCATTAAGATGAGTAATAAGAGGAAAAACCCGACAAGTGAAAACAACCTCAACGCTTCTGTTTGTGAATTATTATTGGGTGGGTTTAAAGTAACAGCTTTCGCCCTCACAGTGTTAATATTATTGTAAAGTCTTCTATTATGTGTCTTTCTGTTTAGTTTGGGTGATAAGTAGGCTAGGTTAGGGTTGGTATTGGCTGATAGTTGTTTAAAATTTGCTTAAAGTTGCCCCTTCTCATGAGTCGGTGTTATAAAGTATTGTCAGGTTAGGTTAGGTTAGGTTAGGTTAGGTTAGGTTAGGTTAGGTTAGGTTAGGTTAGGTTATATTATATTATGCTAAGTTAGGTTCATAACACTAAATGACAAACCCAACTAGAGGTGGTCATGTGAAGGAGGTCTTTGTAGGATCCCTTCATTGTTCTTGATAGTCTAGTCTAGGGCTACTTTAAAGCCCAATAGTGTATTACCTGTAGTCTTGATTTCCACAGGATCAACTGATAGACAGTTCCATAGGCCTATCAAAGTACAGTGTATATTTATCTTTCAGAAATTGCGGAGTATGAGCGAAACGTAAACCGCAACGTTCACAAGTATAATGCCTATCGCAATGCCGCTTCAACTCTGGCAAAACATCCAAAAAAAATCACGAGTGGAAGTGAAGCGAAGAAACTGAAGGGTGTTGGTAGCAAGATCGGTGATAAGATTGACGAGTACATCAAGACCGGAGAGATGGGAAAAGTGAAAAAGGTAATAATATTTTTGTGTTTGATAAATGATACATAATCTTTTGGTATATGGTACAGTACGGTATATTAGAGAGGAGTGCAGAATGGCAGTGTATAGAATTCCTATGGATAAAAGGAAGGTGATATGAATAAATGCAAATTAATACAGGTAAGGTTGTTATGTGTATCTGCCCAGTATTAAAGAGTTATAAGGTTGTCATTATATTAGGGAAATATTAAATGACTGTGTGGCAAACAGTCCTTACCGAGGGAAATGTCCAAGATTTATTAGGAGATCTGAACTATATGAAGCAGTTTAGGTCTCATGTGTGTGGCAAGGTGATTGGAACTGATTGGGATTGCTTAAATGGCAATTGACATCTTCAAGTACTACTGTACATATTCCATTTTCAGGGGTTCATGGATGTGCTGGAAAGTTTTACTGTTTTCTATATTCCTGGAATTTGGTCATAATGAGACATATCAGGGGTCCTGGGAACCTTGGGTTGGCAGTCTGTAGACCTGTTGACTGAACTGGAGTTGCCTGACCCTGACTTGGTTATGCAGTACTGCAGTGTACTGTACAAGTATAATGCAATTTCAGGATCACCACCTCAGTCTCTTGCTTCACCTCTACAACACAGTACAGTATTGTCTTTATTTTCCACTTTGGTAATTTATCTTTGAGTCTTATTAGATGTCCTATGTTCAACAGTGAGCTTATTCAGTAAATTACAAAAAAAAAATTCCAGATTCGTGCTGATGATACAAATGTTGCCATCAATCTTCTGGCACGTGTGTCAGGCATTGGGCCAGCCAAGGCCCGGGAGTTGATAAATGATGGTATCACAACTATAGAAGACCTGCGTAAAAATCAAGACAAGCTCAATCACCACCAGATCATTGGATTAAAGTAAGGGGATACAGGCCAGGGAGCATCATCACATTGTGCTAATATTATACAGGTATACTCAAGCACTGAGTTTCACCTGCGTGCCATTTGTATTTTCCAGAATTTTCCCAGTTATCATTTTAGGATTTAAGGTTTGTTGTACATTATCACTTCCTGCAGTGTAATTTTGGTGTATGTTGTGAGCAATATGTTTATTGTCAGGTGAATGTTATGGCTGAGAAGGTAGAGTTTTGACCTTTGATTCCATGGTCATAGTTTTGGAATGTTAGTGTGCACTGATTTGGGTGGGAAGGCACTTTGTGTTCTTAAGAGGACGATGGACTTCAATACATTGTGTGATAGTGCCTGGGTGCTGGAGAACCAACTGTTGTTTACTCTTTATCATAATTCAGTATATTGTGTCAGTACTGCAATATATATTTCTTGCTCCTCAACTTCATAGTGCAGGATAAGTTTTGTAATGTGCCCTTATATCAAGATGTTTGCCACGAATGTAAACCTAAAAGTTCTCCATAATACAGGTACAGTACAGTATTTTATATTTATTTAGAAATTACAATTGACATGCAAGAAGTAGCTAGAAATGAAAAAAAAAATCAGAATTAACAAGAAAAAATGCTTTAAAATGTTTGCTGATTAAGATGTTTATTTAATGTGATTTTTTTTGTTTTATTATTTGTAGATTAATACCATACCATATATGCACTCCCTGGCACTGGTGTGGGTAAAAACAATTGTGGTTTTAGTGATTAACTCTTCTAATGACCTGTGAATTACTTAGGCTTATTTTTGAGCAACAAATGTTCATGTCTTGTAACTGTTGAATACTGTACTGTTTTATTGTGTTGTTCTCATAGACCCGACCTATGAAAACAGTTCAACACATCAGTATCCAGTCTTGGTACTTATTTATTATTATTATTATTTTTTTTTATTTTTTTATTTTTTTTTTAATAAGTATCTCGATACAAGTTTCCCTCAATAACCTGATCAAGGCTCTTAATGTATAAAAGTTTTAAGTGTGGTTACAATAATTAGTTTTGCTGATGACTCTTCAATTATTTTAAATGTTTATGAACACCTTTCACTGGATCTGATAGTTGTGCTGTCCTGGGGTTAAATTCTGATAGTCATAGATAGTGAATAATTGTTGTCTAAATCGTGAAAAGACTTTATGAACCATGTAAGGATACCAGAGCTTATACAAAGAGGGCTTTTGAATGCAGCATTAGTTGTAAATTAGAAAATGGTCAAGCTATTTGTAAGACAGGAAAGATAAGATTGATAGTAAAAATGAACATTCCTTTGCAAATGGAACTTTGGTCATCCTTATTTTAATGTAACTTCAGTACAGTGTTATAATATATTGTGGTTGGTATGATCCATTTAGAAATTTCAGATAAAACAGATTCTCTCTTTGTCTTTTCAGGTATTTTGAGGATTTTGAATTGAGGATTCCCAGAGATGAAATTAAATTGATTGAGAAACAGCTGAAAGAACACATCGGTGAATTTGACTCCAAGTATCTGGTTACTATCTGTGGCAGCTATAGGTAGGTATAATAATAAAAGTGTAGGTTTTGTTTGTAAACATTTACTGTAATTGTCATTTTCAAGGCAAGGAGAGGTGTAGTGTGTTACCTTTTGATTGTTGGTGTCTCATATCTTCTTTTTAAATATGAGTTAATTATTGTGCTGAAGCTGTATATTATAATTATTTTATTAAAAGCTTATGTATAAAGTATGTTGGATCCTGCTACAGCATACATTATTAAAATGATTTTGTATTTCATTACAGTAAAATATTTATATGATCTTATGTAGGTGCACATCATCATAAATGACTTTGTGGGCTTTTTCCAAACCTGCCAGAGTTAGTCATGGTTACCTGATGGTATGGTGTCCCAGTTGCCATCAGGCAAATTTGAAGCAGTATTTATGCTTAAATACTCTTCCTATCACCAATTCAATTTTACAGAGTAGATACTGGGCACTAATGTAAAACTTCCTTGAGGATAAAGTTGCCAAATAATTAGACGCACTTCTATTACTGGATGCATTAGAACATGGCGACCTGTGGTGTCTGTGTGAGACATTATATTTCAATACCATGCAGGTAATATCTTGTTAGGTGGGTGGAAAGGATCAATGATGGTGAGTGAGGGAGAGGCTATGTTGTTCTGGATTTCAGTTGCCATGCACCAAAGCATAATAGGGGTTTCAAGAGAAAAAGAAGATGAGTAAATTTTGAAGCACAAAATTGTGGTTAATTCTTTTGCTGCTTAAACGGTATATGTTTGTTATTATTTCACAGGCGAGGAGCCAAGAGCAGTGGTGATGTTGATGCATTACTGACCCATCCCTCCTATACATCTGAATCAAGCAAGTGTCCTTCATTGCTAAGTAAAGTGACTCAAGTACTCAAGGACCACGGCCTAGTGACAGACACTCTCTCTCAGGGTGACTCTAAATTCATGGTTTGTTTATTCTTCTTTGACTAAGGAGGAAAATGTTGATATGATCTGAGCATATGAAGAACATGGCTCTAGAATGAATAATTGAGTATGTACAACTTGAAAGGGTGAGAGTATGATATGAATTGTATATTGTACATGTAATGTGGAGCAAACTTCATGTTTAAAGAATATAGCAAAATGGCAGCCCTCATGGGGTATTGGACAATAACCTAATAATTATTGACTGATAAAACAAGCTACTGTAAATCCTAATAAGTTTGTCTTTACAGGGTGTGTGTCATCTTATGGAGGGCCTCCCTCATAGGCGTCTTGACATACGACTGTTGCCTCATGATCAGTATTATTGTGGAATACTCTATTTCACTGGTTCTGACATGTTCAACAAGGCCATGAGACAACATGCATTAGATAAAGGCTTCACTCTCAATGAGTACTGCATTAGACCTGTTGGCAGTACAGGTAAGTCTGGTTGCCATAAGAATAAGGAAATTAAATGTTTGTGTTATTTAGTTCCCATAAAGCCAAGTTCTAAGTCAGCCATACAGCTTGTAAGGGTAACATTAGGTATAAGAAAGAGATGGAAGGATGAGATGACGTATGAGCTGCAAGAAAAGGAAATGGACAATAAAAAATCACAGTAGTACGTGATAGATACGTAAGTTAGTTTATGTTAACATTACAGCAATAAGTTGTATTGATGACTATATGGCAAGAGAGACAATACTGTCTCATAACTTTTCACTGTTGATGGACTAGTGTAATAACTAACCATATTATGTGCTTAAAAACTTAACTGTTGAAACATAGCAATAGCAGGAGAAGGCCTGAAGGGATTGAAAAAGAAATAAAGTTGACTATAGCTACCCTGTACGAACATTGATTCAAACTTTTAGTAATACAAAGTATAGAGTATATTTGCTGGCTGTGCTTCTGCAGACTTACCTGTGAATAAGTCTGCATGCTATATAACCTCTTTATTCAGTATATCCATCAAATTGTCTCATTGTAATTTTCTCTTCATATCCTTATAGGTGTACCAGGGGAAGCATTACCAGTGTCCTGTGAGAGGGACATATTCGATTACATTGACTACGACTACAAAGAGCCTCATGAACGTAATGCATAATAACAGATGCTTAAATGAACAGAATGGATATTGTGGCTTGTTACGGGGCCCCAGATCAATTTACATAGGCTGTGTGTACAATGTATAAGGAATATCCAAGGAAAGCTGTGTGTATATTAGGAATACAGTATCTACTCTAAGCTGTGTTTATATTAGGAATATACTATCAAAGCTGTGTGCATATGGAATATCTAATAAATTTTCCCAAGGATTATTAGTTGATTGGATCTTGTTCTATAGAAGGGATAAAATTTATACTGGTATCCCACTGATTATTTAAGAAAGTCCACACACTATCTACCTCCAATACAAGTGTCATAACACATCTTTGATTATACTAAATTATTCCCCCATACACATCTTCTACCTTCTGTCTCCCTTTCAACATGTTGTCATACACATATACTGTACAGTAATACAGATCACATGAAGATAACAAACATTAATATACTGTAGTGATTAATGAGTGTTCTTAGCTGTCATTATTTGTATTTATTTTTTATCTGAATATTATTAAAAGTTGTATGGGATCCTGAGTCAAGCCATTGTTTACCTCTGACACAGGACACATTTTTAACTGGTTGATTTATACTACAGGATGTGCATAAATTATTTAATTCATTTTAAAGCTGGACATGCTTGTTTTTTTTTTATCTACCTGATTTACTTAATGGTAAGGGAAGGAGGCCAATGGTTCTGTGTAGGATCTCTCCACTGTTCTTGATTGTCACTGTTAAGAAGTAGCCATTTCCTGCATGATATCTTGGCTGTATACGTGATGAACAACTCGTATATTTTCTTCCTTGTCTCTGTTGACTATCTATAATAAATATGTGGTCATTAAGTGTTATTATGCCTCAGATAATTTATGGACACCCTGTATTGTGTTAATTTATCTTTTTAAGCACTCGCTAGCCGTTCGGGCGTTGTTAATAATATAAGACTTCCATACAGTCTCTTTAGTTTTTAATAAGATTTATAAAGTAATTTATATCTACTGAGATTATTTATGGTATTATTATGAGGTATGGTAGCACTAGTATATGCTGGTTAAGCTCTTATTTCACTCTTAAAGAAGATAGTTGTACAGTCACCCACAAAAGTCCCATCGCCTCTCCTCCTGAACCACGTACCCTGAGATTCAGACACGTGATCCTGAAGCAGTAGGCTACACTGATGCATTATTCTGTCCATAAATGCTTCAGATTCATGAGTCTGAATCTCAGGGTAAGGGGTTCAGGAGGAGAGGCAATGGGACTTTTGTGGGTGACTGTACTGTACGGAGTACCTGGCCATATTAAGATGACTCGAGTGAAGTATATGTAGTAAGTTAGTCACACTTACTTTCTGTTCACCGTCAGGAATATTGTTATTAATATCCACTCTGTACCTGTATTTTTCTAGCTAAATAAACTGTTTCAATATCAATAGTACAGTAATATAACTTGACATACAGGATTATGTTTTGTTTTTTCCTAAATTATAACTGTAGACATCTCTCTTACTTGTTTTGTATTGGACAAGAATAATTTATTGCTACAGCATTGTTCCATTTCATTTCTTATAACCCTGGATTAAAGGAATTTGAAATAGCATGTAAGTTTTTATTTTATTTATTGAATCACAATAATCTGTTTTACTGTACTGTGATTATCCCCAAATGGATCATGAATTCTTTGTCCAGTTGTAAATAAAATAAGTTTTTATCCCTTCACTGTGAAGTGTGGACCAAGTGGGGAAATACTGTACTGCATCAGTGAGAGTGATCGACTTAATGAAAATACAACACCAAAAGCTGAAAATATACAAGACAAATGGGAAAGTCAATCCATATTCATTGTGGAACTTAATTTTTATTTTTATTTTTTTTATTTTACAGGCATGACATAATTAGCATGTTAATCCCTTGTACAGTATATGAGGCAGCTCTCTGACATAAGCCAAATAGATAATAAAAGTGGTATCTGTAGTGCAGGGGTTAGTGGATATACAGTAGATTTTTATTCCCTTGTGTGCAGGGCAAGTAAAATATTAAAAATGGCATCCCATAGTGAAGGGGTTAAATATTTTAAATGTGTTGTAATTACTTTAAGCGTCATTAATTCACATTAACGACTCAAAATTACATTTTCCAGCCGAGAGCCTTAATCATCACGTTGAGGAGTACTTCTGAAATTTGAAGAAAATCTACATTTTTACCATCCAACATCTACAGAACAGGATGTTCAGGGGCTCAGCAAGTTTGTTGCACAACTCTCTTAGCACTCTGGAATGGACCATGTCAGGGCTGGGACTCTTATTGATCCACAGCTTTGACAATTTATTTCTTCTGAGAACACAATGTGGGTCAGCACTGTGTCAAACCGTATGTCCTCAAATGCAGGAAGATTGTTTGCATCCTCTCGTGAACACAGAGGAAAAGAAACTGTTCAATGTTTCCGCCTTATCCTGGTCAGAATCAATGTACAGTAACTACCATCTTCAAGCCTCAGGTCCAAAATGCCTACCCTGGTATTTTAATTTTGACTTTGTGTAGCCATAAAACGCCTTTGGGTTTGACCTGACCTCACTCGCAATCTGCCTCTGGTATAGGGACTTCATTTAATAGAGGATTTTCTCTCTATTTCTTTAATTTACTTTTCTATCCCACAAATTTTTAAACAACTTAGCCTTACATAATTCTGTGTTGGTTCTTTTTTATAAATATATATCACACAAATATATATATTCGTAAGTGTCTGGGCAAAAGTAAACACGGCTGGTTTTTCTTTATTGGAGAAAAATATAGTTTCACAGGTACTTAGTTCAGTTGAGAGTACATTGTACCTTCTCTACTTGGGGAAGTGTCTTAGTGCACTTATATAAGAGAACACTTAGGTGAGGTGTTTGCTGGGTAACAAATGATATGAGTCTGATCTCTCCCTTGTTACTATATTAAGAGAGAGATGAGGAGCAGGCCAGGTCTGTTATGACTTGGTTGACCTCGTCTGCCCCCTAGAGTGTGAGAAAGGAAACACGTCAGATATACTGTTATGCTAACATGAGCTGACCTCAGCCAGACCTCACTTGCTCCCCAAAGGAACTACAACCTTAGCCATGTATAATTTCAAAGGCTGAGGTAAAGTTGAATAATTTGGTATTATACATTTGGGTAAATATTTATATAATGCAAATGGTGCTGTTACACTGCTCGGCTACCTCCAACCGAGACCTCATGGTTTAAATCCTAGGTGTACCTAACCTTGTTACAAGAAAGTGTGTTTTAGATAAACCTTTCTTCGTGCACATGCCTCTGAAATTCCTTCCGAAAAGTCTTCTTAGAAACTATTGTGTACCTAGAAGAAATCTTCCTGTAACAAATTATCATAACAATCAAGGAACTGATAAATATGATGGTAGGTATAATGAAACCAGTACCGGAAGATATATATTAAGGAAGAGAATCCTGTAAGTCGGGAAACTGTCTCATTAATTTTTTTTTTTTTTTGGGTGTGGGCACCCCCCTATATCCTTGTGTAAGATGAAGTGCAGAAGCGTTTACAGTGCCCAACAGGGAAGCATGCTAAGTTCATGCTTGCCTTTACAGTATGAGTCAAGGGCATAGAAGCCTGAAGAGTTAATGGTTTATGTCTAAGCAAGTTATTGGAAGCTCCAACAACTTTCCCTGAATACGAATTCGAAACTTTAGATTTACAGCAGGTACCTACTTTGCTGCTAGGTGAACAGGGACCAAGGGAGGCTGGGAAGTGTGTCCCAACAACTTTCCACCGGCCCGGGAATGGAACCCCACATCTCGCTTGTGAGGCAAGAGCGGTACCGCTCTACCCACTGGCGCCCCTGTCTCATTAATATAAGATAGAAGTTTAAGCTTATCAGAAACAATATGAAGATTACTTAAACTTATATGTAGGGGAAATGGTATGGGAACCAGTTCAGAAATAATGTTTGTGGCAAATACAAGATGATGGCGAGTAGGCAAGGTTGTGGTTGTATTACTACTAATTTCACAATAGTCCGGTGCTATATGATAACCTTGTACCACTAAATGTTTTCCTACACCCTGACATATACGTACTGTAAGTATCACACTGGTTTGAATTTGAAAAAAAAAATATTGCACATTATTGACATGTGCGTGAAACACTAACCTATGTGGTATTGGAGAGTATACACATTGTTGTAAAGCTGTAGAGGCATTAGTTTGTAGTATAGCCAATTCACATGTAGCCGCTGCAGCCCGTGTGGAAGCTAAAGCATACGCAGGACACACAGGCAAGTGTATATATGTGGACTTACAATGATTTAGGACTTCATGCTTAGTCACAGTAACTGATAAAAAATCCTCTGATACTACTATTAGTTCAATTTACTTGCTCATAATTAATAATTCCTATACATTATATTATCTCGTTTTCATTGAGATCTTATAATTGTCTATAATACTAGATCTGTATTTTAGAAACAGTATTGTGTGAGTATAGATGGTATGTACCGTACTGGAACTGTACCGTACTGGTGGTGCCATCTGTCGGCCGTGTGTCGCACTACTCGATGTAAACAAGCCAGAAATATCGACCGAGGGATACAGACCTCTTACCGGTGCCTCGTAAGTTGACCTCTAATGAGTTTACCATCACTCTCTCTGACACACACCTCTGAATGCTGATCACCTCCTCCGGTTAGTACTTCTATTTACAGCCAATATTAAAAGATAAATTAAAACTAGTGTGGTAGAAGGTTCTGGTTCTCGGCAGCCTTCGTTAGCTCAGAGTCAAGTGAGATTTTTTTGGGTCTTTTTCTTAGGTAATGACGCAACGACATAACGATAGAACCATGTTATAATGTTTTAATTTATTGTTTAACCCGTTAGTGTAAGATATGATGGTATATAATAGGAAGAAAATAGAATCTAAGGTGATGTAACTGGTGACACCGCCCATAGCTCTAGTTATGGTCATGTAATAAAATAAAAGTTATTTAATCATACAAAGGGAAGATTATATTACAGTTAAATCACAACCTTCAAGAAAATATATAAATGTTTTAAGCAAACCTGTACCAAAAAATTTTCTAATGGAATTTTTAATTATTGTGTTTGGTATCTTAGCTTATTGTGAGAGAGAGAGAGAGAGAGAGAGAGAGAGAGAGAGAGAGAGAGAACACACAACTCACAAACAAATCCTTAGATATATATAATGATAAGGTAATGGATTCATATATTTTGTGTTGGTGGATTGAAGAATGAAATGCAAGTTACTGTATTTGGGGGTTATAAGATACACCATGATTTTAGAAAGAAATATTGTGGTTAATATACTGTACTGTACTTTAATATTTACTCTTATTTTAATAGAAACAAACATCAGTGAAGTAGAAAAAGCAAAACTGTTTCTGTGAGTACATAGTAAGTGTTTTCTCCTACTGTTATAGAAAACAATGCAATACGTATAAAGGTTTTACCGATCTTTAAATATGTAAGGGACAGTAAGCCTGACTGTGCGGGCAGACAATGCATAAACACTGCCAATTGTCTTCACTAAGTAACTACAAATATATTACTTTTTACTGTTATTAATAGATTTTTCCATGAATTGCATTACAGGTACATTATTATTTATGGTAATGGTAATTTGGATATGGTAATTGTGCAATACAACTAGAATTAAGAGAATGATTATTATTCTGAAAATTGAGTGCTGAACATAAATAATTGTCGGTTGCTAAGTGTGGTGGTGACAAGCTAAAAGTAGCATTTGTGGTTGGAGACTCTTATCTACACCATCTCAAGACTCTTCTTATTGGTTTTACCCATTATGATACTGTATATATAATTGTCTTACATAATTTTAATGACAATATACAGGGTATAAAAATTTTTGTACAACTTGAATTTTGTAGGTAAACCACAAAGTCTTCTCATTGGAGAAGGTTGAAATACTTAATATGTTCCTTGCAGCATAACCAGAATAACCATCAGCATATGGGATCATGCAGGGGTTATTTTAGGGGGCGTTTTTTAGGAAGAAAAATGTCATACTCCGGCATATGCGGTAATCGAAGTGAATGCACTACGAGGGGCATTACCGAAGTGTGACCAAAGCATAGTAGAAATAAGGGATCACCTGAAGATTAGGCACCTCAGCTTATTTCACCTGATGATTAAACACCCTAATATTAACCTAACTCCCTACCCCAGGTTATGTTGAGTTTCCAAGACTGTAGGAAACCTTGCAAGTCTTTTCCTACATAATGATGGTTGGCTGGAAACAAGAGCAAATACAGGCACTCTTCTACCTTTATTTGGTTTCATTCATTCTTATTGCAACAAAATCTTGTGTTCTCCTATGGTAAGCCAATCCCCCTTCCAACAGTGCATACAGTAGCTTATTTGTTATTTTTTTAATTAATATGAATATTCATTGGAGTGTTTTATTTACAGGGAGAATATTGCAGTTAAAATGCAGCTGCTTTGCTTAGTAGCCAGGCATTGAGTGTAAAGTTAGGATTTGTTACAGCTTGTGGCCAGATGGCAAGAGTTGGAGGGGAGCTAGTTGGAGGCGAGCTAGGGGTTGTGCTGGAAGAAACTGGAGTGGGCGTCACATTTGTTGACACACCATCTCTGGATTCATCAGGTCTAACTGAAGATGCTCTCAACAACGATCTTACTGTGTGCCAGTACATACTTCCACATGATGTTACAGGTAATGTTTGTACTGTTTTCATCTAGTTTAATTATTTTCCCTGTCTATGCTTTACTTACTGGAAATTTTTAGAACATTTTCCATTTTTTTAATTGTAAAATACTCCATGGCTTAGTTAGTAGTACACGGTCCCCAGCCATTGAGACATGGTTTCACTCCTGTGCCAAGTAAGGTTGAAGAGGCATTGAAATGTGGTCTGTGCTCGTCAAGCCGCCAGCAACATCAGTGCCCCGGGCTAAGCAGTCCCTTCTCACCTAGAGGTAAAAATGAAATGGTAGAGAGGACATGAAGTGATCTGGACAAGCTGTAAAACTAGATGTTTCAGCATTCTGTCGAGAAGAGAGAAGTTTGAAGATTGTGACGGTATCATAAACACACTACGAGTCATTTGTCTTGTTCTAGCTGGGAGCTCATAGAAAGGTTTGAATAATTTTTTTTTTTTTTACAAATTCCAGAGGCATTTATGACTACTGTATTGGAAATAAGTTACTATACTTTGTTTTTATGTTCAATAAGATTATAGCCTCAACATTTTTTAACTGTTTAGTACACTACTGAATTATAGAAATGTGTGCTGAAACAATCCTAATGGTGTAGAAGAGAATATACAGTAATTCATTACAGTATACACTTTTATACTGGTATGAACTGTATTTTTTTCTTAAGCTATTAAACCCTCTTTTTCATAGATCGTGATCTTATATAGTTTTAAACTCTAACCAGAGACATTGGAATCCAGTATACTGTACAGTACAGTCCCAGAATCTAGGTCATTATCTGTGCTGGCTGCAGTTTCTTTAGTTTCCTTTTACTACTGTATTTATACTTGTTTATCAAGACATGAGTACCCATTATATCTTGACCTAGAATATGATATTATTTGTTTTCCAGCTCTTAAGCAGTTATTTGTTTACAGTTGCAGGGTTTGAAGAAGTTGTGGAAGAAGTGGAGTTGGGATCTCCGTCCTGGGATAACCTGAACAAATCATCTTCCTCGTCGTCTCTTAGCCACGACTCGGGAATCGGCGCAGACCCCAGTCCTGACGTGTTCTTCACCCTGATAGAAGAAACCGTAGCACCACCCGGCCTCCTCAGTTCCTCTCCAAGTCAAGAAGGAGGTGAAGTTATTGTAGAAAGAATATATGAAATGAAAGATGAATTGTGTTTTACAGAAAGTGCACATGAAATAAAAGACGAACCACTAGAAACTGTAGAAGAGTCGATTGAACTGGAAAAAGAAGAACAATTGTTAGAGCAAGATGATCCCTGGCCAAAACGAAGAAAGAGTGATGATGATATCATTACCGAGTGTGAGGTAAACGAGTTAGAGCCAAAAAAGAGTACCAGAGTTAGAGTTGTTGCATATCATTGTACTGAGTGCAGTGTGAATTTTACAGATGAGAGTGAGTTTCGAGCTCACATGGAAGCCCACTTGATTAAATTGCAAAATTCTTGTGTACTTTGTAGTACAGAATTCTCAACAAAATCAGAACTTCAGGATCATATTAAAGAACATTTTTCTAAAAACTCCTCACATACATGTAACATTTGTGAGCAAAAGTTTGTATCGAAAAGTGGACTAAAACGACACAAGAAGCAACTTCATAATTTTGGCAGTGTTGTGGTACTTAATACTGCAACCATTAAATGTGGTGTTTGTCAAGCAGTATTTACTGACAAAGCCACCCTGAGGCAACATGCTGCAACTCATGCTGCAAGAAAACCCTTCACTTGTGATGAATGCGGGGCAACTTTTACTCAAAATGGTTCACTTCAAGTACATCTTCGGCGCCATCGAGGAGAAAAACCCTTCACCTGCCAGTTATGTGGTAACAGCTTCACCAGAGCACACAGTCTCAAAGTGCACATGAAAACGCACACTGGAGAAAAGCCATATGCATGTGAATATTGTGGTGCATGTTTTGTTACGTCATCTCATTTAACCGTTCACCGTCGAACTCATACCGGTGAAAGGCCATATTCCTGTGGTGATTGTGGTGCCACCTTCATCACTACCTCTCACCTAAATGTTCATCGTAGAGTACACACCGGCACTGGGAATGTTACCGCTAACCCCGTTAGTTGCCCGCAGTGTCAAGCTACTTTTAACGATCCGGCTCAGCTTCGACATCACCGCCGTACTCAGCATCGTATTAATCATCAGCAGACCTCACAAGTGGCATGCAAAGTGTGTGACAAGCGGTTTCCAAACCCTCGACAGTTAAGTAATCACATGGTACACGAGTGTGGCTGAGTTTGGCATACCTTAGGGGGTATCATGGCATTTCTGATAAAAATAATAATGTCGATATCACTGCCTTTAGTGATTAATGGTATATTCCAACAAATAAGCCAGTGGTACTCGGTGAAGTTACTAATATATGAGATAAATTTAAAGCATATATTTGAAGGTATATAATACCAGTGACAAGGAAAGTAAAGCAATGTGTAGATAATGAATGTTGTTTCACAGGGAGCAAGGCCTAATGTTTGCCACAGACTTTAGGCTAATATTAAGTCATATGATTGCCTTTGTAAATGTCTTACAAGTGGCGTTAAGACCGCCCCAGTAGTCTGTCATACGGCGGAGAAGAATGTCTCTCATGGCAGTAGTGTTGTAGCTAGTCGTTAAGTAGTCTCAGGTGGGTAGTGTTTAATTTTGACTTTAGGAGATGCTGCCTTTTGATGCAAGTAGAAAACCAAAGATTATCAATTGTGCCATGCTTCTGTGGTACTAGTGCCATAGTTTTATTTATTTAACTTATTCAAATGATATTCTTAATTTATTGATATACTGTACTGTACCATATTGTTTTTATTTATTTATTTACTTGTACTGTACAGACCAGAATTTGTTCTGTGCACCAACAGTATCACATAATGTCTTAGCATTATAATAAGCAATACTTCTCTTGCTTAGAATCTGATATGCTTCAATGTACAATATATTTCTAAAGCATCATGAATTTTACTGATTATTGAATGCTTACTATATTATGCTTGCCACTTCTTTAGATTAAATGTCATCAGTATTTGTCAGGTTGATATTTGACAGACACAGGAACCTTTACCTAGTCACAACAACAATTATTTTCTAATGTTCTTGAGATGTGAGTTGCTCGTCAGTGGCAATTGATAAAGGGTAATTAAGTATGATTAACAAGTCACTCATATACCAGGCGGGACATATTTTGATAAATAAGTAGTTCTTGTTGTGGTTTATTAGAAAGCAAAGCAGACTCAAAGTGTCTCACAATAGTACCTATACTTGCTTTTTGTACTTATTCCAGATACAATATGAAGTGATGGAGATGGTTATTGCAGAATCTATAATGCATGAAAATGTCACATTGAAGTCTCACAGTGCCATTACATTTAGTGTGATCAAGAATTTCTGTTTTAAGATATAAGAAAAGAAAGAGTTTATTGTTATCTAGCTATCATGTCTGTGTACAGTATATCATCTTGATCCAACAACTGAATGTAAATAAAAAGTTGGATATAACATGTAAGCAGTGCATCATGTAGGAGTGACCACAGTTAAACAGTTACAAAGTATTGAAGATTTACTGCTAATGAGACTTGCATCACAGAAGATATGGGTGCTTGAGAGGTGTTACAGGGTATTGCTGGGTGTTGGATGTTACTACTGATGCAGAATAAGTAAGGGGGTTGAAGAGTAATACATGGTACAGTATGTAGTTGGTATTCACAGTGTTTGGGCTTATTTGTAGATTTCCTGTACAGCATAATGAATGTTTTGGAAATAATTCACGCTCGATCTTATTGATCTATTTGTACTGTAATCGCCAATGATTTTAATGATATTCAGCGTCAGTATTTTCCTGCTTACTGGTATTGAATTTTGGACTTAGTGCTTTTACAAAAAATATGGTACTGAGAAGGCTTCCAGTATTTAGTTCACAGTTAATGTTCACGAGTTATGTAGAGTACAGTAACAGCGTGTGCAGTTTTTATGGTGTTTTTATATTGACTAGGTGTGTTAATCCTCTGCCTGTATGATTTTTCCTCTCGTACGAAAAACTGCATAGAGTATAATAGCGTTGTCCTCATCTGTCTTGGCCTCAAGGATAATCGTACATGATGGTAGTTTGAGATGTGTATATTGTTGTGTCATCTGCCATACAGGGCTCTTGGGGATTAATACAAAATATCAACGGAGAAAAAAATTCCTTAGCTCTGTCGAAGTTTCACGCCGATGTTTATATTCTGATAGCAGGAAGCCCCCACTCACTAGATGTTATCAGCAATCAAGAAATTTTCAGGTAAACATATGAGAGACTTTTGGGCGTGATATAAGTGCATGAATCTGTTTTTATGTTGGTTAGTTCGTGGATCTCCATACATAAAACATCTCTGGCATTATCTGCTTACATAAACTTAGCAATAGGAGGTGGAGTAAAACAAATGTAATGGACAATATGTGCTGTAAACATTTTCAGGAATTTTATATATATATATATATATATATATATATATATATATATATATATATATATATATATATATATATATATATATATATATATATATATATATATATATATATATATATATATATATATATATATATATATATATATATATATATATATATATATATATATAATGTGAAATAGCTGAGAGGCTGATAATACTGGGAGAATAATAAGAAGGTACATATTGAATAAAAGTCAAGTAATATACATGGTTGTGTTCTGTAGTGTGTGCAATTTACAATTTTTGTGTAATGTATTGTATTTTGTAATTGATTGACAGTGGTAAATAACAGGTATGGTTTACTAAAAAGAATTTTTTACAATGCATTACAGTAATTGGGCATTAATATTTATAAGTGGCTATACTATTTACAAAAAAAATAGGAGTTAGTCTTCATAATTCAGATGATGGGCCCATCACTGTACCCTTAATCCCACACTGATTTCTCCTTTACTTTGTTTCACTCAATTCTGAGCAGTTGTCATGGACATAAACTGTAAACTCGCAGTATATACCGGTACAGTGTGTGTGTCTTTAGCCACATTCCTGTTTGTTGCATTGAGAAATTATGTTGTTAGTGTTTAGTAGTGGTTTACCTTATATTGCCAAAATTGGTCTTAGTTTTTTCTTACTTAATTTTATCAATTCATAACTCCATAGCTCGGTGGTACAGGTTTCACCTCGGCAAAGGACCCTAATCCAACTCTCATCCATAGTGAAGAAGTGGATTACCTCCTTGTGCACTCAGCAGTAAAAATGAGTAACACTATTGTAGGCACTTCCTGCAGTTGAACATCCCTTGGGTAGACTAGCATCCTTCCAAGGAAATGGGGTAACACTCTACAGTAATTGCTGAATGCTAAGAATCAGGGCATTTGCACCTAATTGGCCACCAAGAGTGAGAGAAATGAGTAGTTGTGCATGCCACCAAGGTTTTAATGCATGTGTTAAGTCTAAAAGAATGTTCACACAGCATTGAAAGTTTAGGTGGAGGGCATTATTCCATGCTATCTAGTCATACTGTATAGGTTCCACACATAATGGCCTTGACCTAACAATAAGTTTTATGTCCTGATCCTAGTGTTAGATTAAAATGAGGCCTCTGACCACCAAACTTATTCCATTAGGATAAAACTTCAACACACGGTACCAGTTCAGACATCCATATCTATCACACTAAACTTACAGTACCAATAATATATAGCAACCCCCAATAAAGATATTTTTTTTAGTTATTACCCCCATTGTAGTGTAGAAAAACAGAGGATTGTATTAGTTCAAAGTATTTCCCTACCCCCATTACCCTGTATAGTGTTCGAAATTAGTAAAATCAGATCCAACCGATTTACATAGACATTTTTAACCATATGTTGTACCCTATAAGAACACCTTAGAAAAAGAGTAAAAGAACCAATGTTAAAGCTAATTAAAGAAGTTTTTTTTTCTCCTTTATAATACGGTCTATAAACTGATACAGCAGGAGAATTTTTTGCATCCCCTCCTTCCCCCATTGTAGTGCCTTTTACTTCAAATATTACATCTTATTGTAGTGCTATAATTGAAGAAAAAAATATTCCCTTTACAGATGATTCCTCGAGTTATAGACCCCGTTGTATAAATAATTGATCAAAATGGTATAGAGTACACAGTTTGCTACCACACTACTAAGTATTGGCAGTGTTTATTCCCACCACACAATTCTACAGGTCATACCCAAAAGCAGGGGACATGGTTGTTATCTTTCATGCTGTGCTGAGGACATATCTTTGCTACCGTACTAATGACTCAAAGTTTGTAGGTATGTTGTTTTTGCATGTGTTAAATTTATATAAACATGAGTAAGTGCACTAAGAGATGACATGGGTGCACTGGGAAAGGTGTGGTAAGTTTTATTTTGATGGTTAGGAGAAACATTTAAAGGCAGTTATGTTTTGCTTAACTCTTTGGTGTTTTATTTGTTATCTTGATTTGTTATGTTTGTTCATGGTTACTGAAATGTATTTTGAGAAATGAGCAGCAGTTCTTATAGTAGCTATTTCCTAGAGTCACAGTATGTCCTCCCTGCATCTTTCATATGGGGGTGAGTTTAACCCTAGGACATTGAAATTGAGAGTGAGATTTAGTGGAACTGTTCTTTGAATTATTTAGTACTTTCTACAAATATTTTGACTATATGTACAGTATATGTAGCTGTATTTTGTCTGTGTATATATGTATGTGGGATGGAGTGTGTTTGTGTATGTATGTGGGGTGGATGTTTGTGTGTGTGTGTGCATGCATGTGGTCTTTGTTTCATTCAGAGCAGCAAGAAGATACAGGTGTGATCATCCCTGTAGCTGTTCCCTTTACTCAACAGCAGCACTCAGATATTAGTTAGAAAATAATTCATACTTTGGTTCAAATCCTGTACAGTTGAAGTGATGTGCATATTCTACTCTCTCAACCAGACCCTATTAAAGAACTTGTTGTCCCACACAGAGAGTAAAACCTTAAGCAGATAGTAACTTACATTTGAAATTATGTTATAGAAAAGGGATAATGGGCTGACTGTCTTACCGTGTAACGAGACTTGGAGAAGAAAAAATTGGGTGAATTTATCCAGCAGATTGGGGTAAAGGTTTGAAAGAGTTATCAGGACTGTGAAACGTGATGTAAATAGTGTGTAAATAGTTGCCAATTATCAATTTCCAGGACATTAGTGAAGAGTTGTAGATTGTAGAGCACTGTATAATAGAACACTGATGATAACGAATTAACGCTTCCCCATCTTGACTGAGCACCGATTCCAAAAATATCACTAAAATCAAGTGTACTGCTGCTTAAATTTCTCCCTCGTAATCTCCGCCAACTAGAATGTTTGTACAGTACAGTACTATATCTTGACATTGAATATGAGCCTTAGTTACTGCATTCAGGCTGGTTGTCACTACAGTATAGTGATCTGACACTGCAGACAAATGTGATGTTAATACACACATTGCTGTACAATTTTAGTACCATCATATGTTTGGGTCTTGCATGTGTTTTCGAGCTACGGTCATGTTCCTCATTAAATCCTGTAGTAGATATCTCCCTGACAGCTGAGGTGATGCTGAACACAGGTCAATGATTGGTCGAGTGAGCCACAGTTCTCATATGCCCCAACATTACTAAGTTAGGTTAGGTTTGGATCCATATTATGTTCAACCCAAAATATATATTGTCAGGTACTAGTAGTTACCATCCTGTTATTAACCTTAGAAAGCTTTACCTTGTTTCACTGTTTGAATGATATGTTTTCAGTTAATTATCAAGTTCTGTTATATATTCTTCTTATCTCAGTTAACTTTGTTGTTAACTTTGTTGATTTTTCATCTTGACTTTTTAACAAGCCATTTTAAAAGGGCACAAAATTAATTACTGTTTTATGATTGTCTGTAATGATGTGGGAAGTTTGGTAATGAGTGTGAGAGTATATTTTACTTACTTGTGAGGTGTGGCAACTCTGTGGAATACTGTACTGTACTTATTTAGCATCCTTAGGCTGGCTATTATTGTGAGGTTCCTTTGGGTCATTTTGGGAGTTTTAATATGAAGTAAACAAACAAGTGTTGCCACATCTCACAAAATATGCCAGCCACTGTACCAGGTATAAATGCAGGTGATTGTACATGACAATACACTGTGTTAACTACTGAATGGAGTCTCTCGTTTGCTGTCTCAGTGATACAATATCATGTTTCAGATGGCTAAGTCTATGCACTAAAATGTAAATTATCTATGTAATATAGTAAGAAAGTGGTTGTTGATTTTAGTTAACAAATCAAGTTTCAATTATTTTGCCGTGCTATTTCCACATCATGTGCCGAGAACATTTCATTGCAAAAAATGGGATAGATTTGTCTCAAGTATAAAAAAAGAGGAGGAGCCTGCAAATAGTCCTAACACTTGGAATAATTGTGGCAAAGATCAGACTGTGAATGTTGTACAGTTTATTACTGACCATAGTACTTACAGGGTTCTGTTTTAGGTTACTGCATATAGTGTCTGGAATAATCTGTGGTTTTATGCATAAAGTGAGAAACACTTCAAAACCTATGTACTGTATTAGAAATTAATTTTCTTCTTTCATTAAGGAAATTAATATTTTACTCGAGTATATTTTTCTGGAAGGCAATAGACTGTGATTGTGTCACAAATTTACTGTACACAGTTTGTCACAAGTATTCATTATAGTTTAAGTTACAGGTACTGTACTGTACTGTAGTAGAGACAATTACCTAAATCACTGTGTTGTGTGATCTCAAGATCATTTATTTTGTCTCAGTGTGAATTAGCATTTAGATTTAGTTGTTACTTTTTTCTATCTCATAATTTATTGTTTTTAGTAAGCCAAGAAATGCAGGTGTATTCACAACCTACAGGGTCTGTACTGTACTTAAAAATTAACACAAGAGTACAGTGCACAAAATAATGTGTAACAAATATGAAGTGTAGTAGAAAGCTACTGAACCTGTATAATAAAGAACAATAAGAAACTGCACTAGTACAATAATTTAAAATGAATACAGTAAATATATATAGAAAATGTGAAACAAAAAAGTGAGTCAATAATTGTGAGAATGAAGAGACTTAAGTACAGAATATTATAAGTGTGAGGTTGGGCAGTGTTCTATACTGTAAAGTAAATAACTGAAGGTTTATGTTACCAGCAACAGCTTAGTGATGAAGGGACAACATGAATGTTAAGGTACCTAAAGTTATTGCAGTGAATCTCATTGTCAAAGGCATAGAATGGCACAAGTAGAGACATTTATGTACAAAATATATTGCGTGGTTTAACAAAATTGTAAAAGAGGTACAGGTACTACAAGGAGACTGCTGGCTAATGCTTTATAATTCTGTCTCCATGGTTAATACTTTATTACCCTAGGGAACTTGCTTTCCCTGAAGGGGCAGTTACACTGTTCCCTCCCCAAACACTTCATACTCAGATGAAGTACAACGACCAGAGTATGAGTGCCAGTCAAGTTTTACTGACAAATAGGGTTGTAGTCACATATAGTCAGAGGTATGATGGAGCTTATTGTGTATATACTGTACCAATGATAACAAGCAGTAGCAGTGTTAGGGGTAGTGAAAGTATTGAGAAATATAGAACGTGAGGATGAAAGATTACTGTACTTGCCTTGTAGTAAATACGTTAGAATTAATCAAGAAAATTTTCTCTATTCTGTGAATTATGAGTCACATTAATTCATGTATAAATAATATTCATCTGAAACTTTGTGCAATATTACTATTTCAAGTTTTGAGTCTAGAATTTTGTTTTATATGGTAAATGCCTCTCCATATCATGTGTGATTTTTTCTTCGAAATTACAATTGATATATTTTCTATTGAGCCTTTTTTTTTTCATGATCAATTTAGATTATTTTGTTCACATCTCAAATACTCAGTTTAATCTGTAAATAGTTGTTAGAGCATTATTAATTGTAACGATGGGAACTATAAGCTGTTGTAACCTATGGGTGTATCACAGATCTCAGACCTCTTGGCTTTTTTGCCTTGTAATGAACAAATTTCACAGTCCCCTACACACAAAGCCATTATAACTCAGAGCCTGAAGCTTATGCTCCCACACACGATGCCTATGTACACCTGGTAGAGCAAGGTGTGTTTGTCCATTTACACCTGGTAGAGCAAGGTGTGTTTGTCCATCTACACCTGGTAGAGCAAGGTGTGTTTGTCCATTTACACCTGGTAGAACAAGGTGTGTTTGTCCATTTACACCTGGTAGGGCAAGGTGTGTTTGTCCATTTACACCTGGTAGAGCGAGGTGTGTTTGTCCATTTACACCTGGTAGAGCAAGGTGTGTTTGTCCATTTACACCTGGTAGAACAAGGTGTGTTTGTCCATCTACACCTGGTAGAACAAGGTGTGTTTGTCCATCTACACCTGGTAGAACAAGGTGTGTTTGTCCATTTACACCTGGTAGAGCGAGGTGTGTTTGTCCATTTACACCTGGTAGAGCAAGGTGTGTTTGTCCATCTACACCTGGTAGAACAAGGTGTGTTTGTCCATTTACACCTGGTAGAGCGAGGTGTGTTTGTCCATTTACACCTGGTAGAGCAAGGTGTGTTTGTCCATCTACACCTGGTAGAACAAGGTGTGTTTGTCCATCTACACCTGGTAGAACAAGGTGTGTTTGTCCATTTACACCTGGTAGAGCAAGGTGTGTTTGTCCATCTACACCTGGTAGAACAAGGTGTGTTTGTCCATTTACACCTGGTAGAGCGAGGTGTGTTTGTCCATTTACACCTGGTAGAGCGAGGTGTGTTTGTCCATTTACACCTGGTAGAGCGAGGTGTGTTTGTCCATTTACACCTGGTAGAACAAGGTGTGTTTGTCCATTTACACCTGGTAGTGTGAGGTGTAACTGGTAAACCCCTAAAACATAGGAACACCCTTTTAATTGAGACTTGGCCCTACCCTTTGACTACAGTGCCAGTCCTCCTGCCACTAAGCCACAAAGTCGTATTCAATGTGTCTTACTTTATATTTGTAACTGAATGGAAGTCCTTTGTTTTTGTACACTTAGAAGACATCTTTATGTTGGTTTTATTTAATATATTTTTGACTGCTTTTTGTGGATAAGATTAAACAAATTTAAACAAAAGTCATTCGAAGATATACTATAATTTTTGTTGCTGAAAAGTGACATTTCAGCATGAGGAAGATAATGAAGGTACTGCATTAAAAATGATATGGACACTGAGAGCTTTGCATGAAGTTGTGTGTATACTGTATTTAGAATTAATCAGTTCCATTGTATCTGGAAAGACAATTTCATGAGTCTTAGTATACCATGAAGGTTATAGAAATGATATTGACATTGAGAGCTTTTAAGAAGTTATTTGTACTGTATTGCATCATCCTCTTCATAAATATGAACTGTTGAGAGCTATTAAGTATTCACACCCAGACTTACTTTTCTGGTCAAATCAGCAGGAATTTATAAGAACTCGTCATCCTTGGCACGCTTCTGTGTAAATAACCGTAGTCAACCAAGACCTCTTCATCAAGATTTCTCATATTGTTTTGTTGAATCTTCTCAAATGGAGCGGTGTGTAGAACTGTGTGCAATAGAGTAACCAGTCATTTTTTGATGTTAAAATATACAAATGTTACTATTTTCTAGTTTCTTTTATACTTTTCATGGACAAGAATGCAGCTCTTTTATCTAACTGGACACTTTTATGATAATCCATGGGTCATCAACTAGTGCCCTGTAAAGGCACGTTCATACCGAGGCCAGAATCGGTCATACAGTATTCTGATGCAAATTGTCCGATACTTTCACCTGAAAAAAAACAGACAAGGAATAATAACTCATTGCAGATTCTAACATAATCCAGCTTGGCAATTTGAACAGCTCGTCCATAATGTGAAGTAATGCAATGGGTTATTCCTTGTCCTTTTTTTTTTCAGTCGAAATTCGGATGATTTGCATCAGAATATGTCCGATTGTGGCCTCATTATGAACGCACCCTAAGATCCATACCAGTGTATGCTTCCTGTTATAGCCTGCTTTTTGCCTGAGGGCCTGACATGTTTTGTGGCAGGAAACACCTCCAGATGGACAATGTAGGCTAATTCTATTTTTTGGTTTTGGTTTTTATCACGCAGCATGTCACAACAAATTCGAGGTGACTCAAACTCAAATTCCATGTGATCCAGTAGACATTTCAAGGACCAGCGAGGCTTCAGGACACAAGTTTATTACAGGTATTATTATTCAGTTAACAGTTGGCTTTTGAAAAACAACGCAATAGTAAATCAAGGCATACCGGTAGACCGCTATTCAACAACTTATTTCTCCCATTACGTTGTAAAGAATCTGAACAGTTCAATGATTGGTCTTTCCTACGTGGCCCAAATTATGTCGTGTAAATAATATTGGTTAAAGTAATCGCAAACGACTGTCTGATTCACAATAATGTATGAAACGTGAAAAGAATATTTTCTAATAATACAGTACAGTACTGTGCAAACTCCTGCTGTAGCTACATATGGTAACTCTGACTATCAGGATGAGATTTCATGCTTGTCTCTTCTGTTTATCTTTAAGATGAAAAACCATTTGAGATAATAACACGAGTTCCACAGCTGTCAACATCTAAAATAAAATTATGAGTTGTATTTGTTAAGGAATAGACGGGGTTAGATGAAACTCATTATGTTCTATTTTCTGACTGAGGAGAGACAAAAATACAGTAGTGTAATTAAATTTCTGAATCCAATTCTCAATCCAAATCCCCTTAACCACTTATGTATGGATTCCCTGAGCTGAATAAATTCATCTGTACCCAAATAAAATATTAAAAATGGCATTGTTGAGTGAAGGAGTTATGCATAGTTAATGAGATGAGACAGCAAGCTTAAGATCTATGGGAGAAGGGTCGCTCCTCATTCCTCCATGGCACCAGTGTGAATTTAACTGTCAGACATGATGTTTTGTGACCGGACATTCGTGACATGTCATGACAGCTCTGTGAAACCAGCTTAACAGGGTGGAATCTTTACCTATACTGTACATCAGATACAAGACTTAACAACAACAGCCGCCTAAGCGACTAACGAGCCAATCAGTGGTGAAGAGGATAAAAGTATAAGATGGCAACAGTCTACATAGACAGTGAGCATTTATGTTAGGAGTTTCATGTCATATACTTGCCAACAGAGATGTGACTGACTGCCTAAAAAGTTAATGAGCCAATCAGTGGTGAAGAGGATAAAAGTAAAAAAAAAGGTAAAAGTATTCTGTTTAGACTCACATTTGTCTACTTTGAACGAAAGCACAATACCCCCTGTAATCGTCTTTGAATCAGGCATGCTATGATGGACATTACTGTACTGTTTAAACTGTCTACCTCTATTCAGTACTGTTATTTTACAAATATAATATAACGTATATACATGAATTATGTATGTTGTCTAGATAATACAATGTGCGTGTGCATGATGAGTGTTTTTCTTTGGCCATAAATGGATATAATGGAATAGAAACATATCTCTTGTGAAATAGGAGTGGAACTTAACACAATCTAGCCAATTCTTAACTTGTCTCAATCTAATCTACCCTAACCTAACGAACTCTAGCTTAATTTATTATGACTTAACCTAACCTACCCTACTTAACCTAACATAATCTAATCTAACTTATCAAAACCAATATGCATTACTAGGGTTCCTAATAATCCTGAAATCCTTTTATGATTATACGGGGTATATATTTTTTGCTAATAATCTGTAACGTAAAATTAATTGTGCAGGAATTTACTAAAGTTCCATTATGTGAACTTTTTGTTATTAAATTTTTTATAGCTAAGGTTAATTTCTTAAATATCAACCTAATCCTTAATTAACTCCATAAAATTTGTTCCATACATAGTTATTATTATTATTATTATTATTGCCAACAACCGAATCTCGAGAATTTTATCTTTGCAATTAATAATTCATACAATTCTACGACATTTACCCGTTTCCCGCGCAAATGACATATATTATTGTTATTGTTAGCCATTTGATAAAACTGATACTCGGTTGGTCTCTTTAATACTACGGTTACACCTTTAAACTCATTCAAAGTTATTTAATGCCCGCATTTAATTTCATTCAAAGTCATTTAAGTCCCGCATTTAAACTCATTCACTAAATTGTTTATTTACGTCCGTTTTCTCTGGTGCAATAAAAGAAAACCATAATGACAGGGGAAACTTATTTACTTTTGAATTATGGTTGCATGATATAGCAATTTTTTTTACTTTAGTGTAGGTAGTAGACAGCTATCGAAAAGGGAGGTACTACCGCCTGGGAAGATATTGGAAGCATAATGTGTTGTCTAATGGTAGACCCTGCTGCCATATATGTATAATATATATATATATATATATATATATATATATATATATATATATATATATATATATATATATATATATATATATATATATATATATATATATATATATATATATATATATATATATATATATATATATATATTTCTTTTTTCTTTCTTTTTTTACTAAGTCCCAGGTTGCTGATCTGACTTTCTGCCTCATTTACACACAATTGTAGGGTTTCAGTTGTATATCTCACTATTAACAACACAACACACATACATACTGCATATTGTTTCTCATGATTGCTTTAATTTTTGTATTTATTTATGGTTATTATTATTATTATTATTATTATTATTATTATTATTATTATTATTATTATTATTATTATTATTATTATTATTATTACTATAATTATTATTATTATTATTGTTATCGCCCCCACCCCCTGATGTGGGTCAGTGACCTGTGCCCGGGCGGGCTAACCCAGTAAAAAAAAAAAAAACATTAATCGGCCTGTTAGTCGCTTAGGAGGTCGTTCATCTCTGTTAGGTACTGTACATTTTACTGAGTAATGTCCTTTGAAGTACTTTATAAACTTCTATTAAATCCCCCTTGTTCTGAATAGCTCCGCATCATCTACTCACATTTGAATGGAAGAATTAATATCATGTCATATATTTTATGAAACAAGTGACCAGCCGAACTCTTGGCTGTAATGGGATAATAGACAACCCCGCTGAGGGACCAAGGAGAATGACCCACCCACTGCGGACGTTCATAGCTCACTGATTCACAACCTGCCTTAGTGCCTTTCAGCTCCACTTCTCAGTCTAATATGATGGTATTGCCAACGGGGAGTAATGCATGTGTGGCTTATCAGTGATTTCAATCGACGTTCTCAATCTATCGGCACATGTGCGGCTTTCCTCGTGTATACTTGAGCTGTCTGTGTACCTCATGAATCTAACCTAACTTATATCTATCTATCTATCTATCTATCTATCTATCTATCTATCTGCACCACCATTAGAGTGAAAATTAATACCCACACGCTCTCTATCACTCAGGGGCCGTAGTAAAATCTTATATCAAAGGTGTATTGTTACCTCACTTACAATACTACAAATACTGCCAGTTAACTGAGACCATACAAAGGAGGGCTCTACCAATTAAACTGGTGCTGGGACTGCAGACACCTCAATCACTTAATCATTAGTTAGATGATGACCATTTCAATTGAGTTTACATATTTTCGGCTGCCCTCATTACTTTGTCCTCTTGCCACCGGTCTTCTGGTTAGCATTTATTCGGACAGTTGGTAATTTTTCTGTTGACAAATACTGAGTATGTACAGGTCAGTTCTGGTCTTTAATGAGCTCACACTCAGGCTGTCAATACCTCCACTGGCAGGTTATTCCAAGAGTTTACAACCCTTACTTCAGGGATGGGGAAACTTTTGAGGTAGGAGAGCCAGATTGAAATTGTTAATTTTTAGGGGGCCACCTATTATTTTCAATGTTAATAATAATCTATGCAAATTTAATGGGTATGACCGCTACCCTGAAACATTTTCCCAATGCAGACCGGATTATTTGGAAGTTAGAACAGGTGCTTTATAATACCGGTAAGAACAAATGACCAGCGTGGCCTGATGAAGGTTTCATGACAAAACCCCAACGGGGTTGTCACATGTCAACACTAACCTAACCTAACCTAAACATAAAAGTGTTTTATTTTATATATGAGACTGGGGTTTTATCCGGTGACCTCTGATGATCTTTATCTTGTCAAGTCACTCGCCTCCCCGGCCACAAAGTCTAAAAAATTGACAGCAGACCTAGATAAGAGTTCATTACTTTTTAGCGACTCTAGTTAATTGGGAATGAGTTTATAGTGAAATACTATAATGGATATATTTTATTATTTGTATTAGATGTTTACTAGGGTATTTGTTAGAATATATTTAGTTTGTTATGACAGCTAACTGTTTGTTTACAGTGGTCGACGCATCCCTCTCCTCTCCTCCCTGTAGCGATTCTAATCCTGAATTATAACGAGGATATATCTAGTAAAAATATATAGCATAAACTAAAAAATATAAAACTAAATGAGGTACTTAAAAAAATAAAAAAAACATCTTAATATTAATTACAATATACAAATCGTTATCGCAAAATATTATAAGAAAATAACTCAAACGCAAAGATCTGTTGCGTCGACAAAGATGGCTTCTGCTAGTGTAGTTTTCCGCAATTTACCCGTCATAAAACAGTCATTAATAGCAATAATAAGAAATACTGGATTATTTGTGAAGTTTATGTGTGTACTATTGATAATAGGATATGCCCTGTCGTTCTCTGAGACAGCAGTGGAGGCGTTGAGTGTGACCCCAGGCTACCTGCTGCCTCCAACATTCTGGTTATGGACAGCTTTTACTCACTGTTTCCTAGAGGTCCGATTATGGCAAGTCTGTGTAGATCTCGTCACTCTAGGACTGTGTGGTAAATTAATAGAACCATTATGGGGAAGCTTCGAAATGGTTTTCTTTTTCTTATTGGTGAACGTGTGTGTGGCGTTCATCTCGGCTCTCTTTTACCTCATCATCTACATGTGCACTTTCAACCCAGAAGTATTGTTCAGTGTTCAGATCAATGGCATGGCGGGGTACATAGCAGGGCTGTCTGTTGCGGTCAAGCAGATAATGCCAGACCACGTCCTGCTGCACACACGCACTCCCCTCGGCAAGATCTCCAACCGTCATGTGCCGCTCTGTTTATTTTTGACGGCTCTATTGCTGTACCTGTGTAACCTGTTGGAGGGCCTCTACACTACCATGATTGGCTGCGGCATTGCGGTGTCGTGGGTGTATCTCCGATTCTACCAAGTACACTCCAATGGTACTCGGGGAGATATGGCAGAGATATTTGCATTTTCCTGGTAAAGACTTATTCCATTATTGTTTGTAAATATATGCACCTAATTATTTACCATTTTAATAATTACAGTGTTTTAGTAATACATTCTTAATAAAGCATGACAATTACGACTAGCTACATTTATTGTAAGTTGACATGGTTTTATTCATAAATTGATCAAATTATTGGAGAGAGACTGTGTGATAATTATTAAAGTTTAGGCAGTGGATATTTTGCCGTGACTGGTAAGTTCCTCCTAACGCTATTTTACCGTGAGTGCGCTTTGATTGGCTAACGACGCGAGAACTGTATTTGACCGTGATACTGGGAGCATTTGGCATTTGTCGTGCATTGAAACTTATCATTATAAAAGATGCAAAATTTACTAGAACCTAATAGAACCTGACCTAACCAACCAAAGAAACCTACCTAACCTTACCTAACTTCCTAACCTCACAGTAAAATAGCACTAGTGGGAACTTAACTGGTCATGGCAAAATATCCACTGTGTAAAGTTTATCAGAAGTCTCAGTTTGTTCTGGTTGAAGCAGATAAAGTACAGTGATATTTTTTTTTTTTTTTGCCATTGAAGGCATGGAAGTTACGGAGTATTTGTCACTTCCTTGGCTAATTTGGATCACTTGAAGCTTGAAAATTAACTACCCAAAACCTACCTGTGTGGATTTGGTTAGTGTAAGGGAGGTTAATCCATGTGGAATAGCTGGGTGTGGGGGGGGTGAGGTGAATTAAGCTGAAGAGGAGTGAATCTAAAGGTGATCTGTAAATTCACCCGCTTGACTACTGTGTGAATTAAAAAGCAGGATTGAACCATAGAGGATGTTACACTGTACAGTATTGCCAAACACAGTTATACAGTATATCTCAGTGATGTGTTCCGAGTTCGTGATCAAACATAGTTCATTGTGAGATCTAGGCAGCAATTTATATGTCATTTCTAAAGTGAGGTCTGTTACTATGACCCAGTAAGTGATGGCAGCATTCTATGGCAAAGGACTAAATGGTTTAACTCAGTTGTTCTAAGTATAACACTTGTGACTATTCTGTGTAAAAATTGCCATGATCATTGTCAGTCAGTTAACATTTAACTGGATCTGCTGACTCTTGAAAAAAAACAACTGGGAAATTATAATCAGTTTTCCAAGAGCTACTGTGTCGGTAATATGCTGTATACTACTGGTACAGTATTGTAAATCACAACAACCAAAGCTATTTGAAATTTAGTTCAGTAACATTAAAGTACAGTATTTAAGAGTTCGGGTTTACCATCTACTTAACAAACAATCTCTAAGGAAGAAAAATTATTTCTCATCTCAAGAATAAAGTAAATTAGGTGGAGGAATTGCAACTTATTGTGTTTTTTTGCTTGAGTTTGTGTTTGAACTGTTGACAAGTGCTTCCTAGTGAACTTTCCAAATGAAATGGAATATTAGCACCCTAACCTAAAAAAACCTAACCTAATCTAACCTAACATAACCTGTACAGTAATTGTTTGTGTGTATGGAAATAATGAGCTGGAAAACATTTGTGTGTACAGTATCATCAAACTAATACATTACAAAATTGCTAATCCTTGATGTCTTTTTCTTTGAGGGGGGGGAATTTTTAATGTAAAAAGAATTTGTTACTGTCCATATTAAATTGCCTAAAGTTTCCATTTCTTAGTGAATATGAAATAGAATAGGGTACAATACACAGTACTACAGCATCTATGTTATTATGTAGCTTAGTTACATAGATATAAAGTTCTTAAGTTCTAACTGCTGTATGTTCTCCCGAATCCATTTTTTGTAGCTGTAGTGTTGTAGTAGTAACTGCCCTGAACACAATACTCATCTCCAGTCTTTAGGTAAAGAAGCAAATTTTGATAGCTAATGGTGCCAGTTACCTGTAAATGGAAAAAATAATGATAATACAATAATAATAATATTTAATCAGTAAAATTGTCATATGGTTTAGCAATTGGATAAGCAGGTACCTTATATAAACTATGCCAGTATACAGGTCAGCATGAATATAGACAGTGTAGGTATACAGTACATGTAGGCTGTAGGCATATACAGTTTCCTATGTGTCAAGACAGTGCAGCTACAGTATACAAAAATGGTATACAGTAATGCAGTTTGACCAAGGATAGCCGGCAAAGCTGTCATAGGGAGGCAGAGTCCAATCAGCTTGTATCCTCCCATTTTGAGTCAGATGAGCAAGTGGGTGAGCACATGATGAGAATATAGATCATTGTGGTACATTAGACGTCACTTCATGAATAGTGATTCCTGTAGGATAATGTTATTGGTTATTAAATGGTCATATGTTTCTGCTGTACTGTATATGGAGATACTGTACTGTACAAGTCAGTCATTTGCATTTAGCTGCTGCATGCATTTTTCTAAGTTGCTTTAATAGGCTATAGTATATTGTTCTTGTGGTTTTCTCTCTATTGTAAATATTTATCATCACTCCAGTTCTCTGTCAATCAATTTGAAGTACGAGGGGATTTTATTTTAGACCAGTACTTCCAATTGTATTATTTTATTTTTTATTATGGTATCTATTTTAAAAAATTTAATGGAGGTAGTGGTATAGGTCAAATGCTCCCAAATGTATAAGCTACTGTATTTTGAGTCATATGTATACCACTCATTGAAAATTGACTGAAGCATAAGTTACGATGATTATAAGGAGACATGAGTAAGATTTGTGTATTTGTGGTCATTTTATATATATATTTATATATACTGTACATACATACCAGTATACTATAGGAGTCAAGTTCACAAAAGTGGGTTGTTATTTAATATTCTATGGTAAGATATCTGGTGTACATGGGAATATATATATATAACTTACTCAGTTACATTGATACACACCTTGAAGAATGTTGTAAATAAATATGGGGTTTTATTTTAGAGTTAAACTTTGGAGTTTATGTATGTCTTATGATTTGTCAGGGATCAGAGGTCTCTAAGAATATACATTTTGAGTTTTGGGCCCAGTTTTCCTCATAACAATACTTCAACTACTTTACCTGGGACTTGGTACAAAGATGTGTATACAATACTGTAGTTAGCTACCCCAAACAGCAGTATGTATAGAAAGATGTAGACTGCTTTCTTTTGGACTATTTTACTGGGGTTAGAGGTCATCAGTATGTCAAGTGGGATTACAGTATTTCTTTGTTCATCATTTTGACTTTGAATTACAGTGCAGTACAGTATCATATATCGCCCATAACACTGCTTGAAACAGCCAAGGTCTGACTGGCTGGAATGTCAATGAACCTCCAGTGATGATAAATGCTAAGAAGAAACTTGTAACAGAATATGTACAAGACAATATAAACCAAGTAAACCTATCACATGGTTTTCACTGAGCAACAGCATATTAAGAGCAGAATAAATTTGAAGTGGTGAAAACATGAGTCTTTTACTGTATTATGTACCTGCCAAGAATGAATACAGTAAAACCCACCAGACTCATGGCTATTGAAGTACAGGTACATTGTTTTGTAGAATTTCAGGAATTATTACTATTAGCAGACTTATATTGTATGATTGTGTACTAGTATGCTTCTCATTTATTGTTTTTTTTTTAACTATTGTCTCTATATAACTTTATGTTTCAGCTTCTTCCCAACGGTCTTGCAGCCACCAATCCAGGTTGTTGGGGACTCAGTCTATTCTTGCTTAGTACGGATAAAAGTTTGCCGAAGACCTGTCCGGAGATATGACGTGGGAGCTCCATCCACCATTGCCATATCTCTCCCCGGCATGGACCCCCACGATGCAGAGAGGCGGAGGTGCGGTATAGCTACTGTTTATCTGAAATTACTTGTCATCATTAAAGTTAAGGGGTTAGCTATGTTAGGGAGGAAAAATAAGTTCAGTACAGTACTGTTTTTTGGACCCAAGGAAGATATATTATAGCATTTGTCTCTGGTCTTGAAAATTGGTGTTACAGTATAGCTAATGTGTATATAAGTGTTAGGGGAGATACTACTGTACCTCCAATATTCATGTTTAAATCTATAAAGTCATTTCTCTTAACCTCTCCTCATGTCATTTTGATGCTGTTGATAATTATGTATGAAATTGTGTTAACTTGATTTTATAATACAATATTTGAGTGAAGTGATAACATTTTATAATTTTTAGGTTCAAAGAAATATGGTAGTTAAGTACTGTACTTGGTATGAGAAATCTTTTGAGGATAGTATGGGATATGGGCACATGAATGTAAGATGAATGAATGTTAGTTGAAGTTACATTGTTTTGTTACTTAATTGATTTCTCATTACTGTATAACAATGCATCTATTTATCCCCCCCCCCCGTATATGAGGCGGGTCATTTATATTTCTCAACTTGTATCCCCAGACAAAAAGCACTTCGTCTCTTGAGTGCTCGTCTAAACCAGGACAAGACTGGGGGTGAGGGTGGAGGAGCCTGGCCCACCCTTGATGATTCCCCAGGTTCACGTGGTCAGTCCCCACTGCCCTCCTCCTCCTCTATTACCCCATCCACACACTCCACTCCTCTTCCGCCTAAATCTGGCAAGTCTGTAACTATTGCTATACCTCCCGAGACTTCAGACCTTCCACCCGCCCAGCCACCCGTGTCAGTTAGTTCGTCCAGCATCGAGCCCGGGAATAGTAGCTCCGGGCCGGCAACAACCACGTTAGTAAATCTTGAAGAGGAGTCTGCGCCAACCACCTAACTTATAGATTGTTGGCATTTGAGCTTGGCCTTGATTTTCCTAGTTATTAGAGAAGTTAATCTCTTTCTTATAATTGAGAAGACTCGGTTGGTTTCTATTGATTGTTCATGAATGTTGGCCTTATGTTAGAATTACACAATGAGAGAAACTGGAAGGAGGATGAGACATGTCCAAGTTAGGAACACAGTAAGATATATACTATATATACTGTATACTGTAGTGCTTTGGGATGATACAGTGCAGTAGTAAACATTGATGGTGGAAATACTGTACTTTTAATATATAATGATGAAGCATCTCTTATGACCATTGTCCTATATACAAACATATGCAGTATACACATAGGACCACATTGGTTTGCTATTATCGTATTTTATAGTTTTTTTTATTTCGTATTCTAATATGTTGAGCTTTATCCAGTGAAAGTTTCAGTTGTGAAGAGTCCAGCTTATACGCACAAGACCAGTGAACATGTTGCAGGACAAGTCATTATGTTTTTAAGGATTTCTGTCTTTAGAGAAAAAAAGTTCTCGAAAAACTTTTTTGGGATATTCAGTAATTTGTTAGAGAAAGAGGACATTTTTACTTATTTTTACACCGAAATACATTATCTATATTGCTAACCATTTCAGTCTGTATATATAAAATTGTATTCTTTGTCTGTTTCAACTTATGATACAACAATGGTAAGATAATGAATTTACTCAACACTGTATTTCTGTTTTATGGTAGTTCAGCTCTTTGCTTACCTCCAGTTTATTTATTTATTTTTATCTACAGAAAATTATGCTGGTTTCATCTTTTTTCCTGTCCATTTTAGCCGTGAACTTCCTCTCTTGCCGAGACCAGACGGCATTTCGAGGATTAAAAAAGTGAAGTATAAAAATAACTAACAAGAATATCCAAAGTTTTGTCTAATTTCCCCCCTCCATCTAACTTTAACCGAGCATATTTTTCAGATTCATTTAAACTAAGACAACAAACTTAATACCTAATTTCATCCCACTCTAGTCCAGCTTATTTGTATACAGGTACTGTAATTATCCAAATCCCTTTTTTTATCTTTTTGCTTAGGTAAACTGCAGTAGTCTTCTGTTAACTTGATTTATACGTACATATAATTTTCTGAAACTTGTTCCTGTGTCTAAGAAATATCAAATTGGTGGATGAAACTTGCCGTAGTCTCAGTTCAGGAATGTAATTTTTATTTTCTCAGCAGATGATTGAGCCGTGTAGGGGCAGTACAGTACTCTATGGATCAGGGAAGTCTAGGTGTCACAAGCCCAGTAAGAACTTGGCATTAAAAGTCAGTACAATTATATAGACATGTTAAAGGAAATGGTAAATGGTCTCCAGGGTTGCAAATGATTTATGATTTTTATTTATTTTTGTTTTTATTTAGGTTGTGTATGAAAGTCATTGCCACAATAAAAAAAAGAGGGCTGTTATATTTTATTTTTTTTATTTAGGGGGTCTTGATCCAGTACAGTATTTGATTGTTTGATAGGGGAAATTAAGGAACAGTTTTCATAGATGTATGTTTAGAAATCAGTCAGATCAGTTACTTCAGGGAATAATAAAATACAGAATAAAGTTTGGATGCTCATTACACACTTCAAATGAGTTGAGTGGATTGGTAGCTGTAACTATTTGTAGAGTAATTTCATAGTGTGTCATATAATTTTCACACTGCCATGGAATGCTAGTGTTGGACTGTTAGTGGTCTACCTGGAATGAATGTCAGAATTTAACATTGAGATTTTACCTTTAATTGTGTACCATTGGTTTGTTAATGATCTTCAAGGTGTGATCTCTACATGATACCAGTACTGAATATACAGGCTTTATGACCTCTGGCTTCCATCAGTGTGTAGGGAACTTGTCTCATGGACGTTGTCAGTGATTCATGTTTAGGACCAGGTTACGAGTATCACCTGCAACGATGATTAAGAGTCTGACTTGATGCTATTGTATACTGTACTGCTAAAAATACAGGTGTGGTCCAGTGACTGTATGGTTAAGTATGTCTTTCTTGATTTATGTATTGTTGTAGGGAGTGTCGTGGGGATCAAGCTAGCCATGTCGGTGATATTTTTTGTTTATTTATTTATTTTTATTATTGGTCGGCAGTTGTGTAAAACTGATGAAAAAGTGATTAAATCTGTAGGGATGATTACGTCATTACTGTTATTAGGTTTAAATTGTGATCATTATAATTAGCTGTTTTACTATGATATTGGCACTATTATTTTTTTATGTGATATGTTGGATTGTTTGCATTTTGCTGACCATGGCATTAGTTTACAGTGCTATTTTGGTCTCTCGATCACGGAGAAGTTTGTAAGCTAAAGTTTAAAGTAACAGTTGAAGGAAGCTAATTTTGGTGAATGGTTAAGAATTCCTTCTGCATACAAGTTGAGGGGATTGCTTATTTCTTCTTAACTTTGTATAAATTATGCTGTAGCTTCTTTCAATATGTATATACAGTACAGTACAGTATATTTTAATGGTCAACACAATTGACATATGTATATACAGTATATAGAAGACCTCAGTATTTTGGAAAATCAAGTTTAAGATTTGATATACTGGTAAAAGTAAAGTTGGTTTATAACATTGCATAACAAAGTATATAATTTGTCTTTTGCTTTACATGTATTGTCAGTTTCTTCAGATGCACATGAAATATCATCTGTGGTATTGAAACTACCCTGGGATATTTTTTCTTTACGGTAGAACTTTGACACTTCACTAATCATACATTCATCGTCACTATTCTCCACCCATTTGAAAAGTTCCAATTAAATTATAATTAACCCCTGAATGCATGTCTCCACCCATTCAAGTGTGGAGCTGCAGAAGAGTCTCGGAGTATGTTTGTGTCTCACTGAAGATGGGCCAAAATAGCAGTGTCAGGTACTGCTTGTCTTACTGCATCATATCACTGCTATGTACAGACAAGGATAAAGGTCCTGTCAGTCCTCCATCCCACCCATGAAATGTGAAACTCATGAACCTGTGAATCATAGACATCACACAGTGTTCCATCTATGGACCCAACAATGTGTGATGTGTCGGATTCACAGGCTCATGGGTTTCGGGATTCATGGGTAGGATGGAGGATTGACAGGACATTTTTTTGTGACTGTACACATGTCTGCCCACTGCCTTGATCACTTCACTCACATCACCACCAGTATCTTAAAAGCTAAATTTATTTATTTTGTTTCAGTTATTATTGAATGTGAATTTTCACCTAACTTTAAAGGCTCATATTTTTGTTTAATAACTTGTATTTTAAGTGGGATCATTTATGTTTTTGAGGCACCAAGGCCAGCCATCCTGCACCATGCACCTGGACCACCACAAACACTGTACAGTAATATATAACTTGACGGCACTGGAGCGAATCTTGATGGTTTGATATTTTCATTTACTTGCCCACTTTGATCACCCAACCAGAGTTTAGTTATGAAGTTCTACTGTATGTGAAAGTTAACTGGATATTTTTTTGCTGTGGTCCACTATTCAGGAATAAACTCAGTGTATTATTGACAGTGATCATAATATTACTTTCATAATGCCATAGATAATTTTAGAGTCCATCTTAATCACACCATATTGAAGGGATGTTTACAAGGACCCGTGGAGTCATAGTCAGTGTTCTACTTACTAGTAATGAACACTTCTTATTTGTTATGATGATAAGTTGATTAAAGGGGGAGGAATAAATTGCCAGTGTACTGCTAACAGGTATACTGTACATTGGTTCACCATATGCATCGCACTAGCCTTAATACAGATTTTGTTCTGATATCCACTATTGTAATAATTTCTTCTGTATAAAATATTTTGTCGGCTGTCAGCTTAAATCTAATAATGTGGTACAGTACTATATATCTGCTGGCATGATGTCTGGAGGGAGAATTTAATGGTTTACAAGAATTCCATGAAATTAAGTTAGGTTGTTGGATGAGAGTGCATATGTAGAGTACAGTAAAGGGTATAATGAGAATTAATATAAGAAAAGAGGCATAGAGATGTAAGTACACTGAGCAGTTGAAAGACAGTTTGCTGCAAGGTTTTTATTACTTGTGTTTGGAGTATTAATTTATTACTCTTTACTGAACATAAACATTTGCAGCACATTTTCTGTTAGAATTTGCCTTATGTTCTTTTTGAGATGTATAAGTGAGAAACACAAACTACCTATAAATTAATGTTTGTCTTGTTTTTAGTAGATCCTGCATCAAACAATACATTTGTTTGGGAATAAGACGTGAACTCTTAAAGATCGTAGTATATATTAGAAGAGATAGAGTATATTATATGATAAAGAATTTTTATTTTTCAGTCCACATAGAATTTACATGTGATAGACATAGAGATCCCATCGAGGAGACATTATAGTGAAGCAGTACATCGGCAGGACAACACACTTGCATCCACAATAAAACACACTATTGTACTTTACCTTACCTTATGATATTTCAGTACTGTAATTTGTTGATATACACTCGAGAAAGGTTTTGGAGATTGCTAAGCTTGAGGATTTGGTGAATATACTAAACATTGGTGTTTTAAAGTCCTCAGAAATTAAATATATATTTGATGTTTGAAGTCATGCAGATGAAAATCTTGCTCTACCTTAAAGCTATCGTTTAAAAGTAATCCATTAAGGAATTCTTAGTATGATAAGAGGGGACATTATCTTACTTAGTATAGGTACTTGGAGAGTTATAGAAGCGATAGATAACAAAGAGAGTGTTTTATATGTTACCTTGTCTGTTTGTGATGTGGGAGAAGCCTTGTGATGGTTAAGTAAAGTCATATGTGGTCATTAACAAGAGTGATATCACAAACTATGTCTTGTGTGTGTGTGTACTGCTTACTGTGCATGTTTTTCCATAATGTGGGTTATACATACAGAATACCTGTACTGTACTTTTGTGTAGATATTGTACATGGGTGTGTTGCAGGCTAATTTGTCATTTGTTATGACAGTTTCCTGTAACATATATGTAATGGTGATTATCCAAGAGTTCAGCTGATTTGCCATCTGTTTATATCCTTTATATTACTGTAATGTTGATGTAAATAGAGACAGATCACTTGGTTTATTTTGGTTAAAATATTGTAATTTGCATATTTCTTTTTCACTAACTGGTACCCCCAGAATGGTTTGTCATTGGTGGTATTAACCATAAAGCACTGTTGATGTTTGGTTTTTGTTGTCTTTTTTGCTTACAGTTTTCCTAACATATGGTGTGGATCGTAGTGTATTGTGTGGTGAACTCTTCTCTCGAAACTATATATTGAAAATGGCTTCTTGTAGAGCCAGACATTCCTCATGCCATATCTGGACAAAAGAGAGAAAGTTTGGCTGTGGTTGCTGACCAAAGTCTAACTCTCAGTTTATTTTTGCTAGAGAAACTGACCAGCTTAGTCCATCTACAAATTAACCTTCGTGACAACAGGTGTGAGTGACCCAGTCTTAGCTAACCTAATTGAACCTGACTTAACAACGTCATGATCTGGTTATTCTGTGTTTCTCACTACACATGTATACTATGTTTGACCAAATTGACCCTGTGGATAGGAAAGAGATTTATCTTGTACAGTACACAGGCTACACATATCCAGCTGTCTATAAAAGAAAAAACTAAGAGCCACACTCAGGTCTGTAACCATGTCCATGAAGTTTAGCCTGGTAGGTGTACACAGTTGCTGCTGAAGTAGAGAGCATCATTTCAGATTTATTTTTCTCGCTTGCCTGGTCTGGAAGCACACCTCAGTGAGTAACTGCTAAGAGTGTTTCAGAATACTACAATATTTAATTGTTTATGAACATTTGGATCATGCTAGTTTAAATGTCAGCTTATAATTAGAGAAATGTAATGCAATATATTTTTTTATGTGTTAATTATGTTGGAATGATAATAATAATGATGAATGATTTTCTAAACCTGAATTAATATTAATGTAAAAAATAGAATGTTTTATATATAAAATACAAAAATATATACCTGTATTATATAATATATAATGTATATATGTCATATATATACTTGTATATTATATACTAATGTTAACTTTCTCAAAGTTGTATAAGTTTTTTGTGATTGCAATAAAAAATTTCAAATAATTAAGCACTTTACCCAGATCTGTTGTTGTCACAATATTAAACCAAATTTTGTCGATTGAATGGTATCTGAAGGATAAATTTAGGATTGGCTGTGGTTCCTCAACCATGGGTGACTACAAATCAAATCTTGTTTGTATGATTGGGTTTATTAGAGCCATAATTGGTACGTACTTGATGATTTGCTGCTTTTTTGGCAGTGATGTGTTATTATCTATTTCTATTACCAGCTACTATACTACAATTTCTACAGTGTGTGCTAAACCTCCATTAAACTGGATTACTGTAACTGGGGGGAAAGTGGTCCAGGTTTATGAATTATTGGGATTTTGGGGAGTATTTGCTAGGACAAAATACTGTAAAACCATTTACAGCACATCCATCTTGAGCAAATTTCTGTGACTGTCTTACAAACAGTTAAAGTATTGTACCCTGTTCTGCATATATGTTCCATTAAATATGATAACAAATGCATTTACATAATACTTGTTGAAAAACATAAGAATTTTACAACTTGTATAAAAAACCCAAGTTAAAGATGGAGTGGGTGAAGCAGCCTCTGGTGTAGTGGTTAGCATACTTGAATTGCAAATAAGTGGTCTCGGGTTTGATCCCAGGGCAGGGTAAAACTATTGGCAAGTTTCCTTACATCAAATGAATTTTAAAATAAATTGGTATGTTTAAAGAAAATATATGTTTTCCTTAAAAAAGTAGGGAGGGCCAGATATAGTCATGTTTATCCAGATATGTGGTTTAGTAAAGTTTAGTTCAATGGGAGTTTACTGTACTGTATTGGCAGTAGGTCATATTTGTACAGTACCATACATCAAAAAACATATAGAAAGTTGTCTTCCAATGTCATGGAATGGCATTGTGTGAGGCAGTATGGGTCAGCATATTACAAGACCTCAGTATGTGTGAGTGATGAGCTCTACCTACACTAGACCTAAATCTGCCATGCAAACTCCTGTCTCATCTTCACATTGAACTTGTTTTCATATCCTTTATTTTCTCACAACTGTCATCTTCCTTGTGTTATTGATTGTGTTAAACGTATAAATATTTAATAAAAAAGTTAACGCTCTCCCATCTTCTCTATGTGTCATCATGTCACGTTGATCCCCTCTCAGTCAGCCTTGTTTCCTGCTTGCTTTCATATTAGTTTTTTATTTTGATATCCTTCCAGATTATTATACTTCATTATGTCTTCATTGTTTTTCCTAATATCCAATATAGTTGCTACTTGGTATAAGATATCTCACTTAACCATCATGGCAAAATCTATAATAATGTCATCCCATGTAGTACTATCTGACAGACTTTAACTTCTACTCTAGACTAACCTAAACTAATCAGCCTAACTTAATCTAACCAACCTAACCTAACCTAACCTTTTGAGCTTTTCATTCCATCAAAAACACATCACTACCTCCAAGAACTCTGTCTTTTACTGTACTTACAACGTTGATACGTAAACATCTCTCACCTATTCACCCTACCTGTATTACTCACTCTTATCAGATTAATAGTAAATGTATAGACTCAAAAGTGTTTGTTTAATATTTTGTTAACAGAATGCATTACCATGATCAAAAACTTAAGGTATTTCCATGACACTTATCTAAACTACGTACTGTATTCCTCACCTGCGACACATTTAGTCACAACATGTGACCACTGAATAATTTCTTCTTGGATTCCATATGTATCTTGCTCATTATTGCATAGTCCTCTGAGCCATATTTCTATCAATCTGTTAGCCTACCTTCTCTTCCATTTTCAACTGAGGAGGATCAAGGGCAATGAAAACCTCACCTTCACTATTTGGCTAATGCCAGATGATTTTAGTCAACCCAGAGGGAACCCCATACACAATGGGTTAAGAGAAGAAAAGGTAGGGAAGAGTGAGGTAAGAATGGTATAGAGAGTCGGGAAAGGGTCAAAACAGCAAATATAAAAATGTTACCCACACATTTCCTTCTGTATCTTAACCTCTGTAGTTGTCACTTTTACTTTTATCCTCTTCACCACTGATTGGCTCGTTAGCCGCTTGGGTGGTCAGTCACGTCTCTTGTTACTCACTGTTGGCAAGTATTGGGCATGAACTGGCACCTGAATATATTGGAACCTGCACTAATATTGGTCAAATCTGGCCTTGAATGAGCTCACTCTCGGTGCTGTCACAACGCTCTCTGGCAGATTGTTCCAAGAGTTCACAACTCTCACCCCGAAAAAGTTTGCCCTCACTGTTTTCTGGACTTGTGGCTTCTTCAACCTTGAGCTGTGACCCCTTGTGGGGCAGACATCCGCCAGCTCCAGGTATGTACATTCGACCGATCAGTGCCCTTTGAGATGCATACACTTCGATTAGGTTTACCCTTGGCCATCTGTAGCATAAGCTAGGTAGTTGCAGGCATTGTAATCTCTCTGGGTAGCTGAGGTTCCATAGAGCCGGCACCATTAAATTCACTTTTGTTACTCCCATTCTTTACCTCTTAAACCACCTTCACTTTAGGAACACCAGTTATAAAATTTTATTTGGCTAATGGTAGATGATCTTATCCATCTCAGAGGGGGAACCTGTACACTAGGGTTTAAATGTCAGTTTTGTTGATGTGTATAATGGCAAAGTTCACTCTTACCATGGCTGTTCTTAGTGTATATTATTTTTGCTTATATAACAGTAATCAGTTAATAATGCATCATATTGTGTGTCTGATGAAGCTTAAATTTAATATAGTTTTCCTATTACAGTAGTATATTTTTTTCTCTCTACTGTCACTTTGGGTAATTATTTCAAAATCAGTTCCTTCTTCCTTTGTTTTTCTCACATGGATGGATATTTTTTTCACTCTTGCAACCCTATTTACATTATGCTGGCTGGAACTGAGAGCAACATCGACTTACCCTTACCGGTTGTCATTCATTCCTACTGTTGATTTGGCATTGTGGTGTCAGTTTAGTTTTGTTGATGACATTTATATCTTAAATTATTTACATCATTGAGTTTTTAATGGCATACTGTACTATATATCTCTCATAGGCTACTCAAATCTCAAGAAAAATATAGAAACCCAGTCAGAAGTTTCAATTTGTGCCTTTTTTCACATTAATTGTTAGGAGATTTTGAAGTACCTGTACCATACAGTGTATATATTATTGATGTGTAATGAATAGGTATAAAGTACAATTATTTAGAAGTAATTGGTGTGTTTTTGCAGCATAGCACTGTACTGTGGATGATGATGTCAGAATTTTAATATCTCCAATAGTGTAGACAGCATTATGAAAGAGTTTATGGCAATGTGTATATATTTTACCAGTCATATACTTTGTCAACACACACAATTATATTACCTGTTAAATCTGTACATGTCATAAGTGCTCTGAAGATTAAAATTAAAGGTATCTATAATGATTTTAGTTTAATAAGTTAATGAAAAAATTGCATTAACAATTGCCCAGCTTAAACTATAAAATTCGCTCTTTTTTTGTATCTTGACATGTAAGGTTATATATATACAGTGCAGTATCTAATGTTCTGTACTATACAGGTATATTGTTTGTGGAAATCAGGTATCAATCTTTATTATGGTTACAGTACAGTACAGTATATGAAAACATGATTGTAAATAGACCTTTTAACTGCTCAGTAACCAGATGAGTTTAGTCTTGTCACATATGATCAATTAAGCTCTGAAACACCACCTTTTCCTTTTATTTCTTTTCAGTCAGTTGGTCCTTTTGCTTGGACCACGTCGTGTATTTTGTAATTTTAATTAGAATAACGACATAGAGAGTTTTCATTCAGATATTTGTGGCAGTATTATTTCAGCAATCATTGATAAAGTACTAGTTATCTGACAAGAAATAAGGATAGCAAGAATGCAGGTGTAAATATATATAAATATATCCCTTTTTTGTGTCCATCATGTTGAAGGGACACCACCATACCTAATTAATGGATACATACACACAAGACATGAGATACAATATCAGTTTGATTTTACTGCCAGAAATAGTTGACGGGTGAATGTCTCCGTAGTATTCAAATGCCCTAATTGTTGTTTGTTTCATTATGGCCTTGAAGTAATTTTATACCTATTGCCTTGGGGACAAACCAACCAGTCACAAGAAAGGAACATTGTTTAATGCACTTCCTAGAATACACTAACTATTTAGGGTTCTCAAATAAAAAAAACCTGACAAAGTGTCACCCACAGTTCACAAGAAAATTCACATTTTATACAGTAATTTCAAAATCCATGTAATTTAAAAAGAACTATTTAAATTACATTAAGATATTATAGGATCTAATTTATTATTTTCTCATATAAACAATCTGAAAGACGTTGCAGTTACCCAAGTGTGAGTTGGATTTGGAGATTGTGGCAACAGATGTAGTTACTGTATTGTAGTTACCTTCCAGCCATCACAAGGAGAGAATGGCTAATTATAATTATATCCCTATACAGTTTAAAGCTACCAGGTATGTCATTATATAAGAGTTGGTGAAGCAATTATGGCTTGTAATGAGACTGCAACTGCTTTACTTTATTAAGTACAGTACTATAGGTATCAATGAATTAATGATGATATTCTTGTCTTCCTTTTTTTCCATTTTGATGACCAGCACTAGAGGTGTTGTCATAAGGTTAACTTTGTAATACATAGGGTTATGTTAAGTAGAATTGGATAAAGTAAGGTCAACAAGTGACCTCTGAATAAAGACTTGTTATATAGTATTTTGTAGTTATGGGGATTATACGTGTCTTAGGAATATTGAACTAACAATATTTTAAAACAACTACTTTCAGGCAGATAATACTTTCAGAAAATTATAAAGTTTACTCTAAATATTAATGAAAGGTTTATTAATGGTGAAGGACTGCCATGAACATATTACAGAAAATACAGTTGTACAGTAAGTCGTTATTGTTACTCACAAAAGAGAATGAACTGAAACAGTAATTATTTTATATACAGTGGAGGGAACTAGTCTGTGTGTTATGCCAAAATAAAATATAAACACTGGACAATTACTTCAAATTGACTTTCAACACAGAGCTTCTAATAATATATATACTTATTTAAAACCTTCTCTATGTATTTATACTGCACTGGTTTATAGGTTCTGAATATTTTATAATTGTGTGAAATATTAGGTTAATGATTTGTTGAGTGTGTTAGAGCTGTAATGTATTCCAAGTGTCAAGTTATTTTCACAGCTTTTTCTCAACAAATTTCCCAGCATTATTTATTTTTTTTTTTTAATCTTAACAGACAATTGTGTGTAATGGCCTGCAAGATAGAGAAGGGGCAATTATACCTTGAAGAAAATTTGGTATTGCATAATATAATTCCTATAAATTTATGGATCTGCAGTTTTTTTTTATTATTAAGCATTTTTATATACGGTAGTTATTTAATAACATGTCACCACCTTTTTTGAGAGAGAAAATTAAGGTTTACTATTAATAAACAATTAGGTAAGAGCACAATTAATTTTGTGACTAACAGTTACAAGAACAAGAATACATGAATCATTGTACAGTACAATAGTTATTTACCTAAATATTCAGTGATTTGTACCTTATGTATAGTCACATAGCATCAAGCATTTTGGCTCAACCTCAAGTACAGTAAAACTGTGTTGTATAGAACAAGTATCCAGACGATAGGCGGATCCAAGATTTTTTTGCATTTCAGTAATATCTCATTGTAAGCGGTGAAACATTAACTGGGATTAAAATGATGTTTTTGTTTAGAAATTATTACTATGAGTTTAATCAACGTTTCATAACTCACGGGTAATATACAGTAGAGGGTTAATATTGCCCAGAATTCACTTGGGGTTTATTTAATGAATTCAACAGTGGCGTTTGTTTACTTGGCCCCCTTTACCTTCAGTTATCTTAATTAACGCGAAATTTTGTTAGTGAGAAGAGAAACAATTTTATTCCACGTGAGATCGTTTATAAATTTATATAAACTAAATTCAATATAATATATTTATGCAACTTAAGATATGAATACCCCGGAATATTTGAGTGCTCAGTTCTCATGGTGTTGCCCCAAATAGTAGAGAGAGAGAGTTTGCTTAAAATTATTCCATTAATATTGCACAATGATAAACATGAATACCGGTATCGTACATTTATGTAATCAGTCACTTGGGTTCTGTGGCTGTTATTCCAATACTGAGCAAGTGAAAATGGTTAATATCTAATCATTATACAGTTGGTAAGAAGAATTATTTCTTTATAGTGTTGGCTATAAGTGTCTTTACTAGAGCATCATTGGAAACAGCTTGGAGGTGATATTGTTTAAGAGGTCGTAATGAGATTGGCAAGTGCGCGACGTAATAATGTAGTTGAGTTGAATACTCCACACTTATGATGTATTCTTAGTTATTTGGTTATGTTTGTAATGTGTTGAGTGTCTGTATGTAATTCTGAAAGTATTTTGTACAAAGTTAAAAATTTCTATAACTGGAGGTGTTAAATAATAAAATGCCTGATTTGTATTCATCGATCTTTTCTTCACCGTTTTTCTAAAATTTGAACTTTTTCATTGTTTGATTCTATTGTCCTAAAAGTACAATTTGGAAATTCCAGTTGGGATTATACTATAGATGGTCCACCATGACCTTAAGTATACTGTAATTATCGTTGAGCACTTACATATTATGCAGGTCAAACTCACCGGCCTACAGTAACATTATTCGTGCAATGGCGATCGCCTGCTTTGAATAAAGTACAATACTGTACGGTAATTTGCTTTTACTTTATCCTCTTCGCCACTGATCGGCTCGTCAGCCGCTTTGCGGTGGTTGAGTGAAAACAAGTCACCCCCCCCCCCGGGTCCCCCACCAAGCAATGCATGTTGACAATAATTACAAAGGTAAAGGCAAAACGCTCAGTTGTCAGCACAGCTTATGTGAAAGTAAAAAATTTGCAGACACTGGTTGAATTACTGTGCCCGCAACATGCAGGATGAGGGTACTTTCCTGATATAGGTATGTTAGTATGTTACTGAAGTTCAAAGAAATGAAACGACCGTATTGGTAGTTTCCCTCTTAAATTCGTAAATAAATTTATATTGTTTATTTATTACAGTGTTTTTTTAGGATTAATAGATTGTGAGTTTGTGATTCAAGAATATTTCTTGTTTAGTTTTCACTGATGTTAGAAAAATATATGCTGCACGTATACTATAGTACTTATTAAAACTAATCCCCAGGTGTGACGCAGAGCTGAAATCTTAAGTCAAACAAGAGAGTGACACATACACTCTCACTCACTCAGCGTCACTAGGCTGCCCACGCACTTCATTCCTCACTGTATGGGAGGTGGCTTCAGTGTGCGTGAGTGTGTGGGCAGGAGGGGGCGTGGCCTAGGGCACTGCCACGCTCCACAGGCCCTCCCTTGCTCATTGTACCCTCGACGGTGCTTCCGTGTGGACGTGCCCCGCGCCCCGCTGTGCTGCCCCGACTATCCTTCCGTCCCTGTGGTGCCCCGTCACCCTCCCTTCTCTGTCTCGTGGTGCCCCGTGACCACCCTCCGTTCCGCGTCACACTCCCGGTAGAACTACCCCCCTACTACCTCGCGCCCCTCGCTGACACCGCCGTCATGTGGTCGTCCACGAGAGGGGTCGTGCTCCTGGCGCTGCTTGCCGTCGCCACCTGCGCCACCACCTACGATAAAGGTACGTGACACTGACACCTCGAGTACAGCGCCTGGTGACAGGACCATGTAGGTGTTGACAGGACCATGTAGGTGTTGACAGGACCATGTAGGTGTTGGTAGGACCATATAGGTGTTGAATTTGAATTTTGCAGCAAACAGCGGCTAGATTACTGTACACCCCATACTCGTCCTATGAACGGTAGCGCAAACACTTATTACTGAGAAGAGGTCACAGAGGGTCTCATAATAAACCCCAGCGTTCAGGATATTGTTACATTACAGTAAATACATTGGTTCCTAAGTTCTTTACATAGGAGTCGACTTTGTTCACACCTGCGCGAGGGGCGTACTGCCAAGTGTGAAGGTCATATGTTTGGCAGCACACTTTACATTTACTGTTTATTCACATCTGCATGAAAAGCATTTAAGAACATTGTGAATTTAGTTCTGTACATAAGAATTGACTTAGCTACTTGGTGCAAAAAGTAGACACAGTCTTAATAAGTAAATATATAAGCTGTCTTCTCATCAGCGATAAAATACTGCGCCGTTTCATACACAGTGCGCTTGGACCTGCCCCTGCTTTTCAATCTAAGAAGTAGGGTTATGTCTGGCCGTACACCTTACATTTAGTTTTGCACTTATTTCCTAACATTGATCTTATTACTTGCTCCATATACTGTATATGTTATTCACGATACATATCTTCATGATAAAACAATGAATTGACTAATAATACCTGTTTGCACTCCGGTTCCTTCAAACTCACCAGCAAGTTCTTTGGTTATCACAGTTTTAAGGGTTCCTGTTAGATTATATTCAGCAGTGTCATTGTCAGAAGCGAGTTTTGGCTAAGGTATTGACTCTGTCGCGCTCACTGAGGCTTATGTGAGGGGATCCACAACTTAATCTTGACACCCGCGTCAACAATGCACGTATATTTGTGGCTTCAGAGACAAGGTGTTGGCAGAACCATCTAGGTGTTGGCAGGACCATCTAGGTGTTAGTAGGACCATCTAGGTGTTGGCAGGACCATCTAGGTGTTAGTAGGACCATGTGGGTGTTGGCAGAACCATGTAGGTGTTAGTAGGACCATGTAGGTGTTGACAGAACCATGTAGGTGTTGGCAGAACCATGTAGGTGTTGGCAGGACCATGTAGGTGTTAGTAGGACCATGTGGGTGTTGGCAGAACCATGCAGGTGTTAACAGAGCCATGTAGGTGTTGGCAGGACCATGTAGGTGTTGACAGAACCATGTAGGTGTTGGCAGACCATGTAGCAGGACCATGTAGGTGTTAGTAGGACCATGTAGGTGTGTTAGGAGTAACCATGTAGGTGTTGCAGGACCATGTAGGTGTTAGTAGGACCATGTGGTGTTGGCAGAACCATGTAGGTGTTGGCAGGACCATGTAGGTGTTGCAGGACCATGTAGGTGTTGGCAGGACCATGTAGGGTGTTGTGACCATCTAGGTGTTGTAGGACCATGTAGGTGTTGAGGACCATGTAGGTGTTGACAGAACCATGTAGGTGTTGGTTGTGACCATTTAGGTGTTGGCAGGACCATGTAGGTGTTGGCAGGACCATGTAGGCGTTAGTAGGACCATGTAGGTGTTGACAGAACCATGTAGGTGTTGGTTGTGACCATGTAGGTGTTGGCAGGACCATGTAGGTGTTGGCAGGACCATGTAGGTGTTGGCAGGACCCTGTAGGTGTTGGTTGTGACCTCGAGAGAGAGAAAGAGAGGAGTGGTAGGTACAAGTGAGTGATAATATCCTTGGGTGCGTCATCTCACCACTTTGTTCCTTGTGTTGTTGATCCTCAGTTCGGTTTAACTTTCTTTTGACTGAAAAAATAACTGAACTATGTGATTTTAGCAGAAACTATCCACGGTGCATTGTCCTTTGAAAACGTTATTAACTATGTGATTTTAGCAGTAACTAACCACGGTGCGGCGAAGGTGTGGAGGTCACGTCTTACTAGTTTAATTTTTTATTGGTCAGTTGTCTCTTCTTCCTTACACACTCGCGCGAATATGGTGTATCACTAATTTAACAACAACAACAAGAAAAAAAAGTTATTTCAAAACCTTTCAAACATTTAATGTTTAAAGCTTGACTGTAGAGGAATAAGGTGATCCCACAACGCTTATGTCGCTAACAGGCACTCGTCAACGTTGAATTTACTTGGGTCTAATGTTTGGTGATTTTTTTTTGTATTTGCTCTCTATAAACTTATCGTTGGTAGAAACTGGTACACTTTTTATCATATTCTCCTGTATGGTTGTAAGTGAATTACCTTCCATATAACCTAACCTAATTAATCTTAACTCTAGATTTCAAGAAATTTCGAGTTAATGGTATTTTTTTACCTAATTAATAATGTTGATGGAATTCGGCCAGGTGAGATTTTGTATATCGTACTGTACGTTAGGTCAGTGTCATGTGTGCCGCTGTTCGTGAGACTGTGTATTGTTCATGTAGTTGGGGGTACAGTGACTGGCGGAGCAGTTAACCTCCTCTCTGACAGTCTAGACGCTACACTAGTTTCCACTCAGACTGTGGTCACTGCCTTGTTGTTGTTAGGCTGTTGTCCACGGTTGGTCATTCATTGCATGTTAACCCAGAATGAATCCTAATTTCAGTATCTTTATATGAAGCGACGTTGTTTAGTTGAAAGGCATTTATGTATTTTTGCTTCACTCTCGTCACGCTAAAGGAAGATATACGTGACATTATTCTGCTATTTTGTGAGGTTAATTTCAACGTGTTGGGACAAGAAGCCTCAGAGCACAGGCTGGGAAACTCTAACCAAACGTCTAATGACAAATTAATCTCCTCTACTTTGTGGCCCGGGAGTCGTCTTACCCATACATAAGAAGTTTTTAATGCCAGAACATTTTTTGGATATCAAGGCCGGGGATCACAATCAATCTTAACACAGCCGCTACAAAACCATCTTGTAAATCAGTGATGAACGTTGAGGATGCTCTAGTAATCAGCTGTGGGCGGGAGGAAAGTTGCCAGTTGTATCATTATTTTCACCTTCACCCCAGCCAGATTCGTTCAGTAATGATACGTGCGAATATAGACGTATGCTCTTACCAATGCGTAAACGCGAAGTCGTGTTTACAAGTAGATGAATAATTTTAGAACACTTGTTTCCCCAGCAGCTGGAACCTGTGTTGGGTTAACTGACCATCATTTCCTCTTTCTGCCACTCAAGGACTTGTTACTGAGCCTTGGGTAGTGTTTATGATTTTTTTTCCTTTTAATTTCTGATATTAATTAAGTTCCATTATGTTGTGCTTTTTATTTTGCAATTTTTATAAAACTGCTGCTATCAGTGCCACCACCATCACTACAACCATCAGTACTACCACCACTACTACTATCACTACCACGACCATCACCTACCACCACCATCACCTTCTACCACCTGGCAGAACCATTAACAGGGGGGGGAGGGATGCTAAGTCCAGAGTTGGGGGTTGGATTGAGTGGGTTGTGGAGGGGTAAGGAGTGGGAGGGGGATTGAGTGGGCTGTGGGAAGGGAGGTACTTTACACATATGACCTGTATAATAACCTGGTTTGGATTTATACAGGGGAATAACACCAGCTTGTCTGTCTGTATTTCTCTTCTTATTTTCACTATTTTTTTTTATCCTCTCCACATTTTCTCTTAGCAAATATATATCTGTGACGTTACGTTTTCTTTATGGTTTAATAATTGCTGAAAGAAAACGAATGTTATTTAGTATACTGCCTTCACCACCAGTACTACATGGTGGTGGTTCATGGTGAGTTGTTGTTTGATGATCACATAAAAGTCAACAAAGCGAACCTGATCCAGTGAAGAAACACCATCACTTGACGCTAAGAGCTTCAGATGGTTGTGTGACTTATGGTGCTCCCACAAAGCAGTATGGCATCCCCCACTAGATGAAATGCTATACCAGGGGCAATATAGTCATATGCTGTACAGAACACGCCCACACAACAACTGTTCGCTGCATAGGTGTTCTTCAAGCATGAGTACCCTCCGAGAGACAACTGGATAAACATTGGGTGGGTCGAGATGTTATGTACCTGTACCTGTATCACTTCAGAGCCCCGAGATTTTGTTGTGAAGTCACTAGTTCGCCTGCTCTTGTACAGACTAGTGTTATATAGTCAGATGGAGAGTTGGGGATAGTGGTGTAGAACAGAGCCTTCATCTTGAATACGAAAGAAATATCTAAATGATCAAATAAGGTGAACTTCCCCATCTGGTACAAGTGTTATCACCAGCGGAGGCAGATGTCAAAATGTACTAACGAAGTAATAATGAATGAACTTAGCAGTGCAGTGCTTCTTAAAAACATTTAAAGATGTTGTTTTAACTGAAAAAGCTTACAAGATTGTCTCCGTAACTTGGCTTTCCTGAAGAACGCGCAAGCTATTTGGCACTCGTTTCCACTGAGGTTTACCGTGTGTACTTTACTGAGGGCCGCGACCCACAGAGAATTACGCAGTTGTTTAGGATTCCTGGAGTATGTTAGTCTGGCGTTGACTAAACAAACAAAACTTAAACACTAAACCAAAGTCGAGTAACTTGGATAAGATAAATACACCAAAATGTTTGTAGTAGTTCTCCCAACTTCTACGCGCCGAGGTCATCAGAAGCACAGGCGACAGGGAAATATTAATTTTAATTGCCCCACAACTTTTGGCTTTTTAAAATATACCTATCATGTAGTTTAAACAATTTTAAAACACTTTTCTTCTTTGACATTTTCGTCGGAAATTTATATATTTTTTTAAGTATTTAAACCGATAAAATTACATCCAATATTAGTTGTTTAAAGTGGGCAGGGCTTTGAAGTAGAGGACAAATGTGGGGTAAGATATTAAAAATAACACTAAACAAGCCTATGAAAACCTGTCCTAACGTTTCCTAACTTGTAAAAATGTTAAGAATCACTTTTGAGTTTATAGATCCCTCCTCATCTGAACACCGATAACACACCAATACCAAAAACC